TACCGGAGATTCGTACCTGAGATGGCAGAGTATTTGGTACCCATTAACAATTTGCTGAAGAAAGGCGAGAAGATTGTGGTGACACCAGAGATGGAGAATAATATCCGAAAATGTATGAATAGGTTGCTGACAGAGCCGGTGTTAGCGTTCCCGGATTTTGAGAAGCTCTTTAATATAACCACCGATGCGAGTGAATACGCGTTAGGGGCCGTTTTGTCCCAGGGGGGGAGTGAGGGTGAACGACCGATAGCATACGCGAGCCGTCGGCTTACGGGTGCGGAATCGCGATACAGCGCTTTGGAGAGGGAGCTACTCGCGATAGTGTGGGCTATCGACCATTTCAGGCCATACGTATTTGGGAGGAAATTTCGAGTCCACACCGACCACAAACCCCTACCTAAAGAAACCTCAGCTAGGGTCACGCGTTGGAAGGAAGTCCTTAGCCAATACAATATAGAGGTGGTGTATAAGCCGGGAAAGGAGAACGTGGTGGCGGACTGGCTCTCTAGGGCCATCATGATCAACGCGGTAGAAGAGGACGGGGGAGGACCATCGCGAGACGTGCGCCAATTCTTGAGTGAATGGACTCCCGATGGCGAAGGAGCAGATGATATCGTCGGTATAGATGACAGGGGAGAGTCCCCGGAAGAGGAGAGCTCAGCGGAGGAAAGAGCAGTGGAAATGGAGGAGATAGACGACATCATCAATGACAAGCATCGTCAGGTAATCTGGAAAACGAGAGTAGCAGGGATGATGAAAATAGATTATCGAAGATATGGGAAAAGCAAGATTCGCGTCATCTGGTCGCAACCCGGGGTGAGTGAAGAGCAAATTTGTACGGCACTGAAGGACGCCACGGAACCTGGAAAGACGCACCATCTCTATGTTGGGAATAACACGGTATGGGATAAAATAAAGCGGATGTGGAGATCCGAGCGAATTGGGGTGGACAGAACGCTCATCCGTTGCAAGTACGCAGTGGAAACTATACAGGATGAGGAACAGCAACAGGCAGTCACATTAGCTTATCACCAGGGGAAAACCAACCACCGAGGCGTGAACGAGACGCTGCAGGCATTACGTCGAAAGTATTTCTGGTGGAGCATGAAAAAATCCATCCAAGAGGTCATAGGGAAATGCGAGGTGTGTATGCGCACGAAATATGATCGACACCCCCCCAGAGGGATTCAGGAAGAGACACCGACGGGGAATATGCCACTACAGGACCTCCAGATTGATACATTTACCTGGAGAGGGTTCAAGTGGGTCACGGTCATCGACGTCTTTAGCAAGGTAGCTATGGCACACCAGGTCATGGACAAGTCTGCCAACGCAGTTGCGGAAGCCCTACAAACCTGGGTGCAGTTCTACGGGGTCCCAGAGAGGATCACATCGGACGGTGGTAGGGAGTTTGACAATGCCGCGATTAGGGAGGAGGTGAAACGACTAGGGATTCGTTGGCATTATAACACCCCGGGACATCCTAAAGGTAGAGGCGGCATTGAGCGGTTGCACAGCACGCTGAGTGACCACATCCGGGTGTATCAGGGGGAAAAAGGGTTGGAGCCGGATGTTGCAATGAAGAAAGCGGTAACAGCCTACAACCATTCGATTCACTCCGTCACGGGATTTTCGCCCGTGGAAGTACTATTCGGGATGCGCAGGCCAAGGCGAGATTGCGGGGAAACAACGGTTAATGAACCATTAGTCGAGCAAATCCAGAGCAATAGGGTGGAGGTGGAAAAGACGTGGGGAAGAGTAACGGGGAAAATTAAGCGGGAAAAGGAGAAGCGGGTAGAGAGGCAGAATGTTCGCGTACGTGACAAAATGGGTGATCTAAAGATCGGGACAATAGTGTACCGTAGAGTAGGAACCAACAGAGGGAAACAATTGTTACGGTACGAGGGTCCATTCAGAGTGATTGCTATTAGGGAGCATAATCTGCTAACGATCGAAAGCGTTAATGAACCTAGAAAGAGGAGAACGGTTCACATTGAACAATTGAAGCTCCCAATATATATATATATATATCATGGGCATCATGGCAAGCATCATGGCTTTCCCTGGCAGATGGTCACCTATATATATATATATATATATATATATATATATATATATATATATATATATATATATATATATATATATATATATATATATATATAGGTTATATATATATATATATATATATATATATATAGGTGTATATATATATATAGGTGTATATATATATATATATATAGGTGACCATCTGCCAGGGAAAGCCATGATGCCCATGATATATATATATATATATTAGTAGATCTCACTAGCAGATCCAGGATTTATTTTTTGTTGTGGGGGTTTTCAGCCCCAAAGATTTTTTTCCATACATGTTTATAACGATAATTAATTAAAAGAAAGAAATTAAATACCTATATGAAATGGTGTTCCAGTGGTTCTTAAAGTCCTATTAGATGTAATTACACGAACAAGAATATTTAAAAAGATAGTTTTTAATATTTGTTTCTGTAAAACATGGTTGTATTTTACCATTTTGGGGGGAGGGCTTCAGCCTGAATTTTTCCTCAAAGAAATAACTAGCAATTGAAGAAGAGCTAGAGTTAGTAAAGGGTTTCTTTCAAAAGTGTTTATTAGGAAGAATATAATTTCTAAATACCTCGATAATATTACGCTATAAAAAAAAAAAAAATGCAATAATTATCACAAAATTGGATTATTCATTGCATAAGAATGTTGTATTTATTCTAAAAAGAAGAAGCTTTTTCAATTTTGGATCTAAAGTTTTTTTTTAATAAGGATGAAAAATGCTCTGGATGTGCAGTTAAAAAATCAAACTTAATTTTTTGGCTGTATAACTCGGCCATTTTTAATCCTATAATTTCAAAAGTCAACTATACACACAGCTCTATTTTTTTTTTATTTTTTTTTTTTATGGTTCTATTACTTTATATTAGGTATTATAAGCTAAAAATAATATTACAGTATTTTACATTTATGAAAAAAAAAATGTTACTTATAACATACAACTCATTAAATTCAATATAATTTCTTGAGAATAAATGAAATAGCAAATAAATCCTTTTCTAACTTTTAAATTTTATATTATTAATAAATTAATAAGTTATTGAATATTAAGTATTGTTTTCGTGTAGAAAGCTAAATAATAATCTTAAAATGTCTTATTTTATTAATGTGGAACTTCGCTATCTTTATGTTAATAAAACATCTAAATTTACCTATTCTGCAGCGTTTTTCCAAGATCTGAAGTGACACGTTTAGTAAATAGCAATAAGGTAATAGGTAACTGGCGAGTCTTGGTATTGAACTTGGGCAACACGACTCCTGTCAGGTCTGATTTTACCAAGCTTTACTGGCTCTATGTTCATTAAACATTTTCTCTTATATCATTTGTGTCTCTGATGTTATACATTTTTTCTGCCCTCATTTTCACACAAAAGTTTGGATTGAAACATAGGCAATAGAAAAAAAACCTTGTCGTGATTATCTATCATCCATGATATGTATAACAGTTAACAGACAATTTTCATCTATAATTAGTGTCCACTACTTAATCCTGAACATTCTCGGGATTCCTGAACCAGATAAGACATGGTACGACCTCCTCCGACAGCCACTGAGAAGAAGTTGAAAGAATCGACAAGATAAATATCGAAGGACTGAGCCGCAGCGGCCGTTGTGCCCTGAAAGCTCTTGTCCAGTCTCACCTAGCCTCAGTGCATTTTTCCTTTCCTACCTACTAAATTTGGTTTCAAAAAGCATTATTCAACTGTTCAACAATACCATGGATTAGTAATTATATTTATAATTCTTTAGAATCAAAAAGTTATTGTCCTGGAGTTTTTCTTGACATCAGTCAATCTTTCGATAAAGTTTGACATGAACGATTGCTTTCTAAACTTAAAATTTTACTTCCTCTGACCTATTTCTAATATTACTCTTATTTAATGGATAGACATATTGTAATAAAAGTAGAGGAAGAATGTTATGAAAAAGTCAAAAAAAGCAAGAGTTCCTCAGAGTAATGTCCTTGGGCCAATATTGTTGAATATTTATATTTTTTATTGAGTTTTGTTCACATACATTTCTTAAAAGCTGCAGACAAGAATATTCTTCCTAACAATCCTTAGGCCATTCCAAACATTTTTTAAATAATTCAGAAGTAGGAGCGATATGGGAAGCTGGTGTGGGAGTATAGTGTACGCAGTTTGAAGTAGTTGATCCAGTGAGGAAAATTGCAACAAATTATGAAATTTAAATAAAACCTGTGACTCAGTTATTTATTCATTCCAGTTATCCAGTCCTTACAATCACTCTCTCCTAATGTCAGACTAACATCTATGGCTTGCTGATATATATTGTTTTCAGTACGACACTGACTGTATAATAGATAATAATACAACTAGATCGTGTAGAGATAACAGATAGTATTGCATGTGCTTTGAGTGCCTCAGTAAATGTGATGACCAGAGGACAGAGTTCTTATCCTGAACAATTGATAATTCATAAAACTATTTAGTATAAAACTCATAAACTATTGAGTAAAAATCTCAGTATATTTTGAACAGTTTAACGACCCCTATCACAATCTCCTCTTCTACAGCCACATTATGTATGAAACAAAATTTACAATAACATTTTTTAAAAAGATTTCTTGTCGAGCAAGCCAGCCAGCTAACACATTAATAGGTTTTGTGTCATTTTAACATCACTAGTCTAGAAATAGTTCACTACATGCACCCACAGCTGAACCATCAGTATAGATGTGATATTAATCTTTAATTGAATAACTTCGCCAAATAGTTCCGAGGATTCCGTTTCTTATCAATTGTCTTAAGTTAAGATATAAAAAATGAGTATATATTTTCACAAGGTATTTGTTGGTAGCAAGATTATAGTTTAGTGTTTGTCCACATCATCCTATAGAACTATTGATCGAAAAATAGTACTTCATATAATTAGCACAAGACAATTAAATAAAAACTTATAGGCTTTATTTAAAAATAAAAAGGAAAAAGAAGTAATTATATTTTATTTAGATCCAATATGGATGAACATACAAAAAATGTACCACAATAAAAGTTTTCAAGGCACATTTAAAACATATATATTTTTAACAGTAGAACATATTAAATATGTTCTTCAAAATGGCAGTAGTGTAACAGCTACCAAGTATCATTAAATTATAAAACAAATATAATTAGTCAAAACAAATAACATTCACAAAATATTCCATTTTTATTCTTCAATAGGAGTATCTGCATCATCAAATTGGCCTTCGTCTACATCCATTTCTATTTCCCTGTGCCCGGAATGAAACCCATCTGTAAAACAGAGTTATATATTATAAATAAGTTTTAGAAAATTTTTCATATTTAATTAAATTGAAATAAATATACCCAATTCTTTCTGCGTTAACTATATTATAAATGAAAAAGAACTATTTCTCTGGATTTCACTAGAGCTCTTTTCATACCAACAGCAAATGCTCAGACGAAATACAAGGAACTAGTTATCGAAAGTATCATTGAAAAATAACTATGAAAGTCGCTATGAGGAAAACAAAGCATGTTACAAATATTATCATTGTAATGATAACAATTAAAACAATTTTCTTTTCATTAATTGATCACACTGCATTTGCAATAGTTTCAAGAAAAATTTAAATATCATGGACTCTAGAAACGATTACAGAATCCTGGCTGATTTAAGAGTTGCCATCCTTTTCATTCTGTTGTGGGGCATTGTCCACAAATTCTTGATCTTAAACTTCAGTTATATAATCGACACTCATTCCACCTATTCACCACAACTTTGGTCTTTCCACTTTTTTTTACCGTTTGGTTCTGTTCGCAGCAATTGTGGTTAAGCCCTCTTCAATCTATAAAACCTGGCGGCTAACCTGTAGTAAAACCCAACCGCCTGAGTTTTGCTATCCAGATATGGTTTACCACATTCAGCACCTTGTATCACTTGACTATTGTGTGAGTATGCCTTATTATCATTTAATTATTCTCCAAGACTGGATCATATATATTTTGGAGTAACTTCCTCTCCAAAAATAGCAGTTTTCTCCCTCTGGCCTTCAACATCATCCATATTTCAGATTCAAATGTCAGAACTGCTCATATGAGTATTTTATACAGAACTGAAGATTTTGAAAGTAAACAGATTTTCATATCCTTCATGAGACCATGATTACATCTATCCACCACGACAAGTCTTTGTATCACCTTCTGGTTCGTCACTATCCGTGTTTGAATCTCATAACTTTTATGACATTGTATCTACTAAAAAGGATGCAATGATTGGACTAGTTTCATGTTTGTCAGTTGGTACATTATTGGTCTTTTGTTCATGTCCCATCTTCAAAGCTGCTGTCTCTATCGAGGTGAAGGAATCTGTCATATCCATAAAAGATCTATCGGTCTATGCTAGTATTCGTACCTATTTTTTGAATACTAGCATATCTCTCAATTTCTACAGCAAGTTTAAGCAGAATGCACTAGTTATCAGAGTGTTCCGTTAGGTCTTGTTTGCTCTGGCGAATGTTATGAACCACTATATTAAACTGCCTAAAATTACACGAAGAACATATGTACACTGGAGTTTAATTCTTTAATACTGCTCACACTTCTTTACATAAATAATTTTTAAAGAAAATATATAGTGGGAAAATTTAGAAGAAAAATACATTTGAACGATCAAATACTTTATAATCACTCTAAATTTATTTTTGATAGTAGATTGACAGTTGATTGTCGTATACATATTAAAGAGAAGTTGGTTGGTTTGTTCCTTAAAAGAAACAACAAAGTCAAAATAAATAAATTAAGTTTATTTCTATTTATTTTATATCGACGTTTAGGCCTAAGTTTCACGCCTTCATCAGGGCAAAGAAAAGACAAGATAACATGTAAATTTTGAGATACTATTAGACGATAAAAGTAATAATATGTATATAGTCAAATATGTAGTATAAACTTAACATCAAAAAATGAAATATAAAATAACGGTTTGATATATAAAATTAAATTTGATTAATGGTTGAAATATAAAATAACAGTAATAGAGTTAGGAACTTATTGAAATTAACAGGGAAATGAAAAACGAAATAACAAATAAATTAAATGGTAGATATAAAATAAATAGGGTGCCATAGTTGTTTATAAGTTGATGTCTTAATATGTTAAGAGGAAGTGAGATAAGTATGTAGTAAAAATGAAAAGGCACATGAAGTTATATAAAGAAATAGCAAAAATAAATAGAAAAATGAATATATAGTGAAATCTATCGAAAAAAAATGTAAACATAGAAAAGAATTGAAAAATTAAGTTATGCAAATTAAAAGAATAACATACAATGAATAAATGAAGAAAGTAAGTGAGGAGAATACAAAAATAAAGGATTAACAATAAGGGCAACCTGTTATCACGGAAGATGTCGAGAGACAGATAGCAAACGGAAGGAAAACAGTGGAATGCACTTAGTGCACTCTGTAATAGATGACAAAAATACATGAACTAAAGCACAGAGATGTGTATTATGGTTCAGAGGATGATTATAGATAATATATCACAGGCATACAAAATAAATGTGTATTTGAACTGGTATGGAAATAGAAAATCTGGAGATAATACAGTGGAGAGACAATACATATGTAACAATAGTCAAGTATTCACGAAATAAAAAAAAATCATTAGACTATACCTTTTACCTACATATCATTAGTATTACATTCTACTAGTTTCTCATATCTATGTTATATTGTCTTTTCTTAACCCTGATGAAGGCCTGAAATTAGGCTGAAACGTTGATAAGAAGGAAATAAAAATAAATATAATTTATTTATTTTAACTCTTTTTTTTTTTTTTAATGAACACCTAAACCAACTTCTTTCTAATAAATTTATTTTACTAGTTCAATTTTTGAACTATGAGTACTAATACATAATATAATGAAAATGATAATGTGATCACATTATTACCCATAGCAAATTTTTAATATCTTAATGAAAAAAAATATTAAATTATTGAAAAATTATACTCTTTTTCGCTGTTATTATTTATTTTTAAAAAATTGATTTCAAGATAAATGAATTAGGGCAAATTACATTAGCTATGAGTAATATATATTATGAAAAGCGATTACAGATTAAATGATTACCATATTCCGATGAAGGAAGCATTGTCAGCCATAACGTCCTAAAAGGTTAAAAATAAGAAGTTCAGTAAGGCCTAATGATCCATTCTAAATGTAATATTAATAGTTTACATATATCTTTAAGAATGGTGAGCTGATAAAAATTTGAAAGACTAAGGAATTTTAGTAAGAAGGCTTTAGGAAAGTTTCACCAAAATTATTGTAGCGCTACAGCCTATAAAAAAAATGTTATTCAGCTATTGTGCATAGAGTACCTGATTTACACAGTGAGATATAAAGACATCAGGGACCTAAACCTTACAAGAAAAATTCAGTTCATCATTTCAAATCATTCATAATTCATCATAATCTGGTGCGGTGCGCACATCACACAGCTTTCACTTACTACTCACTTATTAGCAGAAATAAATATCTTCAGGCAAGGAGAAGTAAAAGTAAAAATTATAAACGATATATTGTATGAGAAGAAGTTAGTCGAAGGTGCAGTCAAATAAATAAAAAATTAAAATATATAAATTATTTTAATTTTTGCCGACGTTTCGACCCACTTTGCAGGTCGTCTTCAGGGCATAGAATGTGGCATTGCGGGAGGCAGTTGATATCTCTATATATATTGTAATGTAAATATTACATAGTGATTTTAAAAAAATGGGTCGAAGGCAGTGACATCCTGGGCTACTGTCAAAAAAGGACAAACACAGATGTAAGGAGAAGTAAGTGCCATATGTTAATAGGATCGAGAGAAGAAAATGTGACTAACAAGCAGTGAGTGCCTACAAAGGAAGAATAGAAGATTGTAGAAGTTGAAGACAACAATATAGAAGTAGATTCACTGCAGAACAGGGTGAGTGAAATATAAATAGTGACAGTCCGAAAGCTCGCCAAGAGTAGACCACGACAAACAATGGAAATTCATAAATGTTATATAAAATTAATGTATGATTTTATATGGTATAATTGAGAATGTGTGTTTGCTGTCTCAACCCAACCTGAGAAATAATTATTGATTAAAATAAATATAATTTGATTCAGAAACTATTTTGTTTACTTTTAAGAGGAAACGTACGTAACTTTACAACACGGCACCCAACGTGGGGCTTTGAAAATAAATGTAGCCTAAAAATACATAAAAGTACTTTTTACTTCTTGTGTTTGTTTTTATTTAGGCCAGATATAATATTTTAATTTTGTACTTTTTTGTTATTCTAAAAGGACTTTGTCCCAGAATGAAATTATTTTCTATTCTATTCTATATACAAATTTGAATATTTATATCGCTGTAATCTAGACAATCAAATATTAAATAATATCAACAATAGAAGTTATGAAAACCGCATAATTTCCCTAACGTATATATTCCAGGTATAGGTAAGTGAGAGTAAAAATGGATCCTCTAGTGGCAATTTTGATGAGACAAATAAAAATAGCGAACTATCACTGAATAAGTATGAAGACATCAAATTTCAAGCATTATTGGACGAGGATGATGCTCAAACCCAACTTCCAGATCAATTAACATCAAGTAACATGAGAAGCTGTCTCTATAAGTTTGAAAGCCATGGAAAAGATCTAGAAGATGGAATCCACATGAAATGAAGGAAAGACAGTCATTTCTCAATCAAATTGTGACAGGTGATGAAAAGTTAAATATGTACAGAATCCTAAACAACAAAGACTGTAGGTAACCTCAGGCAAGCCATCACTATAGAAAGAAATATATGTTCTCTATTTGGTGGGATCAGAAGGGTATGATCAGCTATGAGTTGCTAAAACATGGAAAAACCATTAATACTGAGAACTATCGACCAAAAATTATTGATTTTAATAGAGTATTGCTAACAAAAACAATGGACTACTTACTTCCTTCAGCTTCTAAATATTCATCATAATCCCCTTCTTCTTCACCTTCACCATTCTCTTCATCTTCTTCTTCATCTATAAAAGAAATATTTATTTTACTTATTTTTGCTATCATGCTTTTATTTTTTATTTCTTCATTAAAGAGGTGCTCCCCAAAGATGGTGCAAGAACCTATCTCTTTACTCCCTAGATATTTTATTGCTTACCTTTTCTTAAAAACAGAGCAATCAAAGGCAGAATTAGAAAAACCATAGATCATATACAATTACACTTGCTGTGGTCTGTTCCATGTTTCCCTCTTGTCCCTTAGTATGAAACTTTTTATTTCGGAAATTCTACCAAAATGTGTCCCCATCAAAAATTAAAAAACTCCCAAAAATATGACCACTCAAAAATTCGGATAGTGTAAGTTGCACTAATTTAATTTGTGTGCAAAAGCTGATTCTTGTTTTCTGATAAACTTTTTTTTTATCACAATTTCATCATTATTATTTATGTAAAACCGTATCCCTCAGTGATTGATCATTATTTTCACTTGGATAAAAAAAAATCAAAGAACGATTTAAATTTTTATTTTTAAATCAGGCACAATTTTTAAATTAAAATCAAATATAATAATTATTACATAATTTTGTGAAAAAAAAATTATTAATTTCAAACCCTACTTTTAATAAGCCAAAAAGAGGAAAATAGTGATTTTTAAAGCACAGGACTGTATTTTTGGCCATATGAGAATAAGCATAATTCTGAAGCAAAATCATAGCTTTTGAAAATTTAGCACATCTTTTGGATTTGATCTTTGACTTAAACAGACAAACTAGACTGTGGTAGTTATACCAGGCCATTGTTTATCACTCAGAGAATTCATACAACTTTTAATGCAATTAATCCATTTGTATATCTTGTTTCCACACAAACAACTCTGTCCATATTGCTGCTGCATTAGACAAATAATTCCTGCTCGTTTCACACCTTCTTAATTTAGGAAACGTAACACTGCTAGCGTTTCTTCCTTGATACAATCAGAGAAAGGAGAATTCACTATATGTACACAGACTTTTAAACAAAATTACATGTAGCTAAAAATGAAACAATACTTTCGATGAGCAGCTGATGGACACTACGAGTTGTAGCAGAATAATCAGCGCTGCTATATACGTGATTCAGAGGGAAATTCAAACTTCCCTTTACTTTTTGACTAGCCATCTTGAATTGTTAAGAATATAATGGCTCTGAAAAGAGGTAGGAGGCAGTTTTTTCAAGTAACCATATTACAATAGGAGATTACATTGATTTTTAAACTTAATATGATTAATGAAGGTGTTGTCAAATGAGATTTAGTTTTAAATAAAATGATTTAGGATCTTAGTGAATTGTATGTGTATACACAGTGTTTTTTTTTTTTATGTGAATGTAAACTACTTTAATATGAATAATAATAAATGGGAAGATGTATTCCTTTTATAATATTACTTCTACTTCTTTCTAACATCTATTAAACCAACAAAAAGTGATTAAAATGGAAAAACAAAGCATAATTAACAATGACTAATGTCAAAATATTAGGGATAATCCAATTAAGATTTATGTGTTTCTTTATATGCTCTACTTTGTACAAGGCAATAACTGCTCTAAGGTTAACAGCAAAGACATTTGGTCACCATCAATAAAAAGTGTTTTCTAAGGCACTGAAAGACTTTATGTTTACCTTCAGAGTGGCTTTCTTGAGAATCTGGATGGAGTGCCTGACAATCACTCATTGCTGAAAACATTGCATCCAAACAAGACTTGTCTTCCGGAACAAACCTAAGCTCGGTCAAACTTTCTTCTTCATTTACATCTTGATCATTATTTTGATTTCTACCTACAATAGACAGAGAAATAAAATTAATTCCTATGAAAAAAAAAAGAACTACTATATTCTTATATCTATGCTAAAATAAGATCATTAATGAACGAACTAGAACAAGAACCCTCCCTTCCCTCCAAAAAAGAAAAATTATAATTAATTTCATTCCTTTAACCTTGCTATTCTTTTCATGGATATCTACTTTAACCTTTTCAATATAAATATTATTCTCTTTAATCATAATGGAACTCAACATATTAACTTATTTACTAATGGAAAAGATATTTTATAGATGAAAAGATAGATTCAATAGACGATGGTTATGGTTGGGTCTAGGATAAATTACACACAAATAAGAAGCATTATTTTATTATGGGGGTCCGCAATGGTCGAGCAAGTTGAGGGACTAACAAAAATTTATGTTGTGTTCAAATTCCGTTCGCGGGAATTAATAACACAAAAAAGTCGAGACCCTACTTGACTACTTACAACACTACGGTGTGGGTTCGATTCCTGTATTGAGACGGTAACGTCCCCACCCTGAGATTCATAGGAAAGTGAGCTACCCCTGTGTATTACACCATAGCTCCTGGTCCTCCAGATTGGGGGTTGGTAAGGAAAGTTCCTGTTGAAGGGGGAGTGAAATGTGGTCGCGTCTGATTAGTAAACCACGTGCTCCCTCGAAATCTCAAAGGTGAGATAGTGAAACAATCACTACTGTCGCCTATAACAAGCTGCACAAAGAAGACTCATGACTTAAAAAGTTTAAGTCAAAAGGTGTAGGGAAAAAATTTTTGTTTATGATGGGCCATCGTTTATAACTAAATTTTAGGCCTTTCTCAGGGGTACAAATGCGAGTTATACAGAGAAAATTACTTTTCGATGTGAACTATTATTTATTTGTGTTATTTATTTTTTTTTTTATTTGCTCCACTTTGATGGGCACCGAAAGATTTCATGATCACACTAAAAATGGAAATCTAAGTGTTTCTGTAAACAGAGGTAGGTAACTCTCTGGTAGCAAGGGCCTGAATTCAACAGAAAAGGAACGACTAGGGGGATTGTTTGTCCCTTTTAAGTGAATGGAACACAAAAGCTGTGATGTGATTAAAGTAAATTAAGGTCCTAATTTTGACTAAAAAGTACTTAAATCGCTATTTAAATAGAGAAGACATTGTAATCCTCGGAATTCGATTTATCGTGAGACCTCTAGATCTTGACCCACTCATCAAAGCGGAACAACACAAGTAAAATAGTACTTGATTAATTTCTTATAAATCCAGAAAAGTGAAAATTTGGATATCAAAGATTTACAAGATATTAAGAGAGATGTCATTGAACACATTCAGCTATTTCCAGCACTCCATGTACAAGTGTGATCAATGTAAATGATTTAAGCCATGTGTCATTTAGGTGGGGCACTTGTGTACAATTCAATGTATTGTATAAGTAATTTATGCTGTTATTTGTATACACACATTAATAGGATGGTTAAAGATTGACCTCCTACGAATTCTGCTAGTGCATGCATTCAATGTATGGTGTGCTGATTTTATCTTGATATACTGCCATCAAGATGGGACACTACTATAGTAGTAACTATTAACAAAATACTTTTATAATGAATAGAGCTGTTATCATACCTGCAAAGTCTATATCTGTATCGATCATTAAATACAAGCAATCATCTGAATATACCCTCCTGTCACGAGAAACAGCATGTATGCTGATATGAGGATATTCCAATGAGAAACCTTGGCCAGAGCCGCTGTTCACCCATGATAGGTGGCTGCAAAAATAAAAATATAGCAGCTTAATAGTTTTGAAATCATGAAAATAAAAACGAATAAATTCAATTACAACACTAAATTTTACATATAAATATTAATTCTAAAATCTTTTCTTACCTTTCAGCTATGTACAACGTACCCTTGCCAAGTTCTCTGTCATTAATAAAAGCCTTGATAGATGGTTGTTCATGGCGAACTCCATGAGATGGTGGAGGTAAACTTGTAACTACCACCATTTTTATCTATATGAATAGTAATATTAGTTAACAAACACCCAAATCAAACACAAGTATAGTGGATCCCACAGAAACAAACAAAACAGAACATTTAAATAGTTTTATGTCAGGCCGAGAACAGTGTTGCCATGCTCACATTACACATTGAAAACACTCACTATTTTTTAATCATGTGCAGATAGATATTTCAGCTATATCTATTTCATTCTACATCAAAATAAACAGTCACACTAATAACTCTTAAATACAATTTCGAATAAAGCTTTAATCAAAGACAAAACTATTTTTTGAAAGATCATGACAAACAAAGGACAGCTGCTTTATTTCTATAACCAATAAACTTACAAGATATGAAGTATATTTCTTAAGATCAAATTGACAAGAAATTCAAATTATATCAAAATCTCAAGTTTTTCTTCAACTTTAATATCATGCATAGATAGTGGAGGAAATGTTAAATACATTGGATTGATTTTACTATGTGTTGTGAAACATTTTACACCTGGAATGTCCATAAAAGTGAGTAATTGCACATTAAAAAAGGAAATGTTAAATCTTGATAGATTAAGCGTCTATTTGTATCTCCTAGCTTAGATTTTCAACGATGAGACAGGGGATTTGTTGAATTTTAAACGTCAACACATCTTGACGGATCCTTGGAGCAATGGTTTTAACATTAAATACAGCTGGCTAATCAATTACATGGCGTCTAAACCTATGACCTCTTGTGAGATAAATCTATGAAGTTCATCTTTCATCGTCATACAGAAATCCTACTCCAGTAATTATGGACCTGATAACATCCCAGTCAAACTGATTTAAGCCAGCCATTCATTCTTCCACATCTAAACCTATTCATTACAAAATTCCTTCCCTATTTCTCGGAAAACGGTTCTTGTTTGCACCTTGCAGATACCTTCCGATGAAATTCTTAATGGTTTCTGCCAAATTTCTTTTCTTTCAAATTTATTCAAACATTTAGAGCGACTAGTTCAACACCAATTATCCCACTTTATAGAGCAGAATAACATTCTAAAAACCTTCCAGTCTGGTTTCAGGTCTGGTTATAACACTCAATTCACCCTCATCAGAATTTCTCTAGATTTCTACAGTCCTGGACCAGCAGAAACCCAAATCTTTATTCGCCTTGACTTTTCCAAAGCCTTTGATACAATTTTCTCCTTTCCGAACGTCATGGACTGTACTTGTCGGTGGTTCCGATCCTTCCTAACCGGTAGTTTTCAGTACGTGATTGTACAAAGAAACATTCTGCTTATGTATCGCCAGGCGTGCCCATCTCCCACGAGATGGATGACACATGAACCATCTCTCCTCATTCCAAAAATGTTATTACTCTCCTGTTCTTAAAAACAGTGCAAGCGAAAGTAGCATTAGACGAATCGTTCAAATACAATTAAACTTGCTATGGTCTGTCCCTTGTTTTCCTCCTAGTTCTATTTTCACTCCGCAAATTCATGACCTCGTCGAAATTTGCCTCCCTCAAAAATTCAAAACTCAGTCAAAATGTGTCCCCACAAAAATTTTGATAGCGGAACTTGGTTAATCAAGGTTGGTCATTAACATTGGTCCTTCTCTCTACCTTCATCAATCACCTCTCATTCACCATCCAACATTCCCAGTATCACCTATATGCTGATGACATTCAAATATATCTCTCCTTTGACACTGCCGAGTCTTATAATGTCATCAAGAAACTGCAGGCAAGATGACTAAATCCATCAATGATTGGATTCTCTCCCCTCCTTAAACCTTTCCCAGGAAAGCCTTATATCCATCAATTTTGTCCATCAGTGAAAACAAAATGCGTTAGAATTCTATATTTGGAAATTGATTATTTGAGTATGAATAGTGATTAAAAAAAAAGAAATCCCAGAACATACTGAAGATGTAAATCGCAACTGTGAGTGCTAAAAGCCGTGTGTAAAAATTGAGTGTTTTATAAGAGAGCATAAAAACTAATTATTTCATTATTATCTCAATAATAAATAATTCAGAAATTTCATATTTTATTTGCCATGTTACCTACCTATATCAGTTTCATACTACGAAATGTCACCTTTAGCACCCATAGAATAAAAACGGGAAATTGTTACATACGACCTTTCCACTAACAGTAGCGATGTATTCCTATATGAGGCATATTTGCACAAATAAAACGGATGGAACAAAAAATCCATAGGAAAAATTGAATTTTTTGTTTACTCGGACTTAACGAGACTAATATTTTCCCTCGATCAGAACAAAACTAATTTAAGCTGGAATATAAAAATATGATTGAAATTCACACTACTTTGATGATTAAGGAGGAAATCGAGACCATGAAGAGTTGCTTGAATTTCAATGGAGGCAAACAAAATCACAAATAAGACTTTTTAAAATAAATGCATTTATGGTTTGCGAGTAATCAACAACCATTCATCTTCTATGATTTTCTGACATAACCACTAATATCTGAGCTCGCCATGGAGACTTGCTTTCTTCGATGATTCCATCTTCTAATATCCTGTGAATTTCTTGCTCAACAAATAAGGAGTCTAATCTAGAATGGCGTCGAGATTTCATAGCAACTGGTTTATAATCTGGAGTAATATGCGTGAAGCTTAGCTCTTTCTACGTTCACTGCATTTAGACTAGATAAAAATAGTGGACCTCTTTTACCATCGAACTTAACCTCTAAACTCGAGTGTCCTTTAAGAATGTCCTGGCCAATTATAATATCTGCACACAAATCATTTAGGGTGCTAAAAACGACATCTTTATAAAAATAATCTTGAAGAGTCAGGGCTGCTATGCACTGTTTACTAAAAGTTGTTGAAGCCATGGTTACCTGTTCGACTTTATAGGATATAAAAGTGATCTTATGTTTACAAGCTAAGCTTTCATTGATAAAACTTGATTAACTACCAGTATCAAGAACTTGAGCATCGAGATTGTTAACCTTAGCTTGCAAAATAGTTTTGGAGATACATTTTGTCAAAAAAACTACACAATTAGAATAATCAGTCATTTTAGGTAGGAATGACTTAATTTGATGCCTTTGTCTAAACACTTTTTGAAAATGGCCTTTCTCTTCACAATATCTGTATTACGCATTTCTCGTTGTACATCCGATACGACTATGCTTAGGAGCTCCGCAGAAGAAGCATTTCGTTGAGATAACAGCTATTGCGACTTCAGAGTCAAGAGATTCATTCTTTGTACAAGAACTCTCATAACCTCGAGGTGAAGTACTACCTGCATCAACAGCTGCGCTAACAAGGGCTGGCAGGTCAAGTAGTCGAGACTGCTCCTGAGCCGATTCCAGTAATATCGCCTGCTGGGAAGCCTGCGCAAGAGTCAAGGAGTCGTTTTCTAATAACCTTTGACAAATTTTAGAAGACAACAATCCATATATATGCATTCCTGATTGATTCATCTCTATAGTCCTCTGCAGACACAGACTTAAAAGAGCGATCCTTGGCGAGTCGTCTCAAAGCTTCCAAGTATTTTTATGTCGTTTCTCCAGAACCTGACTGACGTCTAGTTCTGAGTTTATTTGCTGCGGTGGGTAAAGATGGAACAAATTTCGACGGTGAGACAGCGGCAATCCTCATAGCCTCAAGAACATTGTCTAGAAGGCGGGATCAGAGCACTGTTCTCTTCATCGACTCTCAAGCAGCTATCTTCACTGTTACAAACAAGAATGAATGTATATCGAAAGCTATATTGGAATGCAAATCCCTCCTTCCTTACCTGACACCCCGAGACACCAATGTGGTCCTACAGTGGATCTCCAGCCATTGTGGGATTCCGGGAAACGTTGAGGCTGATATTCTTGCCAAGCGAGGAACAGATTTGCCTCAGCCGATACAGCCAAAACCTTACGACTCAATACGGCGAATGTTAAAAATGGTAGTGAAGGAAGAAATAAGAAAAGCACATTTGGGCAAAGAGGAAGAGAAACGTTATGAGTGTTTAAAAGATAACCCGATTCCAGCTTAACTGCCGAGAAGAGATGCACTTGCCTGCTTCCGCCTGGCCACTGCTCAGGACTATCGGCAGAGTCACTCTACAAGATAGGCGTGGCTAAGGATCTTAGCTATAAATTGTGTCATCAAGGAACAATGGATGCAGACCATCTAGAGCCATGTCCTGCCGTGAGCGACATAAGAGAACAAATATTTTCAAATATATATATTAGAAAGTCTAAATTATACTGGGCAGCAAGATGTCGAATGGCCAAATGACCAACGACTGGCATAAGAGAAAAAAAAACATTCTGAGTTTATGGCGACCGAATATCTCACTAATAATCTTAACATAAACTTTTTTTAATGTCTCAATAATTTTAACATATCTACCAGCTTCACTAATGTATTCATACACTGATGGAGGGATGAAATTAATTAATAATTGTAGTTTCTCAGATTCTGTGCTTATTTTAACTGGGGATATGAAATATTGAAACGTTTTAAACCAATGGTCCCAATCTTGAGCGGCAGTACTGTTTTAGGTGAAATTGATAGTCTCTCGGGTCCAAGAAGTTTCTCCATCGCAAAGAATTCAGTTTAATATATTTTTTTAGAGTTGAATAAGGAATACCGTGAGACATATATGCTTTATTAAACTGAATTCAACGCACAATAATGAGATTAATTAAATTAATAAGGTTAACCAACTGATATATTTGATAACTAGATTACAATATATCATATATCAATACATTGCTTCTTCCTCTCCCAGTCCAATTTTGGAGAGAGTATTTGTAAGATTACATGCAAAGCAAATTTATTAACTTGTAATAAGAGTTTCCTTTGATCTTGAAATATGAGCATATCTCAATTCTCTAACAGAACGAATTAAGGACTTTTTTTGTGGTGGAACTTTGGGTGGAGTCTCTTCGCATTCTGGCTAGTATAGGTTCCTTGCCTGGAGTAAGAGCAATCGTTCCTGCCATCGTTGGAGCACACAAAGAGGTTGAACCATATAAACAAAAAAATAACGATTTTTAAATACAAAAAAAAACTTAACAACAATCACCTGATGTACTATTCTTTACTATCAATAGTTACCAATCAGCTGTTTTTGAACAGCAAGTATTTAGGTCTACTACGTAGTTATGTACTGCGTTTTAAATCAAAATCAATTCAATCTTAAGCCTAGTACACGATAGTAGACGATGTGTCGCGATTTGTCTATAGACCGTCAAGAGACACCATTCTTATTTCGTCTAGCTCCCGCACTATGATGTGAATTTCTCAGTCTCATTTTCGCAGTCCACCATAGAGGACACAGTTTTGAGTGGAATGAGTTCCTGCTTAGTAATAATTACAAGTGAAAGAACACGAAAAATTAAATGTTGGTAGATGCACAAAGTGATCGCGGAAGGACTTAGGTTCGATAATGCATTATTAAATAAATTAAGAATGGAAGACGCCATTGTTATCTTCAATTAGTTTTAAAACGTTCGCGTTCGACCACATGTTTTCAAAGGAACTGTGCTACTTTGGAAAATAACTGCAAACAGCCGACCAACCATTCGGTGATTGGAGACAGACTGGGAAGTGCCTCGACTCTAGATGGTGAGTGATACTGTCAAAATGTAGCGCAAGATGTCTAACGTTGCATGTGGTCCCTCATTCCAATCGGGAGACTTTAAACCTGCGATTTTTAGTCTTGCAACAGGCTCGTAGATGGGATTTGTCTATATACATGTCTCTGTAGACAACCTGAGACACGTCACAGAAACAAAAATCACACAACATGCTTATTAGTTTGAACTATGCTTTAAATTATATTATTTTAATGCTCTATACTCCTGGATTCAGAGTTTGGTTTGGAGTTCTCTCGCCAAATTGTAAATATTGTATATAGGTGTGTATGTGTTCTTTTTATTTATTTATTTTTAGGTTATTTTATTCTTATTTATTGTATATATATTATTTTTCTGTATAATTTATTTTATTTATTGTACATAGAGTGTAAATGTGATCTGTGAACTCTATTATAAATGTCCTAGAGACAGATTGTAATATTTTTCAATAAATAAGTTTAAAAAAAAAATAAAAAAAAATTGTAATGCTCTAGCAACATTGTATTGCCTCAACAAATATTTTTTTTTAATAAAGGAATTTTCCACTATTATAGTTTTCCTTGACCTAAATCTCATTAAGGATATTTTTCCAAAGTTCTCAATTCATAGTTTTCTCTTCTCTGACCCCATGTCTCAAACCGGCTTTCTTCCTTAGTTTACCTTCGGTATTTCTTTTTCCGTTCTACCCTCTACTTCCAGTTGCATAATTATTTTGGAAACCTTTCTGTAAGCATTCTTTTAACAAGTCCAAAACCATCTTAATATTTTTTCTTCAATATCTTCTACAACGTTCTTTTTCAGCACCATCAGTTACAGAATTATTTTATTTTTAAATCTTTCCCTTTTGGATTTTCTAGCTGATCTAATTTAAAAGTCCATTTCCAACGCTAGACTACCTCTTATAAATTATTACTAATTCGATCAGAGAGATATTAAATATTCCATTTGATTTTCAGGACCCAGTTGTAGTTGGTGTAAGATTGTTTTTGCGTCCTTCATATGTCATATTCAATTCTCTGTTAAGAAGTCAATCAACCCTTAAATCTACAGTAAATGTTAATCTTTTTTATAATAGTAACAATGCATTGATTGATACCCGAAATCAGTTAATACCAGAAAGGTATCATGTATTTTCGAGGATTCACACTTCAAATGTACTGCCATCTAATGACCAAACAACACAAAATCAAAATGAAGTTAAAGAAGTACAGAAAGTTAAACCGAAAAAAAAGAAGAAACCATTAGGAAAGAGAATAATAAATGAACTAAAACATTATTACCATGGTTTCAGATTGCTTTTTATAAATGTAAGAATAGCACTTGGGCTAACAATTAAAAAGTTGGGAGGGCATCAGTTGTCAAGAAGGGAACATAACTTGGTGAGCATGTCATGGTTACTAAGCTATTGTTTTAATATTGTATTGTATAATAAATCATAAATTAAAATTCATAGTTTAAATAACGTAAGTAGTTTTGAACTTGCATGGCCTCCTTGATTACAGTAGAGGGGTTGAGAGGTAGGGAATTCATTTTTTTAATTTTGGTTTATTATTTTCAATAATGAAACATTGTGATCGACCAAAAAATTCAAAAACATAACCCCCTCTCAAAATTTGAGGTTTCACGTTTCAAGACGAGTAGAATTCGAAAAACGGATAAAAAATTTTTTGTCCGTCCGCCGTTCGCCGTCCGCGCATTTTCTCCGAAACTACTGGTCCGATTTTTTTCAAATTTTGATATAAAATCAGAGGTCACCCGAGGATGATCCTCCTTCATCGACATTACTCTCCGCTTTTAACTTTCAAAATGGCGGCCGAAAAACCTGCGTTGCTATAGACTGTAGCTCCTAAACGAATGAACAGATTTCAATGAAACTTCCCTAAACTCATTTTTTCAACGCCCTTTAAATTTATCTATATAACATACTTCAACGAAAAGAAGCTGGAAAAAAAGTTACGAGGGATGGTAAAATTAAATTCCGAATAACTCGAAAAGTTTTTACTTGTTTGTAGATATTTATGATTTTTTAAAAGTTTACGAAATTTCCTAAAAAATAAAAAAAGAAGAATCGTTAAAATCGGACAATTAGGAGCAAAGATATGGTCTCCGGGTTTTTTTTTTTATGTGTTCTACCCCAAAAGTTATATCCTTGGTTTGGTTTTTAATTTTTAAATGTGTTACTGAACTAATGCTATTTTTTTTAGCATATTACTAATGATTAAAGAAAAACAGTTTAGTCCAGTAACTGGAATCGCCTCTTGTTTTTTTTCTTTGTAACTCGGAAGGTAATGTTACTTTAGATGTACAATTGTTTGGAGATAATAAACCATTGTGAAATAATTTGCAGCGTTTTTCTATTGCGTTGGGCCTGAAAATATGAATCAATAGCAACTCTAGAATTTAGTTCACATACATTTAAAAGAAAATGTTAGACATTTTCTTGTCTTGAAATAATCATTTAATTCCAGTACATAATTTAAACATTTAGTATGGCTTTTTCTGTTTTTAAATATTAAAATAAAAGGTTTTATACAGGATAAATTAAATTTTTATACAGGGTAAGTTAAGAGTTAGAATTAAATTAATGAAATTATTACAAACCAATGAGGATTAAAAAAATCAGTTATATTATTTTCCTACATCATTGTAGATTAAAAATTATATATATATATATATATATATATATACGTTGACTGAAATTTTATAATTAACATCAAGCTTAAAAAAGCAATATAATAAACCCAACTATAGCAATATTTTTTTAATTTCTAGTTGAAACGAACAGCAGGAGACATATTCAGACTGCTCCCTTTCTCAATATTTATAATTGTACCATTTATGGAACTCACCCTTCCAATCTTCCTGAAACTTTTTCCTGGAATGTTGCCGACTACATTTCAAACAAAAAAGGAAAGAGTAAGTTTCTTAAATTTCAAAATAATTTAAAAATAAGCACACTTAAATACATCTTTTTCAGGCAGCAAAAGCAAAGCAGTCATTTAAAATGAAATTGGAAATGACTAAATTTCTGCAAGAAACATTGGATGAAATGGCTCCTCTGACTATAAATTTAGAATCCACTGAATTAGCTAAAGATTTTACAGAATTTTATCAAAAGTTAAGTGTTAATTTTATAATAAAACGTTATACCATATCTATATTTAAATTTAAATATTGATTTGAAGTTTAAAATTTGTTCACGTGATTTATAAAGAATATATTATACTTAGGTACGGACAACAGGACAGTTACCCTCAACTCATGATATTCTGAAATATTCTAAATTATTTGAAGATGAAATAACGTTGGATAAACTTCCTCGAGCACAGATAATAGCTCTTTGTAGGTTCTTGAATCTACCAGCGATTGGTACCACAAGATTTCTAAGATTTCAGCTCAAGTCGAAAATAAGGAATATTCAGATTGATGATAAGGTTTATGTTTGATTAACATAGGTTTCTTTTATATATATCAACAAAACTGATATAAGTTTTTTTAATAATTATTTTAATATATATTAGATAATTCAAAAAGAAGGAATTAGAACAATGAGGCTTAGTGAACTAAAAGAAGCTTGTAGGGTAAGAGGAATGCGATTTTATGGTCTTTCCGAGACCAGATTAAGAGAACAGCTTCAGCAGTGGTTAGACCTTTCTATAGTAAAAAAGATACCTCCATCATTACTGCTCTTGTCTCAGGTACGTAAGCCAGGATTTAAAACTACCAATATTGATAAAATTAAGAAACATTATATCTAGGGGGATTAGAAAAATTAATCTGAACATTAAAACAGGGGTCTCCAATCTAGAGCTTGTGGTCACCACTGTGCCCAGTTATGCAGGGGTGCCCATCCTCCCAAGATAGATGGCGCAAGAACCTCCTGATGAATAAGATTCATGATAATATAATAGAAGTGCTATGCAATTATCTGCTGACGTTTTTAAAATAAGATGTTTGTTCTTCATCCAAGTGGCCAAGCAGGCTAATGCGTGTTCACAGCACCGCGCGTAGTCCGTCAACTCGGGTCAAAAATAGGATGATAAAATAATTACGAGTTTGCGTACCGCTCCCCGAGAGAGCTTTTAACTCAGGCATTAATCTTCCGCCCTTATTCCCTGACCAGGAAAAATCCCGAATAGCTTAAAATACGGAGAAGGGAAGGATATGATAATAATAATAAAAACAATGATAGGGTCCAAGTTCATTCCCTTGGACTGCGCAATGGAGCGAGCATATCCTTGGAGCTTACTCGGAAATTGCAGTAATACACAAATGTTGTCTGTTTATGTTTTTGAGGGTATTGAATTTGAATTGAAGCCATTTGCTTGATAAGATACATTGCATTTAAAGCAAAATATTAATTTCTATTTGATCTTGAATTTAAAAAGACTAACGTAGAACCCACATACCAGACTTAAAAGACAACTAAACAGACGATTCGGACAGCTATATGGACTAATGAATAGAAAATCTCAACATTCAGTCGACAACAAACTACTAATCTACAAGACAATTCTGAAACCTATCTGGACCTGCGGACTTGAGCTGTGGAGGTCAACAAAACCTTCTAACATTAAGTCCTCCGAACAATAGTCGATGCTCTCTTCTATGTATCCAACAAAACCCTCCATAATGACCTTCATATCCCATTTGTTATTGACCTAATCCCAGACAAATTTTCCAAATTTCACCATAAATTCACTCATCATCCAAATCCTGTAGCACAATCTCTATCTAGCTTCAGCCATCCCTACAATCCTCCCCGGAGGTTAAAATGACAGTGGCCCCGCGACCTTTTGTAAATATATTGGAGTACTGGGCGTCTGTGAGCAAATCCTGAGCGTCTGTTGCTGTAATGCCCTCCATCAGTCTCCACTGGCTTGCAATCTCAGTGACGCGGCTGGGAGAGAAGCACTGGGATCCCTGAGATCTCCTGGAGTCCTGCCTTGGCTTCCACATTTGGGGGACAAAGCATGACTCAGAATCCTCTGGGCTAATGTAAATATTGCATATAGGTGTGAATGTGTTTTATACATTTCAATTTCATTTAGCTTCTCTCAATTTTTTTATTATTATTTTTTTTTACCTATGTATGTTAATTTTCTTATTTTACTTTCCACAACTCTTTTTCTTTTATCTCTATTTTAGTTATCATTTGTATGTATATATTGAGTGAATGTTTAATGTAGCCCTGATATTAATGCCTTTCAATGCGGCAGAATGTATTGATTTTCAAATAAAAAGAAAAGATCTTGAATTTAATTGTATAATAAGTTTTTAATTTTCTCTGTTTAAAAGTTATGTGTCTAAATATGAAATATTACATTTACGAGAGTCTGTTCCATACTGTTATACGACCATAATCTTCTAGTTTAAAAAAATTTTATCATATTAAACCAATTAAGAAAAATCGACTACCTGGCTATGCTAGAGCCCTTAGTAGTAGGTATGGAAGTAATTTATTGATACTTTAGTGCCATTTTTATTTAAATTTTCATTCTTATCATATTTTCCGCGATAAACTAGTCGGACTCTGAAAACCTATTTTTTTTTAAGATTGTTCACACTAAGAAATCAAAGATATTTTTCACTTTTTTAGATTATTCATTTTTAGCTGTAAACGTTATAGAAATGTGCCAACGCTGTGGAGGCTGCTTCCCCTTTCTCCTGTGTTTAATCTTAACGTTATATATTCAATCCTATTTTTACTTTCACTTACGTATATATGTAATATATAGTAAGTGTAAGTATTGCGATCGAGAAAATTTTTGAATCTGAGTTTTCGACGGATTTATACGTTTTGAGGTCCCCTGAGTCGAAATTACTAAGTCCCGAAAAATGGTCTGTGTGTCTGTGTGTTTGTACGTTAGCAGTCTAGCTCAAAAACGAAAAGTCCTATGAAACTGATATCACGTATTTAAGATAGGTATATGCCTTAGTTGTGACAGCAACTTTTTCCTTAAAATCGACTAACCGGAAGTGCCACTTTATATCAACGCTGAAATACATTTTCACAGTTTTCTCAAAAACGGCTTTAACGATTTTGATTAAACTCGGTGTATCATTGTATAATTAAGTGGTCTTTAATATAAATTAGGTCTTATCCCCATTGATGTCACTTTACAGGGCTAAAATGCCCAATGTTCATATACGTCTTCCTCTAAAGTACCTTTAATATGGTTTATTTTAAAAAGATAAATATTTCGCATTATTCAGAGTTACGAAAAAATGCTAAATATAACTTTTGAAAGAATTTGATAAGTTAATAAAGGAGAAAAAAAAATAAAAATGCAGAAAAACGTAGCTATAGACTGTAGCGTCTAAATGAATGTAGCGATTTCATTGAAACTTCGCTAAAGTCATTTTCTCGATACCCTTCAAATTTATCTATATAACATTCATCAGCGAAAAGAAGCTGGAAAAAAGTTACGAGGGATGGTAAAATTAAATTCCGAATAACTTAAAAAGTATACACTTTTTTGGGAATGTTGTAATGGTTTTCTAAAAGTTTATGGAATAGCCTAACAAACAAAAAAAAATCGTTAAAATCGGACAATTAGGAGATAAGATATGGTCTCTAGTTTTTTTTAATACGTTCTGCTGCAATGGTTATATCCTTTGTTTCGGTTTTTGAATTTTGAATGTGTTAATAAGGTAATGCTAATTTTTTTAGCATATTACTAATGATTATTAGGAAAAGTTAAGTCCATTAATTGGAATCACCTTTTATTTATTTTTCTATGTAACGCGGAAGGTAATGTTACTTTAGATGTATAGTTGTTTGCAAATAATATACCATTGTTAAATAATTAGCAAAAAATATTTAGCGAAAAAATGCTTAATATAACTTTTGAAACAATCTGATAATTGAATAAAGGAAAAAAAATATATATAAATGCTTGTACAGTTTGAAAATAAATCCCTGGAAATACAAGTCAGAAGTATACTTATAATATATCGTTGGAAAGCGGAGAATTTTAGAAAAACAATATCTAATATAGGAAGTTGTAGAAGGTAACGGAAAGCGGCGAAAAACTTATAAGTAACAATTTTTGAAAACTGATAATATTTAACATCAAGGAAATTAAATGGAATTTACTGACAAAATGTAAACTTTAAAAAATCTTTTTACGTCTTTAGAAAGTATTTAAAATCCATCTAAGCAAGTTAATGGTATTGTCAAAAAAACTATTTCAGTGTACTTGTGTGAAAGAAGAAATAAAATATAAAATCATTTCATGGATGTATAAATCATGTTTATAATATTAAATACATTTACTGTAGTTTAGTAATTATTTATTAAATTTTAAATTGGTCCACAATCGTCTTATTTTTTTGGCTATATTCAAGGAATTGCTGTGTTATATAGGTGTGCAATGTTATATTGCGTTCCTGGCGTTTGAGAATTTAAAGAGAAAAAAGGAATTTTATTTTTTATTTTGGGAAAGAGTTTATTATGCTATGTCTATTGTTTAATATGGTCTGTTGTTGATAATTTGTAAGAGTATTGTTATGAAGGGGGAGAAAAAAAAAAAATATATAATATAAAATTAATGTCCGTATGGATTGATAAGTATGCTGTGTACGAAGCAACCCTATGTAGTAGGGCAGCATTACTTTTAATAAAGTATTTCTCTCTAAATAATTAGGTGTTAAAGTTTATTCCAAAATATTGTCATATAACTTTTTAGAAAACTAAATTAGTGAATATTTCGATAGATCTTCCCTTTGTGATATTCCACTACCATTTCATTGTACTTGTGTGAAAAAAGAAGTGAAATACAAAAATATTTCATAGATACGTTTATAACCCTTAATATATTTACTGTAGTTTAATAATTCTATATCTGGTAATATATTTAAATATTTAGATATCTATCGTCCGTTTATTCCGAAAAATCATCAACCTTTTAGAAAATTAAATTAGTGAATAGTTTGATCATTTTTCTTTTTGCGATATTCCAACAGAATCCACTTACAATTAGTGTGAAAACTTTTGACCTGTCCATAGACAGATACTGTAAATCTCTTATTTCCGTTTTAATAAACTTTGCAATGGAAAATAACAGTTTAATGACTTATATTCGTGCAATCCATAATCAATGGATCGAACAATCCATAATCAACCGGTGATATAATAGGACTTTTTTTATTTTAATAGCATTTGTGATTTGTTAGCTTTAGCTCAGTTTAACGCACCAGATTTTTTAAAGATATTTTCAAGTACATATACATATAATAAGTAAATCAAAAAGAAAATATCCTTACAATTATACAAACACAATATGTTTACAACATAATTAATAATTACATATTATGTTTATATTATAAACAAACCAATTTTAAATATTCAATATTATATTTGTTCGTTTCACAATATTTATGTTACATTTTTTAAAATAATAGAAAATCGCTTTTTTTTTTTTCCTAGGCATTTTCACTAACAAACAAATTGCCGAATGAGAAGGCATTGGCAGCTACAATCTCATCACTACCAACTGAAGTAGGGACTGCAACAAGAGCTGCTTTATCAGAACGTGAAGGGAAATTAGACTATGAAACAGAAATACGTTTACTTAAAGATGAGTTACTTAAGATTGCAGAAGAAAATAGAGAAAGCCAATTGGAAGTAAGACTTATTTATAATCTTGAAAATTTTGCGATTTGGATTAATTAATAATTATAATCTTGGCCATTTTATCTATTGTATTTCGTCTTAGCATCAGAAAAAGATGGAGTCATTCATGATAGACCCGAAAGATGAAGCTTCAGAACAACAGAAGCGTTATGAGATAATGAAGAAAAAACTGTTTGAGGTAACAAAGGATTCAATTTTAAAACTACAAGCGCGAATTTACATGGCACTATGCTTAAACTAATGTTTATATTTTTACTTTGTTGTCTCATTTTCCAATATTATACAATAATACGGTTTGGCGAATCCGAAGGTTCGATGCTCATACCACCAATCATGTCTACATTCTTACGTCCACCGAACGTTGTCTAATCTTAACCCAACCAGATGAGCATTAACGCTATCTTCCCACCTTCGCTTCGTTCTACCCCTCGAACGCTTGCCAGTCAAAACTGCGCATATTAACTTTTTAGCAATTCTTGCCTTACAATTTTACATGCATATTTTATTTGTTGCTATGTAATCACCTCAATTGTATTAATCGGATTCAGTTCACGCAATTCGGCGTTGTGCAACCGTCTAAATTCTCATCCTTTGTTGACTCATCCTTCTTTGGTTCGAATATACTTCACAATATTTTATTTTCAAAAAACCGTGCGACGTTGCAGCAGACGCAAACTAATTAGTTCCGCAACTGAAAATTCTGCAAATTCAATACAGATCTCATGGATTCTGGATGTTTGAAATCTGCACTGGCCTAAGTTACTGTACTACAGCGGTCTCCAAACTAGGGTCCGCGAAAGTTTTTTTCACTACATGAAAACAAGGTTACTACATGAAATACAAGGTTACCACATGAAATACAATGTTACTGCATGCAATACAAGGTCATCACATAAAATACAAGGTTACTACATGAAGTACAATGTTACTACATGAAATACAATGTTACTACATGAAATACAATGTTACTGCATGCAATACAAGGTCATCACATAAAATACAAGGTTACTACATGAAATACAATGTTACTACATGAAATACAAGGTTACTACATGAAATACAAGATTACTACATGAAATACAAGGTTACTACATGAATACAAGGTCACTACATAAAATACAATGTTACTACATAAAATATAAGATAACTACATGAAATACAAGGTTATTACACATTTTATTGCGTGAGTTGTTTCTCTTATAAAGCTCATTTCACAAATAACAAAATAAGATATTTTTTTATCACAAGCTATGGCCCACAGGACCTAGAGAGTGGACATCTCAATTTGGCCTGAGGCCCAAAAAGTTTTGTGAACTGCTATAGTGGAAGGGGACTTTTAATTTATAACCTGTAAGCAGTCGTAATATATTAATTTATCTGAAGATATATATTATAGTATAGAGCACATAAAAGTACTGTGTTACCAGGTAGATGAATTATATATACATTTTTCTAAATCATTAGTTTGAATAAGCATACAAAAAATATATATTTTTTTTTAAGGATCTTACCATCGACGAACTTACAGTTTTGGAGGAGGCGTTGGGACTTAATCTTTATATAGAAAAAGACTGTTTAGCTGAATTGAAGAATGATCTTGAAAATTATGAACAGGTATACAGATCATATAGAATAAAACCCCAGTTTTCAGCTCTCACTTGCATTTGTTAAAGAATATATAAGCGTTGTGAATGGTCCAGGCTGGCGAAAAGCTCTCATTTTAAGCAGGAATCCCTCCTGCACTCACTTATTCCATTATTTATTTAGTTTTACTGGTCGAAAAAATCGCTTAAGATTATAAATCCGATAGATGTCGCCCATGAAGGACGTTTCTTACGTTTTTGACAGGAAACACACATTTCTACATAATATCATTAAAGATTTTTCGTTCTGAAGGCTGCAAGATTTAATTCATTAGGTTTTTGAATATTGGGTAAGGAGTGCCGAAAAATCGAAAATGGTGCTGATAACTAGCGCATATGGATATTTTCCTGTTTAAATACGAAAAAATAAATGAAAGACACTAGTTTGATTAATTACAATTATCGCAATTCTTTTTTCAATAAAATAATATAACTTTTTTATCTACACAAGAATAAGACAAATAATTGCTTATTGGAGATTCTTAACTATAAGACTATATTTCCTGATATATCTTTGAAACTAGTGAAGCTCTTCATTTAATTAATATCAACGATTAACTAATTTTGCACTCAACCAAATCTCGTTCCTGTGATAGTCCAAATTGGTCACATTTTATTAATTTAAATTCTTCACATATACAAATACATTTGTAGAAAATAATGACTGACGGAGAGAGCTTAGTTTGCATGTTTACATTGTATCTTCTTTCTCTCTGAGATCCACATTTAACCTTCTATATGGGGAATTTGCGAAAATTCCAAGTCATTAATTTCAGATGATAACATTCAGTTCTAAAATCTAAAACTCAGTTTTTAAAAATGTATTGCTTTTTCATAAGAGATAAGAGCAAGAGAGTTAAATAAACATCCATTAGAAGGCCTTTTCCTCTTTGTTGACTAACGGAGAATGCCATCTTATACATTATGGGACCACCAAGAAATAAATTTTAGGTGTTCAAATTTAACTTATTTTTTATTTTACAACCGAATTTAAAAGGGTGGTAGGTGATGCTAAGTCTATGAGAATCTATAAACTTGTGTACAAAATTTGACTGGTTGTGGAGAGATAAGTAAATGGAACGAAAAGTTAGTTACACCATAATTTATTGAAGCATTTTACCACGCACTAATCAATTATTTGATTCTTGGTTAACCTAATAACTCTTAATTTAATCTCAACTATTATATTTCATAATTTCCTTTTTTCTTTGTTTAATAGAAAATCAAAGAGTTAAAAGAAGTGATGTCAAAGTTGAAACTTTCTGATGTACTAGTAGAGACTTTGGCAGCCAAACGACTTCATAGAAAAATACTTATGATAACGCAAAGGCTTGATGAAGCATTAGTAACGATAGAAAACAGAGAAGCTACTCGTTATGAAGAACCTCAACCAGATTATAAAGCCAAGAGGTATCATAATTTGAACCAATTACTTGAAATTTAGAAAAGTATTAAGTTCCAAAATTTCAATTATTCATCTTGTCCAGATACAGCCGTCACAAATTTTCATACCACAATCAGACCCTAAAAGTTCATTTTAGATTCGTGAACTTACAGAACCATTTAAGGAACAGTTCAAAATCTAGAAAATAATCTTTTTTTGCTAGAGTAAGCATGGTAAAAAAAAGGAGGTGAAGAAATGTATATCTGTTGATATAATACGTTGTTCATATCATCATGTACGAGAGTGGTCTAAAAAGTTTCCGACCTAACAAAATTACAAGACATTTTTTCTGATTTTTTTTTTTTTTTTAACATTGTCTCCTTATAACTCTATACACTTCTCTCAGCGATGCTACAATCTCTGTAACCTCTCCAAAAAGTACTCGTTATTTTTCTCAGCAAAATAGTTGTTCACGAAGGTGATAGCCTCTTAAAATCTCTGTCCTACGATCGCAATTTATAGATAAGGGAACAAAAACAAGTCGCTTGGGACTAGATCTGGTGAGTAAGGCGGATCATAATTTCATTTCATCATCATCATAATCATGTTCCTCTTTACCGCCTATGCTGTGTGAGGTTGCTTGATGTAGAGCATGGACTAGGTGGACCTTTCCAGTACCAGCTCTCGTCTCCTGTTCCATTCAAACCTCGCTTCTGGAATGCATCTCGCACGCCCTCTTCCCAGGAGATTCTGGGTCTTCCTCTCGGTCTCCTACCCTGCACGCGAGCCTCATACGTCTTCCTTGCTACTCTGTTCCGATCCATACGGAGAAGGTGCCCAAACCATCTCAACTTATTTTCTTCTATTATGGCTTCGATCGCTTTGGCATCGAGATTGGCCCAGATTGTAGTATTGCGAATTCTGTCTCGTCTACTCTTTTCTTCCACCTTTCGCAGGTATCACATCTCTAGAGCCTGGATCTGGCTCCTGTGTTTATAAGTAAGTGTCCAGGACTCGAAAGAATACGTCATCTGTAGACCGTCATCTTCGTTTCCTTGGTCACCTCTTTTCGGTTCAGAAAGCCTTTCCTAACCGAGCCGAACATTCTTCCAGCAGCTCCTATTCTCTGCCTCACCTCCTCGTCAATATATCAATTTTCGTTGAGTTGAGCACCCAAGTATTTGAAACTTTCCACCTGCTCTAAAATCTCACCGTCGAATCTCAATACCCTTATGACCCTCTGAGGTTTTCTTAAAATGCGCTGCATTTTGTCTTCTCAGGGTAAATTTCCATATTGATTTCTCTTTAATCTTCCTTTAGGATATTAATGTTGTTCTGGAGGTCACGGTCATTCTGGGCCAATATGACGAGGTCATCCGCAAACGCCAGCAGAGAGTATAGAGTAGGCTGCATATCTCTGTGACCCAACTGAAAACTTCGCATCTTCTGTTTTGCTGTCTCCAATGCCAGATCGACAACCAGTACGAAAAGAAGCGGGCTCAGGCTACAACGCTGTCGTATACCCAGTGTTATTTTATGATCAGGTACAGAAAGATAGCTAAGAAGTACTGACAGCGATAGGATGGATATTGGTGGAATAAATAAATAAACAAGGTACTTAAGGAACTATTTCGCTGGTACTGCCCACAGCAGCGACCGCTATTTCACGCAGCCAACCGCTATTGCCTAGCTATTTCGTACAAGTATTTATTCGCTTTCGGAGTCTCTTTAAAATGGCGAACTTCAATTCCCTGCCATCTGCAATTGGCCCATTCCTCAAACGAATTTTCGTATCGACTGCCGTAGAGCTTTTATATTCCGATGTCTCTGATCAACCCCCAATCTCTCGGCACTTTCAGAAACTTCAGCCGAATAATCGAAAAGTTAATTGGAAAAGGGCATTGCACAGTCGCTGCGACCTGTTGGCAATGGACCAATGTTGCAGAGGAACCTCCCATTGGCAGCGGGTTAATCCTAATCCTTGGTAGCTTCTGTGAGCGTATAACATCGCCGTAGTGTTCGCAGAGAGTCCAATATTGGACTTTATATTACTGCAAATCATGGTGTGGATGCAGTCTAGTATGGTAGAACGCACCTTTGTGAAGGGCGCAGTTTGAAGAGCATAAGACCCAGATTGACTTTGTTTAGCTCCTGCTTCAGTTTAATAAGCAAGGGGTTACCAGCTAATTGAGATTTTCATTCAATTCGGTCACCAATTGTTTGTTGAACTGTATCTTCATTCTTCAATGTTTGGAAGTACTCTCCATTCTCAAGAGAGAGCTATTTTCAGCTCTCTTTTATTTAGAAGGGTGTCCACACTTATCTGAGAATTTATAGCCAAACCAATTTCCCCGAAAGTCCTCTGTAAGCTACTAATTAACAAAGAGAATTGTCCAGGCTATATATTCTTGTGGACTATTCTGAATTAACTCCTCAGGTAATCTAATCACATGAATCCTGGTATGTAAACAGCCAATCTTTCTGTGGATAAGTAGGAATTTATAACTTCCTCCAACTCAAAATGCAGCAGGTGTTCCATTTTCTTGAGCATTACTTCCTCCATAAATTCCCAGATATTATTTTATCTGTTTCTGTCTGGTTTTAAAAAGTAAATAAGATGCAATACATAATGATTCGTGAATATATTCAATTGAATTAAACCCCACAAGAGATATTTCTTTGTCCAAAATTACAATTTTTTTTTTGTTACATTGCAAAAAAAGAAAGATACATTTTAGTGCAAAATTGATCAAAAAAGATCCTATAGTATTTTGTTTTTTAAATATACTAGTATTCGCCGTAAACTTATGACTTACTGTCCACAGTATCCTTTAATAACACCCCACTTTTCCTTGTTGAACAAATATGATATCTTGGACTCCATCTGGACAAACGTCTCACGTGGAATCCTCATACAAGATTGAAACGACAAGAAACTGCTCGACGTTTCCGCTTACGTCAGCACTTATTAGACAAACGCTCTAAACTTTCAATTAATTAAAAAATACTAATATACATGACTCTACTAAGACCTATTTGGATTTACGGAGTTGAGCTATGGGGCTCCACTAAACCATCAAATTCCTCTCGTATCCAATCCTTACAATCCAAGATCCTTTGTAATATCCTCACTGCTCCTTACTTTTGTTTTCACAAATAAAATAATCCATAACGACCTTAATGTTCCATATGTTTCCGATTCGACCCAATCCAGATACTTTTCCTTTCATAATAAACTTCTGAACCATCGGAATCCTCTCGTTTCTAACCTTGCTTCCTCTTCGATTTCTGATAACCCTCCAAAGCGATTGAAAAGAAGATGGCCTTGTGATCTCCTTATATAGACATATAATTAGAGTGCTACCTGTGAGTAGTTTCTCAACAAACGTTTTCAAATGATTATATTTTTGTGTACACATTTACTACAGTTGTAAATATCTTGAATAAATAGCTAAAAATAAAAAAATCTTCTTAGATGTTTTTCCTTAAACGGAAAAAAAAATATATATATTTAAAATCCAAACCTTATACATTAACTATATCACGAAATTTCGTACTTAATATCTCAATACATTGATCATTTTTATCTGATTTCAAAAACAGAAGTGAATTTCCATTATGGTTTATTTTTTTCTTTAGATCAAGATTTTGTTAGGATTTAATATTTATAACTACTTTTATTTTTTACAAAAAGCTACTTTATACTTCATATTTTATTATGAATTTACTTTAAGAATATGTAATGGAAGCAACACAGGACTAGTTAATGATCAAAATATATAGAATATAATTGAAATCTTGATTTAGAAAAAAAAAAACATTCCTCGACAAAATCTTCTAATAATTAGTTCCAAAATCAGAAAATTACAAATGCATATATTTTTTTTAAAGGCCAGGTACAGTGAAAATTGATGAATTAATAGATATCTTAAGAAATATAAGACAAGGTGAAAATCTCCCACTCAAAGCAGAAAGTCAGATAGCTTACATTTTAAACAAGCTTGATAGTGAAAAAGATGGCTTTGTAAAAGTTCGAAAAGTATCCAAAGTACGTATCATATTATTTTACATTTAAAATAACTATTCTATACTTTTAATATGGTTAGCGGTTGCAGTCAGTGAGAAAAATAAATTTTAAAAAATTAATTTTATTTTTTGTGGACACTTCCTAAATGTCAGGGCTGAGAAAATACAAGTTAACAAAAATTATTATAAAAAGATATGAGTACAAAACATGTGTTATCTGCTAATAAATCTGTATTCCAGAAGTAAACAAAGCAATGTCCATATTGGTATTTGTTCAGAAGAACCAATTTTCAAAAAAAAAAAAAATATATATATATATAAATAATATATGGCTTTGGAAAACATACGGTAATTAATTAGTTTAAATTATATTTTGCACCGTCCGTTATTTTTACTTTCACTTCCCTTTGTTGTCTGAAAATATCTATTTCTACTCGGAAAAAATCTGGTGCGCACATCACACGACTTTCACTTACCACCCTCTTCTTAGCAGAAATAACTATTTTCAGAAAAAGGGGAAGTGAAAGTAAAAATTATAGACACAACATTTATTTACATTTTATTGTGGGTATTTTTATTTGTTTAAATACCCTTATATAGACAAATTGAAATTTTTATATCGCTGTATTCTCTGCAATTAAATATTAAACAATACTAACGATAGCATTTATAAAAACCGCATATGTATATGTACATAATATTGTCAGAGTCTGTATTATATTAAGCTAATGTTAATGTACTCTTTCGGGCGAGCTCGGACACGCTCATATTTCTTTGGTTCTTGCATTTCAACTATTAACCGTTAGAATCTCTTATATCTCCTTTAGTTAATTATCAAATTCTTTCATATTTTATATTTAACTATTTTTTTTATAAAAGATTAATGTGAAATGGTTAATTATTTCAAATAAAAAAAAACTAAAGGTACTTTAGAGGAAGCTAATATTTAAAATAAGCCATTTAAGCCCTGTTAGAGAACATCAATGAGAATAAAACCTACAATATATTAAAAACTGCTTAATAATACACTGATATACTGAGTTTAATCAAAATTGTTAGCCGTTTTTGAGAAAATCGTAAAAATGTGTTAAACCGATTACATAAAGTAACACTTCCGGTGACATCCAAGGATTATAAAAACCTCAAATACACAAGTTCAGTTGTGTATGGCTTTTCGTTTTTGAGCTAGGCTGTTCATATAAATACACACACACACACACACACACACACACAGATCATTTTGCGGGACTTGGTTATTTGGCCTCATAAGGTATATTTTCGTTGAAATCTCATATTCGAAAATTTTCACAATCGCAATACTTACCTATATATATAAGTATTACATATATAGATAAGGGAAAGTAAAAAGGATGGTAAGAGAAGTAAGTTGTGAGGTGGGTGCATATTTCTCACTGAATGCAATCCCCAACTATATTATCCACAGTCAATTATTTCTTCAACATTTTACTTTTAATAACTATTTCAATTTTATTCTTATGGTTGTAGTTGTTGGATATTCTAAACCGTGAAGAATCAAAGACTGACTTACAAAGTGTAGCAGAATATATTAAAACAATTAATCAAGAAGAAAGATTGGAAAACTTAAAAAGATTGGAAAATAGTTGTAGGGGTTCCTTCCCTTTTTAAAAGAAGCATTTATCAAATTCTATGTTGTGTAAAGATTAAATAAATTATCTGTATTTCTTTAATTTTATCTTTTTTTCTCCTCCTGCCTTAATTAATCATTTCATGACTATCTCCAGAATTTTCTTTTTGTGTATATTCATCAGCTTAATGGCTGGAAGAATATTCCAACAATGTATAAAACATTCTTCTCAATTTCACCAAATAAAGCTAAATTTTCTCTAATAATGCAAAAATTTCAATATTATATTATAATAGATTTCTTAGCCTTGTTTTATTTTTAGAGATTTAATTTAGGACCTTAATATGTTTTAAGGTAAAAGTACCAATAATAGACACTTCAAGAGAAATTTTCAATAGTAATGATAACCACAGTTACTTAGTTTCTCTCTCTCTTTTTTTTTTTTTTAATTTAGTTTTTCTTCTCTAATAAATGACTCAGAAATATATTACTTTCATTAATCTAGTGGTCTAGTCATATAGGTATATAATCTGGTCTGTATGTATATTTTCTTTTATTTTCACCGATCAATCTACATCTTGGGATTTAGATTATATAGGACTTGTATAATGTTTACAATACTATTATTGTATTCTTTGAACATATTAAATTACATATGTAAATCATTTAAAGTAAATATTTATCCACTCTTTTATTATTATTTTTTTCATTAATAAAATGGTATGACAACAAAAGTAATTTGTCGTTCATTTCAAATTTCAGTTAAAATTCCATAGTTTATTGTTTTTAGTAACTATCTTGCTGTATTGGGACCTTATTGCAAATATTATGTCTTTAATTTATCAGTATAGGGGAGTGGGGTAGCTCAGTGGTAGGGCACTGAGCTTCCAATGCAAAGGTCCCACGTTCGAACCCCGGCTCATGGCAGAAAATTTATTTATCTGTTTCATTGGCCGTGGGGCGACCCTGGGTTGAGAGTCCCTCCTTTGGCACACCCAGCCTCTATAAAATGAGTACCCTTAATTAATTAAGGGGGAAAACATGGCGGTTGAGCGTGATCTCGGTCAAATCACCTCCTTGCACAACCGTTGACCTAGAAACAGTACTTTCCCTAAATAGTACTCAACCCCAGACCCTTCATGGGTTGTAGCGGTACAGGTTAATATACCAGTATAGTTATGTAAATCCTTCTGTTATAACTTATTTTTTAGTTGTTTTTTTTATTGTAATATGCATTTTGGCCAGATGTTATGTTAATTTTTATGTACAATATTGTTATTCTCAGGGGACTTTGTCCCAGAATAAAGTTAATTCTTCTATTCTATTCTATTATATATATATAATATATATACGTTTATAGATTAATGTCAACATAATTTTCTTTGTTTTATTTATCTTTACAAGTATGCGGACTGTAATGCATAAACTAATATATATATGTATGTATATATATATATATATATATATATATATATATATATATATATGCAGTGAAATATATGTAAACTAATATATAAACCAGATAGATTAAACGTATCATTGATATATCAAACAAAAATAATGATAACGATTTATTATATTTATATAAACATACTTGGCTTTGAATCACAGCCATGACTAGAAAAAATATAAATAAATATTTATTAGAGATTGACATTTTTTTAATTCTCCAATCAAATACATAAATATTCGTGATATAATTCCCACAGTTGATGAAATAGATCTTTTTTTCCCCAACACTGACAGATGAATATTGCAGTTCAATAAAAAATGTGACAATGGTGACTCTTTTAAAACATTGTTACAAAGATTTAACTTTGATTTCAGGTCTGTCAGGCAAATCTTGATAGGGATTGATTATAGAAGTTTCCCATATAGATTCTCCAGTGAAATTAAACTCTTTTTCCAAGAAGTAGATGGTCAATGGTAAAATAAATTCTTTTTTTATGTGTCCATTACATTTAAATGCTTCCATATTTTCGTGGTGCTCCAGTTTTTCCAATTCTTGTACTACTCTTCCACTGAAATAAAAAAAAATGTTTTTCCAATACATTTTACATATATTTGCATTATTCAAACATAAGTTTCTTTGAAGATGTACATTTCATTAAGTTAAAAGTTTCGTTGTAGCTGCTTGCCGTTGATTAGCAGCAGAACAGTTTTATTTTTAAACAATTTAAAATCCAATGTCAGTATATTATAGGGAGTATGTGTAATAGCAGATGTATCACTAACTGCAGGAAATTTTGGTGGAATATGTGGTCATTAATGAAAAAACGCAACAATAAATAGACTTATTTTAATATTTTCCAATGTTTTGGCCAAAATTTCAGACCTTCATCAGTGTTTAGTAAAGAAAAGAACCAATAAGAAAAAGGTAAGAAAAACAGTATAAAAAAATTAATAAGATAAGTAGAATGGAAAATTGAAATAAACATCAGATCTGTCTCTAAATTTGGCAAAACAATGCAATAGATGAGCTAAGCGCTAAGTTTAGGAACTTATCTTAATTTGCTCATTAATGTGTTTTTTTTTATTACCGATTGTTACCCACAACCAATTATGGTAATGAGGAATAAATAAACAATAAAGAATAAAATTAAAAAATGCATAGAACTACTTACTTATAATAAAAAAGAATATAAATATTATCTATGATTTCTTTTTCATTAAATATTTTTCTTAAATAACGAAGGTTTTTGGCAACTTCCACAACTGGCACAAATCGCCACCTCTTATGCCTTTTAAGTTTAGTTGCGATTTCACTTTTATCTAAGTTCAGTTCAGCTTTCAAATAATGCATAGAATCACAACCAGATACTCTGGTTTGAGTTTCACAAATCCTAAAAATGAAAAAAGAAAAATTAAGAGCTTTTTTCTTTTCAACTTTCTTGTTAACGTCACAGCGTTAATTTATTTTATTTTTACAGTTAAAAATGCCACAGCGTTAATTCAATTTATTTTACACTTAACTAGTTTGATTAATTGTTGATTTGTTTTATTTTAGCAAAGTGAAATCAATTAATAGTATGTATATTTATGTATAAGATATGTGTATATTAAGTATTATAGACCCATAGCTTATATTGTTTATATTAATTAAATCAATAGTTTATACTTGGACTACTTTGTTATGGATTGTAGTAGCACTAGCTATAAACAAGTGCTAGGTTCAAGTCATAAGGCGGTAGAATTGACAAGGGACGGTCTGACTCCGCCCGCCACTGAGCTGAGTACTGCCAATTTCAACACTGCCCACTGCAGTTCTACTCTGAAGAGACGTACTTCCCACATCGTGCTCGCCGCTGCCCATTTGCAGTTCGTTTTGAGCACACTCATTGAAGAGTTACAATTGGTTTCTGCATAGAGACAGAGGTTTACGAACGTCCTGCTTCGTCCATGTAACGTGGTACAATCTAATTATTTGTTTTATATATATATATATATATATATATATATATATATATATATATATATATATATATATATATATAAATTTCATATTGGGACTCTAGAGAAGTTGTTTTTTTTATTGTAATTTGGGCCATAGAAATAGTTTTTTGTATGATCAAGCATTAAAACATTTCATTAATATTGTCACAATTGTTTGTTCAGCTGGTCTTTATTTTATGCTAGAAGTTTGTTATTTTTTTACCTATCTAACAAGTGTAAAATTCATTTTGTTTTTATGTTTTAAATATTAGATTTCGTAAATGTTCCAAAATAAATGTTTGAAGATACAGCCCACTTTCATTCTTTTTTTTTTCTTTTATTTAGTAGTTAGGCTTCATTCGAAGTTTGACATAAACTAAGAGGGAGCCATTTCTCTTTCCAACAAGGTACTAAGTCTATGAGCTATTATATTAGTGATCATGTAATATGAAGAGGAGTATCGTTATGTTGGAAGCTTTTATAATACACAATAATATAGTAATGTCCTTATATTACCAGATGCACAAGCACTAGCGGATCCAGGATTTAATTTTGGAGGGGCTTTTTTTCATATATATAACGATAATTAATCTGAAAAAAAAAGAAGAAAGAAATGAACTACCTATATGAAATGGTGTTAAAGTGATTCTTGAAGTCCTATTAAATGTAATTACACGAACAATAATATTTTAAGAGATTCATAATTGGTAACTGGTTGACTATCATGGATAATGAAGAGTGTCACTGATAATGAAACGTCGGCATATGTAAAAATAAATATTATCATTTATTTTTGCCTTCTTTTTTGACTGACCACCCCAACTATTCTTCTCTTCATTATTTTAAGAGATAGTTTTTAATATTTTTTTCTGTAAAATATAGTTATATCTTACCGTTTTGAGGGGGGCTTCAGCCCGAAAGACCCCCACATAAATCCGCCTGTGTACATAAGTAATGATTTACTACTTGTTAGTACCATGAGACATTTTATAAAAGTACATATTTCATAATGAAGATAAATTTACAAAGCCTTTCAGGGATTCAATTTTTTTAACTTCAAATTCATCATTTAATTTTACTAATTCTTTTCATATCCTGAAATTTTGTTCAAGTTATTTTGGGAGAAGAGGGGGGAGGGGATGCCCTGCTTCCACCGTTTGCCTTGAGGCTTGGTCTGTGCATTCATTAGTCCTATGGAGCTCACGCAGTTAGGCTTCCTTGACTATTTGTTGGTCTACTATCCGTTACAGATTTATTATAAACTCAAAATTAAATGAAAAGATTTTAAACGCATTTTTGAAAGCTAATATCTTTCAGAGTGACTCAAAATAGTAGTTAAAAAAAAATTTCTGTTTTTTCAAACATCTTTTTGGATTTCAGGACCCACCATTGGGAAAAAACAGTCGTTATGAGATCTTGCAGTCAAAGGGTTAAGGTTTGATATAATGATAACAAAAAACACTTTCCTTTAACTTTACAAATGGCTGAGGTATCTGAAGGTGAAATTTATAATCAGCAACCATTTGGAAAAGAAAAAACCTGGTGTGTCCACTCACACGACTTTCCTATCTATTTCAGAGAAGTTTTTATATCTTTACATATGTCTATCAAGAAACAAAAAGAAATTGAATTAGATTTATTTTCCTGAAAATTGATCAAAGAAAAAATTAGAGTACGATTTATTTGATAAACTAAAGCAATATAAACCAGCTTAAGGTAAATCAGTGTAAACATTTCAATACTCTCTAATATCGCTGATCAAAAACTTTTTGCCATAGCTTAGTATTGTCAAACAATTATTTCTGTTAAAAGTAGAGAAAATAGTGAAGCTTGTGTGATGCGGGCAATAGATTTTCTTACTTTAACTTAGTTATCTTTTTTCTCTCATTCGCCCCTTTCTGACACCAAGATATGAACCTGTAATCTTTATTAGAAATTTAATAGCTGTAACTTTGTTAATAGTTGCCCGAAATGAACGATTTTTATACTGTTTTGTTGGTAATTTAATTACCTTTCAAAAGTTTTATTATAAATTTTACCATAGAATATATACTTAGCGAGTTAGGCCTCAAAACATTTTTCTTTTCTTTATAACTTTTTTTCGGGAATTCAGTCCATGTACGAAAATTGAAAGGACAGTTATTACAACATTATAGGAAACTTTCATAAAAATCCTTAGAGCCGTTTTCGTGCTACAGTCTATGGAAAAACATGTTTTTCATTTATTACGCAGCAGCTATTGCACATGGAGCATCCAATTTGTGTTACAGGCATCAGAAGACAAAGCCCTACAAAATAAAAAAGAAACAACAAAATTGGTTCACTAGTTCCCGAGAAAATCTTGGCACAGGCAGACTTCTCCTTATTCCTTGTATAATTAAGCCGATAGGATGAGTCGTAGCAGTTGTATCCTTTAGAAGTATAACTTGGGTTTTGACATTGTCATTTTCAGCCTTTTCCTCTCGCACCATCCTCTGACAAGATTGGCGCACCTTTCTGCTTATCCTTTCAAGCCGACTGCTATTGGATGCCACCACTACGGCCAGGTCATCGACATAGGCCGTGGCAGGGAACTGTTTCTCTTTGAGTACCTTCAGCAACTCATCGAATACTAATTTCTCTGCGGATATCCCCTTTCCACTCTTTCTTCGATATCATAGAAGTTGCTTCATGACTTTTCAATCTTCTAGATAACTCTTTATTAAGGCATACAAGTTGTTGAGGGCCTCGAACTTTTGTAGCAGCTGTAGCACATTCGGCCACCACACCACACTCTATCAAAGGCAGAGGAAACAAAAGTAACATGACATATTTCTGCACCTTCTCATCAACTGGCGTACTTGAAGCAAGGCATTGGCGGTGACTACTCAAAACTGTTGAAATTGGAGTTAGTCATTCTGTCAACGGAAAGACTCATATTATAAGTCTTCAACAAATTAAAAATCTATTGAAAAAGTAAGTGGAAGAAAATAGCTTAATGATCCCTTAAGAACTTTGGATTATATAGAAAAAACAACTTTTGATAATTTTAATAAATAGAAAAAAACATCCAGGTAAGACGTCTATACTATCAATAGTAAATTGTTATAATCTTGTAAGAGAACTGCAAAAAAAGATTCTTCTTAACCAAATAACTAAGTCTTGAATGATTACAATAATGGATTAGTATAAGTTTAGAGATAGCAATGTCTTATTGCTTAACTATTAACTAGAGGAATATGTTCCAGTGGGATGAGCTATGAAGTTTCACTGATTAGGTGTTTTCAATATACTATCTCGATATTACATTGTATATTGTAATGTAAATATTACACAGTGATTGTAAATAGTGTTGCGAAGGCAGTGACGTCACAAAATACTGTCAAAAATGGACAAAGAGGCAGAAAATGACAGATGAAGGGGGAAGAAGTGCTATATGTTAAGGCAGAAGGTAGCCAGCTGGTTAGTAAAGAGGTTCGAGAGAAGAAAATGTGACTAACAAGTAATGAGTATCAATAAGGGAGAATAGAAGATTGTAGAAGTTGAATACAACAATACAGAGGAAGATTCACTGCAAAACAGGGTGAGTGAAATATAAATAGTGACAGTTCGAAAGCGCGCAAAGAGTAGACCCCAATAAACAATGGAAATTCATAAATGTTACGTAAAATTAATGTATGCTTTTATATTTTATAATTGAGGAATGTGAGTTTGTTGTCTCAACCCAACTTGAGAAATAATTATTGTGTAAAATAAATATGATTTGATTCAGAAATTGTTTGGTTTACTTTTCAAAGAAAGCGTAACCTAACAATATATAAGAATAAACATGTTTCACTGATGTTGCCTATAAGTCAAATGTATCACAGAGAAGAATGATGAGAGTTCTCTCTGGATTATACTAGAATAACTTAAGATTCTTAGAAAGTTTGTTAAATTTAAAACTTACGCTTTCAATAATTGATATTACCTTTCAAATTGTTTTTCAGTAGTGATCAAATAATTTAATGAGCAAAAAATCTTTAATTCTTGTAATATATTCAGTCGACGTTTTGCTCTCACTTGATGGAGCAAAAGCTTGGCAATTTGTGGATGTTTCTGATACACCGATAAAGTTTCAATACTTTTCACTTCCTTAAGCCTCTCCTTCACAGTTTCACTGTTGAGAGTTAAAAGACTTGGGAACCTTTCTAAGGCTGAAATTTGAATACCATCATCCTAAGGCACAAGTATCAAAAAGTTATATGATAAAGATTAATAAATAATTAAAATCAAATGAATGAAACTCACTTCAAGATAATTCAAAATCTTCTCCATATTATCAACAGTCATCATAGAAATTTTTGGAAAAACATGAAAAAAAACCTTCATCTCAGTAGAACCAATATATGGAAATTTTGACAGTATTTGCAAACAGTTTTCATAGTTAGCATATAAAATGTACCAATTTAAAAACATCTGTCAAAAGTGTAAAAATTATATGTAATTTAATGGATTAAAAACTAAAAATAATAATAAAATGTTAAATTATTCACCCGTGCTTTGGATAGCATTATATCGTCTCGAAAAAGTTTTAAATTAGAATTAATAGTTTTAAAACTTTTATTCAAGAGCCTTAAATTAATTTCTGACTGTTGTCTGTCAATATCTTCATCAGAAACGTCAAGTTTTTCTTTAAAGAAAGCTCTAATTGCAATGGCCTGAAATGTAAAAAAAGTATACAATCCTTCTTTTCCCTGTATTGAAATGCCAGTTTTTAGAGATATCAATTATAAAATAAATCATTATAAGGAAAAATGTCCAGATAATAGTATAGTAATGATATAAAATTGATAAGAGACAAATTAGCTCAATTGAATACGTATAAGTATCATAATAACTTCATACAAGAGCACTATGGCCCAAAAATAATATTTATTTAAAAAAAAAAATTCTTTATGCAGAATATATTCTATTTTTAACTAATGCGCTAAATATAACTTTGAATTGATATTTTATACCAACTAGGAGTACCCTTATATTATAGTTTAGTATTTTAAACATTTACCTCCTTTCTGTAATGTTCTAACTTCAAGTGACTAGTATATAAAAAGGAATATTTCTATGAACTAGTAAAAATTATACAGAGATGGATTTTGTTGACTTTTTTTTTTTCTTTTTAGTTGCCAGTGTTTTGACACAAGCAAGTGGTTCATCATCAAGATTAAAACTTGAAGATTTCATCATAAATATATGCAATAGACAGAAGTAAACAAATAAGCCAACAGAAAAAGATAAATAGAACACATAAGATAATAGTAATACTATACTATAATTTTAATTTAATAGACTATTAGTAATATTAACTAGTGATAGTACACATAAAACAACTATGGCTAAGAATAAATGAGGCAAATTTTGTAATTATAAAAACAAATAAGAATACAATAGAGAAACATTAAATGGTGAGATTTAGTAATTAATAAGAATATGATTGAATAAGGATGTGGAGGAACAGATAAAATCATATTATAATTAAATAAAAAGTAAACAATACAAATAGTAGCATAACAGTTACTCAAAATTTTTATTTAATTATAATAATTCTGCTGAAACGTATAGATATATATTCATCTTTCATGATTTATCTGTTCAGTTTTTAATAATATAACAATATTGCAGAAGGTTTTTATTAATTTAACAATACGTTCCTTAAGGGGAACCATTAAAGTTTAAATTAGATAAATTAAACTTTAAAAGTAAATGTTGATTAAAGTCTTGATGCTAGTTATCATCACATAAAATGTATTTAATGTAGTTATTAATACATATAAAAAAACTAAAATAAAAAATACTAAGAGGCAGCCTCAAATTAGAATTTATTCCCAATTCAGGGAAAGGAACTTGGGAAAACCCTTTTTTTTTTTGCTTCTAAATACAAAAGAAAACAAATTTTCTTTATTAGTCTAAGATAATAGGTGAAACAAAAATATTTTCTAGGTTTCGTTATTTTTAACTGTTTATGATCAAGTCTTCAATGCTATAAAAGACTAGCAAAAAAACTACCGAAGAGTCCAAACGGGGCCAATAGAGTCGCCACCATATATAATAAAACTAATATCAATCAGATGTAACCAAAATAATTATAATAGCATTTCATAGCATACCTTTAGATCATGTAAACTTTGGAAGTCAGAGACTTCTGGACAATTACTAATATCCAGTTCAGCATGTCTCCAAAGATTCCTCATGACCTCCGCATTATTTTCAATAAAACCTTTTTCTTTTAAATCTTTAACGGAATTTCTACACAAGCTAGTAAATCTGTAAATAATAATGGAGATAAGATTTTTAAAAGGCACATCTGGTGATTATAAAACGTTTCTTCAGTTATAACAGTAATGGATCAATCTGACAAAAGATCCTGTACACCCAGTCTACTACAAGTATGATTTAATTATAAATGAATATAGATGATATTACTAACACCCTGTTGAACTGGATATATCCATAATAAAAAATATAATAGATGACCACCAAGAAGGATTCAAAAGAAGGAGCATACTAGACCATATCTTCATTCTAAAATGGGTACTCAAAAAAACAATAAGTAGCTCAGGATGTTATAAGAGCTCAGGCTTACTTGTAGATTTCAAAGGAGCCTATGATTCCTTGGACAGAAATTATCTTTGGGAGATTATGACTGAGCTAAAAGTTCCTGAGATATTGGCAAGATTAACGAAGCGTATGTAGAAGCGATTCTAAATGTCGAGTCCTAATATAAGGATAAGTATCTGAGAGCTTCAGTTCAAACTGGTTATGGACTCACCTATACTGTTCAACTTAGTACTGGAAAAGATGATAATAATATCACTTTGAAAATTGAGAGGGACTTCAGAAAATCTTAAGAAATGCAGCTGATATAGCTGTCCTTAGAAGCAATCAAGAGGACATTGAAAGACTGGCTAAGATTGATAAGATAAGCAGAGTGAACAGGCCTAAAAGGTAAATAAAGACAATACAAAAGATATGATAGTAAGCCGAAAATTTTATCCCAACAAAAGAATTTGCTTAGAAGAGAAATTGTTCCTGAAAGTAAATAAATTAAATATATCGGCTCCACAATAATCTGAATGATAGATGAATGGTCAAAATAGATCAGCATATAATAAGAGGAAACAGAGAGCTTTCTTCTATTTTTCAAAAGTTATGGAACACTGGAAAATCTCAATATCTCAAATTAGGTGTGTATAATGTCATGAAAAAGCAAGTTTTGATACATGACTACAAGATCTGGATGCTAACCATCATCCTATAAAGACCAACAAACGTTTAGATAGAATCAATAAAGATACTGCATGCAGCAAACTAGAAAGCAATAATCCAAGAAAGACAGAGATGGAAAAGGCTACAAGAGGCCAAAGATCTACTAGGTATATTATAGCCAATATGGGAAAAAAATAAATTTATGTAATTTTTACTAATGAGAAACAGAGATGATAGTAGTAAAAATACCTGCAGAGGCAATGTAATAATTATACTTTTTCAATAGATACAGGAACTACTTTACAAGTATTACTCCATAATTTAATTATAATGGATTAGTATTAAGACATTCTTTGATGGATGGCGCCAGATCTCATGATCTTACAACAATTTTAAGAAGAGCCAGTTGTGTCAAAACTGAAAAGAACCTTTTGGGGGTATACCTATCTCTTTATTTAGAGTGACCATAGCTAGCACCAGTTAGTTTAACAGATTTTGACCTAAATCAACCATTCTGGATATTCCATTTATAGTGTGATTATGAGATCTTGTACACAACCATCAAAGTGGAGCTATACAAGCAATACAGTAGTACAGTATAAGAAATATGATTTGTATATATTAAGATAAATTTAATTGATATTACCTTTTAATTTGATATGACTGAATTAGAAATGGAACAAAACTATATTCACAAAGAGCAGTATGATAATTATTCAGAGCTATTGGGTGTTTTAACAAAAGAGGCACAATGCCGATGCTTCTTAAATCATAAATATCCAAATTCTGAAACAAGGTAGTATTCCTTCATATTTATAAAATAAATTTATGATATATGTATTGATTTCCTTAAATAGCTAAAGATCGTTATAAAACATATTCAACTTAAGACTAAACCATCAACTCATCCTTCCCTTACTTCCAATATCTCTAATTTACTCAACACCTCTTGCTCAGAAAGTAATTGTAACTTTAATCTAGAAGAAACTGCCTTCCTCACTTGATCGATGGGACAACCTGAAGATTAAATATATTAAAAAATTAGAAAAAATCCAATTAATGCTTGCTTTTTTTCTCCCCCAAAAAAGAATACTCCTTATGACAGTACCTGTGAATTCTTTGATCAAATCAACGTGTTTGAATTGGAATTTGGCATCGGATTCTGGAAGAAATGCAACATTACTACAAAATAATCTCATATTGAAATGAAACATAGGAAGTAATCGAAAACGTCTCATATTTTGACATTTAACTTAACAGGCTAAGTTTAGAAGATACGTTAAATTGTCCTGTCAATGATATGATTAATTCAGAAGAATACAAGAATAATCCATTTTCAATAAATCGCATTTATTATTCTTTTTTGCCATGTACATTAGAAGAAGGTAATATAACCACTATTCGAAAAAACTATAATACATCAACAGCGAAGCCTAAATCTTACTAAGAATGAATTGAAGATTCATATTTCCATGACGCGAATTTCCAGGAAGATTTTTAAATCAGCATTATACTATTTCAGATCTACCTGGAAATGGAAGAGATGAGAATTCCACCAAAGCTAATCCGACTTGTATCGTGTACTTTGAAAGAGAGCGCGACTCGAGTGAAAATAAATGGGAAGCTGGGCCAACCTTTCGTAGTGAAGTAAGGAGTTAGACAGGGGGACCCCCTTTCCCCACTTCTATTTAACATCGCCCTCCAAGTTGTGGTGAATAGAGCAGAGCTTAGTCAGTCGGGCACCATTTTTAGTAAAATGACTCAAGTGCTTGGATATGCTGATGATGTGGCCCTTATTGGACTGTCCCTCAAGGCGATCAAGAAGCTGGAAGAATGGGGCTATCTATAAATGAAGAAAAAACAAAAATTATGGTGTTCAGGAAGAAAACACCTATAAATCCGCCTAAGCATAATGTAGTGGGACAATATGCGTTTCAATGCGTGTCCAGTTTTAAATACCTCGGCTCCATCGTTAATGATCAGGTTGACGAAGAAGAAGAAATTCAAAATCGGGTAATGGGGATTAACAAAGCATATTTCGCCCTAATAAGTTTCCTCCGAAGTAAACTACTAAGTAGGGGTACCAAAATTATTATATACAAAACAATCATCTGACATGTACTGACCTATGCCAGTGCAAAATGGACCTTACGCAAAAGCCTGGCTGAAAAGATCGACAGTTTCGAAAGAAAAGTGTTGAGGCACATCATGGGGCCAGTTAAAGAGAATGGTACATGGCATTTAAGGAAGAACAAACAGATCTACGACTTATTCGATGATCTCCGAGTTCCGTGAGGAAATTATATTATGGAACCCCGGATAAAGGCAGACCACGTGGAAGACCAAAGGGAAGGTGGAAGGACTTCGTGGCTGAGGACTTGATGATGGGAATATCCAGCAGACATGTTGCTGACCGAAATGATTGGGAAAGGGCAGTTGAGAGGGCCAAGGGCAGCTTCAGGTGCCTGTCGAGCCGTTAAATAAATTATACTATTTAAAAATATAACCACCATGTTTACAAATTATAATAAGCGTTATCTTTGCTAAAAATGTTTCGATTCCGATATATCGTGGATTTACTGTTTGCCTGCCGGTCTATAAAAAAATCATCAATTATAATTTCCATAGATTCAAACTTAAAAATATATCAAAATTGGATGCACCAACTCATGAAGTGCATCAAAATAACACAAACTTTATTATATATTACAAATAGTAGCTTCATCCTTGGTAATGGAAGTTTAGTTAAGATGCAGTATTGCATTCATTAAACGTATGTTTGTCTTCTAATTATTCATTAAAAAAATAACGATTTTGTTCCTTCTCGTGGGCCAATGCCATTTTTCCTTGAGTTCGCAACTTCCTGCCGTTACCTGCATATGTATTAAGTGGTATGATTTGCTTTTGAATTAAGTCTCAAGCAGTCAGATTTCCGTTGTCCTCAAGCCTTAAAGATGCATTTGGACGTTTCAAAAATTATGGGACAAACAATGAAACCATACTTTTCAAGCTGCATCAAGCTTCACCTACCCCGGGTTTATAATTAACAATAGCAATAACGAAGAGGAGAAATAGCAGCTAGAAAATAGCTGCCAACAGAGCGTACTTTTCTCTAGCAAGCCTTCTGAAAAGTAGATTGTTAAGTCGTACAACGAAGTTTAGGATATACAAAACAATTATTCGACCAGTTGCGACATATGCGTGCGAAATATGGTCTCTAACAAAGGCATCTGCTGAACGAATAGATCGGTTTGAAAGGAAAATACAAAGACGGATAATAGGACCTAAATTGGAGGAAGGAGTTTCCAGCTTGAGAACAAACAAGGAGGTATACTCAATGTGCGGTGATCTAGTTCTAGTTAGGTCTAGGGGTAGACCGAAGGCAAGATGGGTAGATAACGTAAAAGAAGACTTGAGAAAAAATGGCATATCCATCAGGTGCTCAGCAAACAGGGATGACTGAGCAGGCAAGGACCGCTACATGCGTCTGTTGCGCAAATAATGAATGAATGAACAAGAGAAATAAAGTCAATAGTTTGGTTTAACAATAAAGGCGTTTTAGTTATGTTAGATAATTGTATTCCCCGTAGTTTGTGAAATGTCTAAACGCACCTTAAGAATGTCTGATAGGATGGATTCATCGTGAAGACTGTTACCTCTTAAAATGTTTGCAATTTAAGAATTACTGCAAGAAGAATTAGCAAATAACTAAATTTTTGCAGGGACCAAGTTAGAGACAATTAATGAAGAAGGAATGACAGTATTGACTTCATACTAAGTTGACTTCTAATCTAATGGTTGAATCAATAAACAAAATTTCCTTTATTGAGCCCTGCATAAACTTTGTGAATCAACTTAAGCAGTGTAAGGAAATTTTAGGTCTTCATTTAAAGAAATATTTTTATTTCAAAATACTTTTTGAACTTCTACTCTTATTGCTTTAAATAAAAATTATAATAATCATATATATAAATATAAATTCAATCTTCAATCTCATGAAAGTCAAGTCTAGGTACTTTTAGGTACAAGAGGGGCATGTAGCCTAATTTCCGTTATCTTTTTTTTTTTTTTTTGAGAGGGGGGCAAAGGTATTACCAGGTAATGAATATTTGTAACACTAACACACCTAAACTCGTTCTACATAAACGATTTCCTCCCATAACACCAATAAGCCATTAAGCTTGGAGCTGATATTCTCTGTCTATAAAGCCCACAGGTCTATAGCTTGCTAATCTTATATCTGGGATAATCCATCCTCTTGCTGTCTCCCCATGCACACCTTCCACATCTCATCCATGAAAAGAATAAAAAAACAGAGAACTGAGTCTACTCCCCTGCTTTGCTTTGATCCATTATAAAAATTTAAAGGTTGCAATATCTGACTATTGAATCCTGTAATACAGATTTAACAGCACATCCTATGCTGACATTCTTTTTTTCATCAGCGTATTCCATATCTCCTGTTTCAGAACTGAACAAAAGCTGGCTTCACATCAAGAAATGCTAAATAAAATAGATTGCCCATACTTTTTCAACAATCATCTGAAGAGAGAAAATATGTTTTCTTCCAGGTCTAAAATGGGCTTGCTTCTCTTTAACTTGGTGTATTTTTCTAAAATATACCACTCATTTCACTAAAATTATTTTATATATAATGAGCACCAGTGGTTCCCTTCTCTCCCCTCCCTCTGTGGTCAATGGCGTAGGAATGCTCCTCTCTTAAGAAATTTTATTTCTTTTGTCTTCTAAAAAACTGTGCAAGCTAAGATAGAATTTTAAAAATTGTAGATCATACATAATGGCAGTTGGAATGGTCTGATCCATGTTCCCTGGTTCGAAATTTTTTACTTCGAAAATTCATAACTTCATCGAAGTGTGCCTACCTCAAAATTTCGAGATTCCGTCAAAATGTGCACCCCTCCCAACTCCTTTCTGGACACCCATGATGAAAATGACTGAGGAGAAGCACATTGATCTACTGTTTCCAAATTTGATTTCATATTTTTCGCTAGAAATAATTGATATTTAATTATTTAAGGAATGAAAATTTGGAAAATAATAGAATTAACAAAAATTGGCTTCCTCTCCAACTTCTGAAAATGAAAGATCTCCATATTTCCAAGCCATGAATGAAGCCACTCATATTCAAGGTAATTAAATTCCCAACAAAACAAAAATTTATGAAAATTGAACTAATATGAAATGATATAACAGTATGAGCATGGTTATAATGTGATGAAATTTATAAACAAGTATTTATAAGTATTTGTGATCACCATTCAAACCTATTCTTTTTTATTTATTTTATGAAATAACTTCAACCAGTGGTTGAAATTCGACCATAATCATTAAAAATTTTAGGAAAATAAATAATTAAATAAAAAATAAATGAAGAGTAAATCGCGATTTAAAAATCCTCATTTATTAATACAAAGAAAATTTCAATTCCAATTAAAAATCAAGCTTAAAATATTCATAATTATTTATAAGTAATACAAAATAGATTCATACAAAAATATTTAATCTCCATTTTGATTTATCTATGTTATTACCAAAATAAATTAATGGTATGACTAAGCAAGTAAAAAATAAATTTAAATTAGCAATTTCAATTCAGTTTAAATAAATTTTTATGTAGAACTTCTCTGTAATCAATGTTCTGTTATTGTTTAGTAATAAGTAGCCTTGCCCATCGCCATTGGGAATATAAATTTCAAAATTTTAAACGAACGTGCTCTACTCGCTGCCACATATAATTGTCCATGTGAAAATACTGCATGTCACAATATACAAAATTTTCAAAAAGTTTGATCCTGCGATTTTTCATGGTCATAGCAAATGCAGCTATTACTGGGAAATGTGTTCTTTGAAATTTGTATGGAAGTATTGTCTCGGAAAATGTTAAATTAATTCTTGAAATTAAAATTCTTTTATTAACAGCAGCTCCCGTTAATACTTCACTCTCATTCGTGTTCCATTAACTAAAGCTTGTGCAGTATTTAAGTTAATGAGCATAAATATTGAATTTACTTTTAACTTTAATTTAAGAGGTGGCATTCCACTAACATTCAATGATATTCTATCTTTAAATAATAGTCCCGATTACTTCAGTAAATGTAAAGTTTCTGATTTATCAGAAACCAAAATAAAGTAAATTATGTTTGCAAAAGAAAAAGTTCTAAGTGTTTAAAATGATATATCTCTGCACCAAATAGTCCGATTTCGATGATTTATTTATTAAGCAATTATTGTATTATGAAACAAAAATTGTATACTTTTTCAGTTATTCTGAATTCATTGTAAAAATTTATACAGCTTGTTTTTGGGAAAGTATGTTATATACATAAATCATAAAGGTTTCAAGGGGGCGAGTTTAGCCAAGTTTAATTAAAATCGTTGCAGCCATTTTGGTGCTACAGTCCAAAGCAAATCACGTTTTATGGCCGCCATTTCAAAAAGAAAGGCCGGATGATAATGAAATATATACAAAAACACTTCTAAATCTGATTAAACATTGTATCAAAATTTCAAAGAACTTTCGGAGATTAGCTGTTTCGAACAAACTATGATTTATATTTTTATTTATATGCACTGTTTCATATTTTCATTTATTGATAACACTAAAGCTCGTCAATAGCTATTAAACAAAAAAAGAAGGAAAACCATCGGTTGAATAATAGAGGAAAAAAACATACTGAACCGTTTTGTGTTTGCCTATTTATATAATGATGCATTTTACTGGTTAGTTTTAAACTTCTGCTTACATATTTAAAAGATGATTAAATTGTTAATAAAATTAAAACTGTGATATAAAAAATAATGAAATCTTAATCGCAATATTATGGAAGATACAGAAAACAATTTTTGTATTGGACAAAGCAGAAAGAAAAGCCATGTGAGTGGACATTCCAGATGTTTTTCCATGAAGTCAGTAAGAATAATTGAACATTCAGATAATTGACTCTGTACTGTATCAGAATTCCATCTCATTATAAAACATCTCATGAATTAATATTTCAATATTTGTAGATAAAAACGGCATAAGGTGATTAAAATATCAACAGTGTAAACTTTGGTATATAATTACATAAGTGACATAACAAAATATACATATATTATATTTTTGGCAAATATAAACAATAAATATAATCATTAAAAACTGACTACAAAACTGGTGGCTTGAAACTAATACAAAACTATTTACAATACTGACTAGAGGGTTGGTACTCAAATGACAGAAGTCAATATGTAATTAAAATAAAAAATAAAAATAAAATGTAAACAATGCATTGCCCTACTTTTTGAATGTTTATCACAGGCTTTATTTCAGTTTTCAAGGTCATTCTGAGCTACCAAAATATAAATACAGATGTATCTTTATTATTACATGTAAACACACACTTTGTATTATAATCATACATATTAAAAATATGCTGTTTTTAATTTTTATTTATTTTTTAATATACTAACTATATTGTACTAAAAAAGGTGGTACGGTTCTTAAATATTGAATAAAATCAAGTGTGAGTCAAGCCACTTAAAAACATACAAAGTAGTCTAACTTTATTACAATTATATAAATATATATAAAAATAACTAATTACAATTAATGAGTATATAATAATATGCCTAAAAAATACTAAAAGCAGCAGTCATGGTGATGAAAGAGCTTTCACGGGCCTCTTAGGAGGAGGAGTTGGTGGCTGAGTAATGTGATTCGTTTCAACTGGTACTGGAGGTACGGGCTAGAGAAAAAAAATACATATATATATATTAACGATTGAAACTAAAGTAAACTCCTTACAATAATGACAAGATGGTTGTAGAGTAGATGTCAAAGGTAACTTAATCCTCTCAACAACAGGAGAAAAAAATTATATTAAATACCGGATGAGATAATTACAACTGTCATCCAATATATATTAGGTTAATTAATATATATATATTGTATAAGTAATATTTACACTAGTCGTCTCAATTTGATTGATCCCAACTCATTGTATATTCAGATAATGTAACTGCCTTTAGAAGTAATCATCAAGGACACTGAGACTTGCTAAAGATCTGATAAGAGAAGAAGATGAAATCAGCCTTAAAGTAAATGAGGATTAAATAAAACATATAATAGGAAGTCGAAAATCCCAACCTAATAACAGTATATGATTAGAAAAGAAATTGGGTACTTTTTGTCTAAGCGGCCGCTACTGACTGCAATTAATTAATCTGCCAATGTTTATAACCTGAACACTGATAAGTCCCATAACGCAGTGATAAGCTTTCTCCTACTTCACATCTTCGTATTATTGTATTAAATTCGTATTATTGAAAGTGTAAACAGATAAAAAAACAAATGTAATAACAACAAAAATACTTTTATTTGACGACAAATATATTAATGAAATAATAAAAAAACACTTTAAGAAGATATGTACATATAAAACATCAAAATGAAATTTAAAAAAAACAAATTTAAAAGATTAAAAAGAACATATTTACATAGAAAAGAAAAAATATCAACACTATAAACAACGTATATACAAATTATTTTAAGTTAATTATTCACTGCTTGTAATGTTGTTGCCTTTCTGTCAATTATTTTGACGATAAAACATTCATCTGTTTCTCGGCAAACTCCACCAAACATCCACTGCTGAGGTAAAACTCTCCCCACATGATTTTTTCGTCTAGAAAAAAGACTTTCGTCTACTTCAACCACTTTGCCAGGTCCTCCAATTTTTTTTCTTGGCCTGTAAAACATGTCATGGGCACAAACCTCTCTTAGACATTTGTTCCACGTTACCATAGCTCCGTTATAGTTTTAACTGCTCTTTGCCCCACTTCATCGTTGTCAAGCTATGGGAACACCCATAAATCAATTTTAAAGCTGTTAAAAACGAAATCCTTGAGCCCTCCAACCATGTTCCTTTCCTTATTGAAAGTTTTGTGTCACAAGTCTTACGAAAGCATCTCCATTTGGCCTTCTTGGTTAACTTCATTCGATGAGCTCGTTCTCACAATTTCACGTCGGCAAGTACCCCAATATTTTGAAAATACTGAATTGCCTGTTCTTCTGAAGACGGTAAATCCCATATTCTAAGAAGATCCATAATATGACGAAAATAAATGAAAAAAAAAAAATGAAAAATAAACACCAAGGGGTCACAAACTAAAAAAAATGTAAAATAAACACAAACGGGCCAAAAGTAAACAATTTAATAAGTGTTAATAACAATTTAATAAGTTTATTAACAATTAATAACGTAATAAGGGAATAACTGAAAACTAAACAATGCAATAACTCAAAAGTTTGGCGGGATAAGAAGAGGGAGGTTATGTGACATGATGACATGATGTTAGATAAGATAGATAAGAGTGAGGTTTCAAAACGGCCGCTTCGACAAAAAGTACCAGAAATTGTTCCCGAGAGCACCCAAAAAAGAAGTATTGAAAGATTTGAGATTTTCTCCACATAATAATCAGAACAATTTGTGATTATAGAACTAGCACATGGTAGAAAAGAACCAATAAAGAACTGATTATGGAAATTAATCAATCAATAGCCCTCACTCCTCAAATCCATTTCAGCACCTCCTAATCTTCTTCTGAACAACTCACCTATCTCCTTCCATACCACTGTTAAAAACCTTGGCGTTACCCTCCATCAAACCCTCTCCTGGAAATCACATATCTCCTAAATTTCCCGCCGTACTATATCCACTCTGAAACAGTTTAACCATCTACGTTATCTTCTTCCGTTCAAAACCCATCAACTCCTAGTCTCCTCTCTTGTTTCCCCCACTTCGACTATGGTTGTATGGTGGATTCTCGGGAGAACTCGAAGCTAAACTTAAACGTCTAATGAATTGCTAAATCCGCTTTATGTTCAGGATCTCAAGGAATACGCCTATTACCCAGTTTTACACAGAATTGAATTGGCTCTATCCGTCCTACCGCCGTCAATATTTCCTTGCTACTTTCCTATACCAGGCCATTAAAACTCGGTGACCCCCTTATATTCTACAGATCCTACAATTCAAATGCTCCTTTCAATCCCGTCCCACCAGATCCCGTGCATCCGATCTCTATCCTCCTCCTCACCGAACTGCTGCGTTTGATAAATCCTTTTTAATTCAAGTTGTCTCCCTCTGGAACTCTATACCCTCAGATATTCGACACACAAAATCAATATCCTCTTTCAAATATCTCCTCTTCAAACATCTACTCCATTCCCAATCCAATTGATCTCAAAATGCACTTAAAAACCTAAGCTGTAAGAATCTGAAAGTACACCCAGATACTTTGATTATTATGCGATTCATTTATATTTGGTTTATTTTATATTTATATATGTTTTTATATCTTTTTATTATCTATAATTTTATTGTATTCCTAATCATCCAGTAAATATTTAATTGTATTTTGTGGGATAGATTGTATATTCCTTATTTATAACTTGTTCTAAAGGGACACTAGTCCCAGAATAATAAAATTATTTTCATTCATTTAAATATCTGATGATATGAAGACAAGGAGGATCATATAATAATAAAAGTAATAATAAAAAACAAGATTATAACTAACCTGCTTACAATTATTAAATTTACAGGTACTACTTGACTAGCAGGCCGGCACTGACTGTTATCTGCCAATGTTTATACCTGAACACTGATAATTCCGATAATGCAGTGATAAGCCTTCTCCTACTTCCTATCTTCGTATTATTGTATTATATTCGTATTATTGAAAGTGTAAACAGATACAAAATAAATGTAATAACAAAAAAAAAAAACTTTTATTTTACGACACATATATTAATGAAATAATAAAAAAACTTTTAAAGAACATATTTCCATAGAAAAGAAAAAATATCAACAATATAAACAACATATGTACAATTTATTTTCACTTTGTCTTATTTATTTTGGAAGGCAAAATTGTTTTATGCTATTTAATATAGCGAGGAACGGGTCTTCTTCTCTTTGAACCCGCCGCCACAAAAATTCGCACAAATATGAATCGAGGTGTTAACTTTATTTGATGACCTCGTTCACACAATTTCACGTTTACAAGTATCCCAACATTTAGAAAATATTGAATAGCCTGTTCTTCTGAAGATGGCAAATCCCATATTCTTAGAAGATTCATAATATGACGAAAATAAACAAAAAAAATAAATAAACACAAAGGGGCCACAAACTAAAAAAAAAAAAAAAAAAAAAATAAATAAACACAAACTAAACAATGCAATAACTTAAAGGTTTGGCAGGATAAGAAGAGGGAGGTTATGTGACGTGACGTTAGATAAGAAGTGAGGTTTCGTGCCGGCCTGCTAGTCAAGAAGTACCAATTTACTTAAGTAATATGGAAAAAATATTGAACAAATATATATATATTAAAGGGTATTTACTTTGTTCCTAACCCTCGGAGTTGAGGGAGCCTGGCTAATGGTGAGAGAAGTATCAGTTTCATCAGGAAGATTACAATAGTCAGCTTCCCTAGTTTTCGCCGGGAGTGGGGGAGGATCTTCTTCACTAGCTGTTGAATCTGTAGTTCCTAAATCAAATTAAATTATAATAAAAACAAATAATAATAAAACATAAAAGACTTGAGTAAATCTACTAACCCAGTGAATCCCTGTTTCCGTTCGTCGAAGGAAGTGAAAGCCTGTTCTGAAACTGTCCGCTAGGGGGTCTGCTTAATCTTCTTTCTTTTTCAACTTCAGATCTCAAAGGGCGTGTCGGAGTCAGCTAAAAAAAATGTCATAATCTCAGAATATGACCTATACCATATGATAGTTGTAATGTGGTGTCCAAAGCAATTTGGATACACAAATCTTCACATTGTGTTAACAGTAGATATTGCAAAAATAATATAAAAATCTGTTCATTATTTTATCTTTTAAAGGCTTAAGCCTATGTTGTCATTCTTTGTTTCCATGGATGGCGGAATCAAGTAAAATTTAAAAATAGTCACAGACACCATTATACCATTGAACAATTTTTTTCATTAAAAAAGAAAACAAATGACTTTGAAGTAAAAATATCTACAAGTCTTCAAGAATATCAAAACTGTATAAAAATGAATAAATCTATGAATGCAAAACAAACAAATTTTTTATAATAGGAGTCTCTTAATCTTGTATCAAAATTAAAAATCTTTACACATGTGAATGGTCGTAATTGCGTAACAAACATACTGACAGATGAGCATGATCTGGTAAAATAATATTTTTTCATCAATTTATATTTGAATTATTTTGTTGGTTTAAGACTTGGTTTTTCTATTAGTATTCTAATGGAATACTCATTTTAATATTACAGTTTGATTGGGACTTTCTAACTCATCCTCCATACTCCCCAGATCTTTTCCCATCCGATTATTACTATTTCTTTCAATAAAAAATTCTCTCCGTGATAAATGTCAAAAATACGAAAGCAAAATAATAACACATCTTGATGAATATTTTGCAAGAAAGTCCTAACAATTTTGGGAAAAGAATATAAGAGGCTTCCCGGGAAATCGAAGAAGGTAATAGAGCAGAACGGTTCATATATAACACAGTAAATCAACCTTTAGCAACAAATGAAAAAGTAAAGAACTTATGGGATAACCTAATATATATATCATCCTATAAGTATCCATACATGGTTTATAAATATTCAGAACGCAGTCATTATAAAGTTTTTATTAGTGCCGACATTTCAACCCAAACATGTGGGACATCATCAGGGCGTGGCTCGAGCACTGATGGTGACCCACATATTTGGGATAAAACATTGGGATTAATAAAAACTTTATAATGACTGCGTCCTTAATATTTATCATGATATGTAGAACAATCAACTAACTTCCTCCAACTATCGATGCATGTTAACACAGGAGCGTCCAGAAAATGCCAAGGAAAGCTTTAGTATACCTAACATCAATTTATAACGCAATACTCAGAACGACTAAATTCCCCTTACAATAGAAATATTTATTCATAAAAATGATTCAAAAACCTAACAAAAACACTGACTTTCCTTCATCATACAGACCCATCAGCTTGCTCCCATTATGCTCAAAAATCTTTGAGAAACTTCTATACAAACAACTTCTTGACATACTGACTACTGAAAACATAATACCTGAACATCAGTTTGGATCCCGTTCACACCACTCAACCATTCATCAGCTACACCGAGTGACAGACTACATTGCGAAAGCACTAGAGCATAAAGTATATGCAACAGGAGTATTTCTGGATGTTGCTCAAGTGTTCGATAGAGTCTGGTATCAGGGACTTCTTTTCAAACTTAAGACTATACTTCCTCCAACCTACTATCTTATTCTTCAATCTTTTCTTTCTGACAGATTTTTGTCTGTTTGCCAAGGTACAGAACTATCTACCATTAAACCAGCCCTAGCTGGAGTGCCTCAGGGGTCAGTACTCGCTCCTCTGTTGTATATTATTTACACATATGATATTCCAGATCCTCTCGATACTCTGACCGCGACTTACGCAGACGATACAACAATCTTGACAAGACATCAAAATTCAACATACGTCTCACAGACTTTACAATATCACCTAAACAATTTCTACGACTGGTGCAAACTCTGGAAAATTCGACTCAACCAAGACAAATCACTACATATCACTTTTACCCTTTGACGTGAAACTTGCCCCTTTATTTACCTTGACAATATCCAAATTCCTCAAACCGACAAAGTTCAATATCTTGGACTGACCTTTGACAGAAGAATGACATGGGGCCAACATATCAAAAACAAAACAAAAACTCTAAACCTAAGACTATGCCTATTGTACTCACTCCTTGCAAGAAATTCGAAATTAAAACTTAGACAGAAATTGAATACATATACTTACTTACTCAAGCCTATTTGGACCTACGCTTTACAGATATATGGGACAGCCAAAAAGACTCACATACGTAAATTACAGGCTTTTCAATCTAAAACTTTCAGGACTATCACCAAAGCTCCCTGGTACGTCAGTAACATTACTCTACATAAAGACTTACAGATGCCAACAGTTAACGACCACATACGAACATACTACAAACGATTTCATAATAACTTACACGGACATACAAACTCATTGATTCGAGGCATGGCCACAACTAACATGCCCGATAGCACCCGAAGGAGGCTTAAAAGAAGCTGAATGAGGGATCTCCTCCACTAACTATAAATATTACGCTCAAGACAGGAAGGACGCCGCTGGGTACTCCTCTCCCTCACGCCTATTCCAAGACCAATCTCTCGATCTTGACATCACACTCGCTGATTGTTGGAACTTCTGACAGGTGTGAGTTGAAGAATCAAGTTTAAAAAAAAACAAAAAAAAAACAAAAAAAACAGGAGCGTCTTGAGTTTCATTCAGGGGTGTCAGGTGTGGAACCCCAATTACTATATTAATTTTAAATATCCATAGACATCAATTTTCCTAACCATTTACCGAGGTATTGTTTGTTTGTTTCGATGTCTAGGCGCAAACATCCAGGTCATCAGTGCCCGATCAACTAAATAACACTACTTTTATACTGTTTAGGTGGTTGGCACAAAATATAGAAATAAAAGAAGGATAAAAATAAAATAAATGAATAAAGATAATAATAGACACTTGTTATTTTAATAAATGAGCTTCCTTTGCTAAATTAATCATGACATTACCTTTTCTATAACCTTTTTTTAAACTGTCATCAAATTTACTGTCAGTTTGTAGATAACGATGACTGCATTAATACCAAAAACAGATATTGTCTCCAAGTTAATGAGGCTTAAGAAATACAAAGATGAAGATATACAGTAGATAGTTTTGTGTTATCAAGACAAATTAATCAAATATTTTACCTGTTGCCTCAGTTCAAAAATAGGAGGAGACTCATCCAATATAATGCTAGAAGTTGGCGTTGTCACTGGGCTGGTATACCACTGCGAGTTAGGGCGTGGGCTTTCTGGACATTCTCTTTCTTTATTTGTGTGTCTTCGCTTCTTCTTCTTTTCTTTTCTACTAATCGAGGGTGTAGAGAGGGATGCAGAGGTCGATCTTACATAAGCACTCCCAGCTCTGATATAGGAGAGGGAAAAAAGGAGAAAAACGAAAAAAAAAAATTAAATTAAATAAATAAAAATAAAATATAAATAAATGAAATTAAAATAAAATAAATTAAAAATAAAATATATATTAAGTAAATATAGCATAAAGAAAAAATTCTGTATTTTTATAATAGTGAATACTTGATAAGGATAATTTATCATATATTGTTAATAATATGACTTTACTAATCAATAAAGCCTCCTGTCTTTCTGACTTCAGTATCGTAATAATTAAAACATACAATAAAACTTCATTTGAAATGAAAATAGAACTAAAATCAGAAAATCATAGAAACAATTTTTTTTTTTTTTAATTTATTTAATCCACTCAAAAAAAAAAATTAACCTACATTAATAACGTTCCTGGTTAAAATAATAATTTTAATTATTATTATTATTTATTTTTCCTAATGGGAATATACAATATTTAGAAAAAAAAAAACTATTAGAAAATTTTCTAATTTATTTATTTTAAAGTTGTGTTGGTTCAATGATTTTTTTTTAAATTTAGATTTGATGAACTCTTTAACTAAATTAAATTTTACTTTAATAGAAAAATATTTTTGTTAACCTATTTTCTTGTATCTGAAAAGCCAAACAGCTGAAGCAAAAATTTAACACCTTTTCATAAAACTAACAATCTTTCAATTAATGGGAACTCTTCATTACGATAAAAACTAGACATAAAAATTATGTTTGTGTTATCAATTATACTGTTATCTATGGCACTTTACTTCCTCTTTTCTGTATTGTATAAAAAAATTACAAGTAAACTCGTCTAATATTCACAAAACAAACTATTATAAAAAAATAATTAAAAAAATCATTCAGAGCTTTTTCATAACCAAGATACTGAATAAAGTTTTGTAGGAAAACGACCAACTAGGAATCAGGCATTACAACCGAGAATACATTATAAATAAAATTATTATAATGAAGTTTTACAGTACATATCATAAAAGAAAAACATGCTATAATTTGATACTGTAAAAAAATTGATATTAATGTGAATGTTAAATGTGTGCATTAAAACATATTGAGCAATCAGTGATATTATAAAATAAATAAATAACAAACAAATTACTAATTAGATTGATTTAAACAAATTTGTTACTGATACATTAATGGCAGTGAAATATCAAGAACCTCTTGTTAAACATATATGCATAGACACATCGAGTGGAACATGCCGAGATTACTTCTTTCAATCAATTGCCGATGAACTTTATTTAAAATAGAATTCCAGCAGAATATTGTCAATTTTAACCTTACGAATCTAATGATATGTGTAGAATAGAAGCGAATACTTATTGAGAGAAAAAAATTTGAATTTGATAGAAATGATTTACTTACTCTAGCAAATTTAGTTTATAGTATAAATTTATAAAAATATTGGTATACATAAAAAATGGTAAATTGATTATTGGTGTTAAAAAAAAAAAATTTTAAGTAAAATAAAAAAATTAAATAAAAGTGGCAAATAATAAAAAAGGAAAATAAATAAAAGTAATTTCAAAATAAAATTGAATATCAAATAACACCATTAGGGACAAATGAAAAAGCATGCTTGTGTACAGGAAAAGCAGCCACATGAGAAATAAAATATCTGTAAAAAAAAAAAAAAAAGAAATCATCTAAAAATTAGCAAAAAATTTAATTATGAAACTCACAAATAGGATTTAAAAATTATTTAGAAGATAAAAACCTAAACATAAACAAAGATAACATTTGCCTTATTACACTAAAAAACAAGCCATATTTTAGCTAAAATACATTCATACACACACAAATACATTTATTTTATTTTTGTTTAAAGAAAGAATTCTGTTTTGGAAGGATAAATTCAAATAAAAGGAATTTAAAAAGAAAGAGGCAAAACAGATACAAGACTTGATGTGATGTGAGATTTGAGTAAACTAAAAGTATTATTTTGTTGGCAGTCAAAGTATGACGTCACATCCATGCCGCTTCTATCTGACCACTCCAGAAACAGTAAAGCTGTTGGAAGTATGATGGTTTTAGGTTATGTTATAACATTGAAGAAGAATTTTGATAACTGTCACATTAAGTTTCATTTCCTTTTTTTTTTTCATTAAGACAAAGAAAATTAAATCAAAAGACATTTAAAATTTAAACAAAACTACAACAAATCATTTCTGAAAGGTTAAAGTTACAATTTAATTTTATGGAGGGATTCAAATATCTATTCTTATATCCAAACATTGAAAATCAATAATTTTTAATTGAATAGCTGATTTACTAAATGATAAAAATTATTGGTAATTATTAAAATTACCTAATGATAAAATATTATCTGTTGTGATTTTGTTACAAATATATTACATTTATAACTGAAATGATTGTACTGATAATAAGTAATAAATTTAAAACTTCCATCAAGTCTTAAAATAATATTGGCTTGGAAATAAGTCCTTTCGGTTTTCCTTTTTTTTTTTTTTTTCATGTCACTATGATACACTTCTTATCTGATGAATTAATCCTTGCGGTGAATTGTTCATCCTGTTTGTAATATGTCAACAACTATATCTGTTAACTTTTGTTTAAACTAGCTTAGTATTGTGTTCAATATTGCACTGTGAATATGGAAGAAATTCATTATCGACATATTTTGTTGTATTATTTTAAAAAAGGTAAGCGTGCTGCAGAAATTGATCTTAATTGCTTTTCTATTTGGAATCGGACCATGCATAAAATGAACATTTTTGTTGGAAATTTTGTCTAGAATCATTCCCCTCCCCCCCCCATAGTTTGGCCATTAAGATCTGAGAGACCCTGTATGCTTAAAAAATCAGCTGTGTTTTTTTTTGTCCAAAGATTATTTGGAACTAGTTTTCTTACAGTCTTGGAACCAGTTTTCATAAGTTTACTGATTTTGTTTTTTTTAAATAACCATTTTACCACATTTATCAGTTAGTATTGAGGGTCCCTAATCAGGGCTTGAAATGGGAAAAAAACTTTTATTTTTAAAAAGTTTCGGGTATCACTGGACATTTAATTATCGAAAGTTTTTCAGTTATTTTCAAACTGGAACTTCTTCTCTGGCAAATTTTCAAGTAAATGTTAAAAAAGACCTTTTATTTAAAAGTTTTCTCGATTTGACTAAAAAGACAATCTAAGAAATGACTTTTTCTTAGCTAATCAAACAAATCACATATTAGAATCACGTGTAATTAATTTAAGACAAATTATAACTCTAATCTAAGCCCAATTACTGTTCATTTTTCATTTAACGGGACTTTTTTTAAGAAATTGCATAAATACGAGTTAAAAATCTGGAAGTTTACTACAAATAAGTTCCTGATTCTAATAATGATGGGCTATAGATAATATTTATGATTATCTTTTTAATCTCCTTAGATGTAACTGTTTACATTTTTCCAATTCTTGGATGACTTTTTAACCGAGCATGTCTCTAAGGAATATAATACAAAATTATGATTATTGGGAATTTGAAGGAGGAGTGCCGAATTCAATCTGGCACCACTAGACTCAAGAATCATAAAGCGGACAACGCTTTAACAGGCTCATCTACCATGGCCTCGCTTATATTATATCTTAAGGTACTATTTCGCTGGCGTGGTCCACGACCGAGACTGCTCGAGGTTGACCACTGCTTTAGTGGGATAGAAAGGAACCTATTTTGCTGGCGCTGCTCAGCAGTCTAGGTATGACGTCATATCTAAGCTGCTACTATCTGACCCCTCTTGAAGCAGTTGAGGTGTTGGCGGTTCGGCGGTTGTAGGTTATGTTATCATATAAGAGCATTGTTTTGATGATAACAGTCACGTCGATACGTTTTATTTCCTATGTTTCTTTCAAGTCTGGCAAAATTATAACAAATATTGTTTAAAACTGAAACAATGCAATAGTAAATTATTTTTTTAAGGTTGAAGTAACAAGATTATTTATTCCACCAGCAATATTTTACAGCGATATACAAATATACCTAAATCCAAACGATATTAAATAAATTAAAGAATCCAACAAATTTTATCGTCAGGTAAATACTAAAATCCACCCATTGAAAAATCGATTTGTATTTTTTAATTAAAGTGGTTTTTTACTGATTCCTATTGATAAAACTATAAAACATCGCCTGCTGGGATTTAATTACAAATATATGATATTTATTACTAATCCATTATGTATTAATTACTATTACTTTTCAAACTAATAATATCTAATATCAGAGGGACTATTGTTGTTAGTACGACATTTCCTGCCTTTTTGTTCTTTTTTCGGTTGTTCATTTAGACGATAGCAAACAATGTCCAAGAATGGATTTGATGATGAGCATCTCATCGAAATACTGATATTTCTTCTCTTTATGAACATTTTCTCTTCTTTTTCGTCCTCAAATAAAAAAGCGGTAGTCAGAGATGTTCATTATTATAGGATGTTCATTTTTATTATTATAGGATGTCCATCTTTTTATCTTCGAAGATACAGCGAAATGGTCAAAGGCCAGGGAAATAGTATCTTTAGAAAGATGCCAGGTTCTGTTTCAGTATCTCCCAATAATATCTTAAGGGCTATTTGTTGCCTCTTTTTGAATTTTCCCACTCATTAACTAAAGTGATCTGAATTTTATTTTAAGTATTTTTTTGAAATACCTATTTTTAAACTTCAGTTTTATAAAATGTTTTACAATAGAATTCCTTGAAAAAATATAACTTATAAAGATGAAATATAACTAATAAAATAAATATGTTCGTTATTGAATAAAAGGGAGATCATATCAATACCTCGTAAGAGTAGAAGAAGGCGACAGAGACGCAAAGTTGACGAATGTCTTCAAAGAGGCAACTTGAGACTTGGTGAGACTGGAGACGCGAGACCTATTTCCCCTAATAACACACACAACATGCACCAAGCCATACAATCAAGCTTTAAATACAACTCGCTTTCTCTTTCAGTTTGTTTCGTTTTTCAAATAAATATAATTTTTATTAGTAAATAAAGATAAACTAAGTTAAGATTGTCATTGAATTTAATTTAATGCAAGATTAATTCAACAAAAACTTGTGATTCCGTGCAATCTTTGAATAATATTCATTCAGCAAATTGAAGAACAGAATGAAAAGCAAACAAGTTAAGGAGAGAAAGCTTCAAAACAATATTAAATACAATCATTTAGATAACACACATATTTAAAATATAAAGCGATTAAAACAACATAAAAATTGAAGTTTATTAATTTATTTTTGGAAATAAAAATTGAAACACTATATTCTAACTCTTCCTAATTTTTCTGTAGTAGTTTGTCGTGTCTGTCTTAATTTATTTGTTATTTTTTTCTTTATACTATAATTTATGGTAATAATTCTTTTAAGATAAAAAAAAGTCTTACTTTATATATATATATATATATATATATATATATATATATATATATATATATTTTTTTTTTTTAATTGTCTCATAATTATCTTAAGTTTGTGCCACTAGAGTTCTAGAAGCCCAGTATAATTCTATTTAGAATGGCATAAATTCTAATGTTAAAAAAGAAAAGAAAACCAAACAAACAATTGTATCTCTCAAATTATTTATTAGTTTATAATTGAAAAATTCAACTACACAAATAAATTCAAATGTTAACCCAGATTATATGATGGATAGAAATACCAATGTTACCAATGTTTTGTTAACGCATTTAGCCAACCTCACCGGCATATGAACATATGTGATAAACATCACTAAGGCGACCTCCAACCTTCTGATCAGCTGGAAGCCCGCGAAAACAAAGGTTGTATCCTTTCATTTATTCATTTAGAGACTGGGTTAACATTTAAAATTCAATCATATTAATCAAGATTTTAAGAAGTTTATTTTATTTTAAAATTTCTTTTTTTTTTTTCTCACATATAAATTTAAATGTTAATGTTAATTTACAATGTACCTATGATTTATATATTTTAATTTTATTTTGTCATTTTTTTTTGTTAAGGTGTTCTTCACTCTTATTTATTTTATGTTTAACGATATATATTTAATATAATTTAATGGTTAACCTTTTTTATATTTAATCGATTTTTTTTTAAATAAGGAGATAATTATTGTTTTTGTTGTCTATACTGAAGATATTTTTTTGTTTTTAAAAGTGTGTAATAATAAAAGCCACAACTAATCAAATTATATATAATTTATTAGGCCCTCAAATATATATATAATATTTTTTGGTTCTAATATTAAAATCAACGAATTATAATGGGAAAGAAGGATTGCAATTAATTCTGATATCGCCAATTCTCCTACAGCACAGAAAAAATAAAATAAAATGATAGGTTAGTTTAGTTTTTTCTGCATTTTAGAGAAACAAGGCTGTGTGATTATATTTTTCTAAGTATAGCCAAATATCTATTTTCTGTCTGTTGCTGAGGTTTCACACATTTATATAAACTTGTTTTTCCAAGTGGTCGAAATCTGATCATATTGATTACTGAAAATTTGAAGAAAACATAAATGAATTGGCATGTTTCCAACATTTTTTTTTTCAACTTTCATATGCCCGTACACGCTTTTCTAAAAAAAAATTCTATAATGTACCGCTGAGAGTACATCATATCCATAAATTAAAAGGGCTGTAAGAAGACTTTAGCCAAGTTTCATTAAAATCGTTACAGCTGTTTTTTATGGTCTATAGCGACACAAGTTTTTCGTTAGTTATTTCGAAACAAAAGGCCAGGTGGTAATGAAATGTATATAAAAAAAATTCTAAATTCAATTGCAACATTGTTTCAAAATTTTCAAAGCAACAGTTGAAAATATTTTTGAGATTTAAGTGTTTTGAACATTGACGTGTTTTGAAGTTAACATTTATGTTTTTATTAATATACATGTTCCTGAATTTTTTTAAATTTATAACACCAAAACTCATAAATAGATACTTCACAAAAAAAAATGTGGTTGACAAACAGAGAGAGAGAAAAAAAAGAAATGAACTTCTATATCTTTGCCTATTTATATAATGATTATATCTATTGTTGTTCCAATATAATTCATGAAGAGTCTTTGGTATTTACTAAGTATTTTGACTAATGGTTATGGCTATGGCTGGCATTACACTAAACTGTGAGGTTTTAGTTGTAATCTACTGAAAGGATCTGGACCCATTTTGTGGTGTCTTAAGATCTTGCTGATCCATGGCTGATATTATCTGCCACAATCAGATTTGGGCATGGGCCCGGAGTTAGAGTTCATACCCATATCCATACATTAGTATTTTTGTTCCTTTTATTTAAGATGTAATCCTGAAAATGGCTCTCATGATAAGGTTTAAACACTTGTTAAAAAAAACTTATTCTTTGATATGTGTATCTTGCAGCGACTATTCCTATTATTCCGCGTTACAGATCCTTTCCTTTTTATCAAATTATTAACATCCACCTAAAACTTCATGAATAGCTTCATCTAATTGTAAGGTACAACTTTTTTATTTACAAAAATTCTGAGAAATGGAACATTTTCTCATTAAACTAATTAATTTAATGAGGTGTTAAAAAAAAGTTAATGTAAATGCCAAAAATGAATTAACAAACTTCAATTATAAATAAAAATCAATTACTAGTTTAAAAATTTATAATAAACTACGTTTCTGAGTTAACCCAATGAATTAAAATAGCAATAAAAATAAATAAAATAAAACAAAAAAAAAAAAAGCAATGTTTACAAATAGTTCACTTAGGCACACTCAGGTTTTATAATTAAAAATATTACGAAGTGTTTCGCAAACAAATAAATCTCATTCCAAAGAAAAGGAAGAAAATGCATTGCATAAAAATAGCATCTAGTTTTTGTTTTTAAAAAAGCAACTTAGTAAAACAAAAATTCATGCATATATTTCAGGACTTACTCTGTCGATCCAAAGCTAGTTCCAGACAACCTGTTGGTATCCGTACCCTTATTTGTTTGTCTTCTTAACGTGACCGGTTCGTACTTAATTTCACAACTCTAAAAACAAAAACAAAAAATCAAATCAAGACATTATAACCACTGAAATTAATTTTTTTTTTCATAATTAAATCTGTACAAGCGGTGAAAATTTTCTTTCCCCCTCTACCTTGCCGTTTCTACAATAAGTAATCAACTTACTCTAGACAGCGAAGGGAGGTCGAGATTTATTAAATGAGCATGCCATATAAAATAATGAACTCCAACAGCTCTCAGGTAAGCCTAATATTGAGGCAATCGTCAAAAAAGAAAGATTGTGATGCAAAGGATGCTGAATGAGAGGCTACTAACTGTGATAAGTCTTGAAAAATTAAAGGGAAGAATGATGACAAAGAAAGGTGGATGATAGAAATGACGGCTGTCATATCTAAATGAGGCCAAGGCTCAACTAGGGCTGTATCGCCATTTAATTTGTTAAACACTTTTAAAAATCATTTATTTCTATTTATATCTAATTATTTGAATTTATATTCATCGACTTTCAGACAGAAAAACTATTTTTTTTTCATTGAATAAACACAACCTGTAAATATGAACATATTAGAAATAAAGATATGAACATACTTGTCAAGATATTACATAATGGTAGTAGTATTCTCTAAATAGTTTTAAATAAAAAGATCACGAGACCATCTTCTTTTCAGACGCCTAGGAGGTTATTAAAAATCAAGAAATAAGCAAGGCTGGAAATAAGTGGATTCGGATGAGACAGGAGTTTATCATGAAAGGATAGATATCTGGCTCAGGCGCCAAATCAGCAACATGAAACACTAATGTTTTTATAAATGATTCCTATTTCTATATTTTATATTTATATCCATATTCATGACAAAATATGGAGCATTAAGGATTTTGGATAGTAAGGATCAGATACGATAGGAATTTGATAGTTTGGTGGAACCTCAAAGCTCAGCTCCGTTTCGCTAGATAGGTCTTATTATAGTCATGTAAATGAGCCTTTTTTAATTAATTGAAAGTTCAGAGTGTTTATCTAGTAAGTGTTGGAGTAGCCGGCAATATCAAGCAGTTTCTACTCGTTTAAATCTTGTATGATATAAGATATAAGTGAGATCTGAGATTTAGAAAAAAATCGAACATCAAAAAATGCATTCATAGTATGAGGTGAGATGGGAGTATAGCATTTTATAGCATGAAATGGGAAAGGCTGTGCAAGCTCCTTTCCTCTATGGGCAAACTTATCTTAGACGCACTATACTTCCAGGCTGGGATATTTAAAAATTATCCATAAAAGATGTATGTAAGGATATGTTTCATTGTAATAAGATTATTCTTTGAAAATGACCCATAGGTCGAAATTTTGAAGAAGGAAGGTATAAAATTTAAGATAAAACAAACGTTTTGAAGATTTTCCTGATTAAAAAAATGTAGTATTAAACAAAAATTAATATAAGCTGATAAAAATTTTTATTATGTTAACCCTGTCTCGATTCATAGGTTGAAAACTTAGATTTACGTATACAAAATGTAGTATAGAAATTAAACTTAAGCTGGAGGAAAAAGTGTATTTACAAGAAAAAAAAATAAACAAAATGTTTTATTATGTTTACTTAACAGATTAAGTCTAGAATAGCTGTCCCATCTAGTCCAGATTAGTGTTAGTGTATTGTAAAAACAATATTATAATCTATTTTTATATGTAAATTATCACAAAGAAAAACTAACCTTAGCTCCATAATTTGATACAACATGGCTTTGCATTTGAGCGAAACATTGTTCCAGTCGTTGTTGAAATGGGATCAAAGCAGGAGGAGCAACATCGCCATGAATTTTTATTCCAACTTCTAGAAGTGGTATTTGAGAGGCTATTAGTTCCTTCAGTTGGACAATCTGCGCCACTTTATCAGGATTCGCTTCCATATATTCAGGAGTAAAAAATGCCTATTGAAAACAAAATAATAATAGTACATTAGAAGAAATTGTAAACAAGTTTGAAATTTGAACCACCAGGTTGAAAATAACTGACGAAAAAGTTATATCAAGCGTAGGAAAGTTATTAAACTCAGCACTAAAGCTCATTATTTTATTGTTTCTTTATACATAAATCAAATCAACAATGGCTCAGTGGATCCATTGACTTTTGGGATTCACGAATCTCCTGCATATAATCTCAGTGTTATTTTGATATTTATATTCATTAGGCACGTATTTCCTACTTTTTTTTCTATTATTCAACTCAGCATAAATCACTGCCAGATTCAACCGCTTAATGGATTTCATCAATGGAATTAGAGCTGAGTTTAGAAATTTGTTCCATTAGTGCAATAATGAATATATTATAATTTTATGATTACAAATTGTGGACAAGGATGAGTATTTATAGATGCAAGCAGTATTTACCATACTGAATTTGTTGTTAGTTATTACTATTTGTCTTGCTATAATTCTTGTAAACATTAAAAGGAAAATAAAAATTAAAAATTATCATTTTGCCTAAAATTTTAAATATGTAAAATACCCAAGTATCATTTCATAATAATTGTAAAACAAGTACAAATGTGTAATAGTTGTATAAATTTATATGGCACTGGCACTCAAGTCTGAACTACACTGTATCAAACTGGCATAAATCAGTTTATAGTTAGTAAGTGCAATTAAATACCTGCTCCACACAAAATAACAATAATACAACTAACGTAAACTCAAAAATAGTATATTTAACATAAACTGATGAATAAATAAAATTATTTAAATAATTTTAAAAAATTGCAAACCTTTTCATAGTTATTAATTCCACCCATAACAGCTGCATCTACTATTCCATTCAATCGGAGACTTAATGGATTAATAGGTAGGCTTGGATCTTTCTTATGTTCCATGATTAATTCTTTCAGTAAACTGCAATATCAATTAGAAATTCAGATCATTATAATTAAAAGTACACAAAATATAAATAATAAACTAAGACTATAAGACAAAAAATAAATAATTAAATAAAAGAGTTAGTTTCTGATTTTTCACATTTACTTAATCCAGTGAGTTTAAAATTTAACAAAAGTAACATTGGTTATAGTCAGTGGTAGAGAACCCTTTTTATCGAATTATTAACATCTGCATGAAACTTTTTAAATAGTTTCATCTCATCAGAACCTACAACTATTTTATTTATGAAAACTCTTGGAATTGGGGCGTTTTCAATTAGCAAACTTTTCAATTAGCAAACTTTGTCTACTTAATTAGGTATTAAAAACTCGTAAATACTCATTTGCTTTCTACTTGGATCATGGGATAACTTGATCACAAAATCAATAAAAAAGGTGGTCTACATAAATATTGGGCAGTTTATCCTATATAACCTCGTTATTTTGAAAACTAAAGGGTGTAGGTAACGCCAAACGGCTCAATATTTTTGAAGGCCACCTTTTTTTCTCGTATTTGTGATCATTATCTTACGATCCAAGTAGAAAGCAAATGGATATTTACGAGTTTTTAGTACCTAATTAAATAGACAAAGTTTGCCCCCCTCTGGATTGAAAATGCCTTAATTCCAAGAGTTTTCGTAAATGAAATAGTTGTAGCTTACAAAGAGATGAAACTATTTAAGAAGTTTCAGGCGGATGTTAATAATTCGATAAAAAGGGGTCTCTACCATGGACTACTAATTTTTATAAACATTTCTAATCTTAACAGGTTAATATTAAAATTATTTTGAATAATCTATAAATATAGATAGTTTCTATTATACTGTAGATGTGCAATAAGGTTAGCTTTAAAAAAAAAAGAAGTATTCTAGGAGGATTAAAGCAATTACTCCTAAACATTAAGAATAAAAATTATTCTTCAAATAACATGAAAACTATAAGTCTACTGGAAAATTATAGATTTTTATTTTAAAGTTAAAATTATCTACAAAATAAAAGTAACGCCATCTAGATTGGGTCAGTATCATCCAGATTGGATCAGTATTAGCAAAAATACAGCTTACTTTACTAGGTACCTCCATTTTATTCACACATATCCATAGAACTCAGGATCTATGGGAAATGCCTGTGAAGCTGAAATTTTGGTTAGTAGTTCCCCTTAAGATGTAGATGTGGAATAAGATCTGATTTTAAAACATTTGAATTCCAAGTGGTAAAAAAAAAATTAAAATAATTTAGTAACGAAGAAACACATTTCAGTCGCTCAAAGTTATAGACAATTGGCTCCCGGAACAAATAAAAAAATGACGTGGTGTCCTTTACCTCCGGAATACAAATTTAGTAACAAATTTTAACAACTCAAAGTTATGAGAAATTGGCTCCTCTGAAGACATACAAAAAGATGTACAAGGTGTTGTTTACTTTCGGGATACAGATATACTACTGGTTATAATATGGACATGGTATAGTATTTTTTCTTTATGAAAGATTTTGGAACTTTCTTCTTAAACTACCAGCTCAGAGAATATGAATAGGTAGAAAGCAAAAATAAAATAAAAAATCCTAATAAATACAATTAACTAACAAACTTGGAGAGCCAAAGTAATACTTACTCGTTCGTTGTTTGCATCGTTTCTATTGCATTCGCCAATGGCGACAACTGGTATGTATCAGTAGACGTTACAGGAAACCACCTCAGAATACCAGGTAGAGGATATGACGTCACTAATATGTTTCTTTCTATCCAAAGAGTAGCAAATTCATTGTCTTCGACAAGCATTGAATCCCTTTTGTGATATGGACGAGAGAATCGGAATTTTTGAACATTATTTACTCTGAAAATTAATTGTTAAAAATTAATATCAATTATAATAATATTAAGAATAATGAAGTAGTACTGAGCATAAAATAATTTATGGGTGGTAAATATTCAGGACGCAGTCATTATAAAGATTTTATTGGTGCCGACGTTTCAACCGAAACATGTGGGTCATCATCAGGGCATGTTTTCAACACCCTTCATCATCAGCGCTGAAGGTACTCAAGTACCCAGTACACTTGAATACCTTCAGTGCTCGAAACACGTCCTGATGATGAACCACATGTTTGGGTTGAAACGTCAGTACCAATAAAATCTTTACAATGACTGCGCCCTGAATATTTATCACCCATGATATGTAGAACAATCGACTAACTTTCTTCAATAATTCATAAAATAATTTATATTAGTTATTCTATTCACCTGTGGAATTTAAGAACTTGCGAACTGACAGTCTGCATAAAAGATCTTTGTTTCTTTTCATCCATTATTGGCTCCACCTTATTGATTTGTATATCTGAAATACAATTCAATATTAACAAGCATCTGGATACTTGCATCAATTTAAAATTTTAATTTATCAGTAAAGATTAGATTTTAACAATAAAAATGGCCCAAATTTTTCTGATGCATATTCTCAAAGATGATTGGTATTAAAGATAAGAGGTGGAGTGACTAGCTCATAACATTGATTAAACATTTTAGCTTAGAATGGCGTTCCCAGCTTCAAAATTTCCATCCAAGAAATATTTTCCATTTTGTTTCCTCACTACCGAAGGAAAGATAGCTTTGTATTCTTCTGGGAAATTAATAACAATTTTGTGCTCGGAATTGAAAATTTCCACTCATATTTAACGCCGGACATCAAGGTTCAAATTTGCTTCGTTGCCTGTCAGTCATACTGTAGTCAAATCGTTGTGATGGGCTTATCACCAACAGATTTTCAGGGCTTGTGCGGGTTGATGTCTATGTGGTTCCAAATAAATTTCATCAAATTCAAGTTGGCCGAGCAGACTAATGTGTTGTGTAACAGGCGTTAGCTTGTACTGTGATAAACTGAACATTACGAGTTCAAATCCCAGTGCCGGATGGAGTTTTAACTTAAGCATTAATCCTCTGAACTCTCATCTGCACCGGGAAAAATCCCGTATAGCCAAAAATGCAACAAAGGGAGGAAAATAAAAATAAAAAACAATGAAAATGGAGAGGAAGCTAAACCGATATTACTTGGCAGAATTTTTTTCTTACCTCTCTTTACCTACCTCTCTATACCTCTCTTTTTTTCTGTCCTCTCTGAATAAAAATATTTAGCTTAAAATATATTTTATTAGCTTTAAAGGAGAGCTCAGAGAGAGTTTTGAGAGAATTGTGTTTGGCAGATGTATACATCAAGCCACTAGCGGATCCAGGATTTAGTTTTGGAAAGGGGGGATAAGATTTAAAAAATATATATATATAACAATAATTACTTACAAAGAAAAAGAAAGGAATTAACTTCCTATAGTCATAGCAAATTATAAACTTTTGTTTATTATTTAAAAAGTGGAATTCTAAATTTTTAGTACTTCAATTCTATTGCAGATAATTTTTTTCCCACACAATTACTTAATTACAATATTTCAAATGAACTTGAAATTTAATTCAGATAATAAATATTTAACTACAACATTTAAAAAAACAATATTTATAAGCCCTCATCTTATATAACCTAATAACCTAATAATGAAATAAATAATTTGGGGAAAAAATGAAATAATAAAATAAATTAATGAGAATAATTTATACATTGATTCGGAGATTCTGTAACGTCTTCACTGGGTAGCGTAAGAGTGTTCATAAGTTCTGCTTTAGGGAACTGATTCAAAGTCCTTGTGCAGAAATCACTTAATCTCTCGTATTCCTTTCCTCTGTATATAAAAACCTGTAAAATTAAGTTATTACAAATAATTCAATTTTACAATAAACATTTGTAATAAATATGTTGTTAAATTACTCTATATTAAATAATTTAGGAGCCAATTACTGAGTTAAAGGTTACACATAATTTTTTGGGTTAGAAATATATATACAGTGGCGAAACAATCAAAAATGCCTGGGGCATGCATCAAAATTGTGCCACTTCGTAAATTATCTTAATATAAAAAGCAGATACACTAAATAGAACACCATAAAACTCTTACATGCGCTATCTAAAGAAAAAAGAATTGTATTGTACCTGAATGTGCAAAATACTCTATTTGAATTTATATTAGTAGAGGCTTAGAATACGATAGTTATTAATTTTAACTTACTGAAAGATTGCCCACAACTTCTGATGGATACTGAATCGATTATCAATCCAATTTCATTATGTAATACATGTAATAGCTAAACATTTTATAAGAAATGTCATCCCAAAGCAATTTCAAATTTTGATCTTTTTGAGATTATTCTGCTTTCCTGATCTCATTTTTCAACATAAATACTTCATTAGAATATTTTATATCCCCCCAACCACCAGAGGATGGTGCAGAAAAATATTTTACCATAAGTCCACACTGAATTGAAAAGATACAGTCATTTACCTATTTAGGATCCCAAGTTTAACTACGAAAATAATATGCAAGAAGAAATAGACTGACGCATTCTTTCTGTGAATGCACATATTTTGATTTCCAAAAGCAGCATTTTGTCCAAAGCCTCTATAACAAGGATTTATATTTAGGCCTATATTTACATTCGGCTCAGGATGTTGGATGATGACTATAACCATTCTGAGATTCGAAAGGAAAGTGGTTCACAGAATATATGGCACTGTGTGTAAACAGTGTAGAAGATGAACAAATGCTGAAGTAAGTAGGATATATTGTACTATACACCTTTATTGGAAGTTGGTGAAAATGGTTTAGGAAAGGTGTGTTTGGCAGAACTTTAGAAAGTTTTGAAGACAAATGAATTCAGTGCCACAAAGGAAAAAACAGTGTATATAGAAAAAAAGATTAGCTTTCCAATTCATACTTAACTTTATTTTAAAATCAAACAGTATTTAGTGTAGTTAATTTTAGTTGGTCTGAGCACTAGCGGATCCAGGATTTAATTTTGGGGGGGGGGGCTTCAGCCCGAAAGCTTTTTTTTTTTCATAAAAATAACGATAATTACTTTGGAAAAAAAGAAAGAAACTAACTACCTGTATGAAATGGTGTTTAAGTGATTCCTAAAGCCCTTTTAATATTAATCACACGAACAATAATACTTTAAGAGATACTTTTTTAATATTTTTTTCGATAAAACATGGTTATATTTTGCCATTTTGGGGGGGGGGGGCTTCAGCCCGAAAGCTCCCACCGTAGATCCGCCCGTGGGTCTGAGTGTTTTGATCTGATTGTTAGTAACCCCCCATACCTAAGATAAAATAATTATAAAGTTTAGTTTAATATATCAATATTGTTATAATTTTGTTTATTTAATAACCACTTATTTATTTAGGAAGTATCCCAACAGTATGAAATGATCTTCTGAGGTTATATTACTAGTTTAAAATAAAAAGAAATATTACTTTTTATAGATGCTAATGTTATTAGTTTTATCAAATTCTCATGACTCCGCTGGGCATTGACATGCAATAGAGAGGACAGGCAATCCTTGTAGCACACCATGACTCATCAAGTGGGTCGTGATGCCAGACAAGAAGAAGAAGAAGAGTATGGTGTGCATATACATAATTTCTTAAGAAGTTTTACTAGTACTACGCCCCCTGGATTCCCTCCCACGCATTCATCACAGATTACCATGTACAGGAATCGCGAGATTATTTGAATGATGGTTATATCATTGGTGGCTGAATTTTTAAATTTAATATTTCACGAATATTGCAAACCCATTTTGAATGGCGCTCAGGTCAAATGTCTTATGTACACCACTGTATATACAACCATTTCTTATTTAGGCTAAGCATAAACTAACTCAGTGTAAATTTTATTCTGAAATAGAGATATACCTTATCTCATTACTTGACTAGGAGGTTAGGTTAGGCATAGTTTAGAATTAAGCCTAATTCAGCAATTATCCATAAAATTATTAAATCAATTTTACCTTGAGGAATACAGAAAGGATTATTACCTTATTCTGAAGGAACGGAGGAAAACCTCTGCCATAGTAAGCTACCCTAAAATACTCAGGAGCAGGCCTAAGTTTGTACATTATATTGTCATAAAAGTCGGCCATTCTTCTTAAAAGAGAACTGAGTTGAGGCAAATCGTGCACTTGCTCTTCGTATTGTTTAGCAAGTTCTTTACAAACTTCAACAGCATTCTCCCACATCTAGAAAATGTTTTTTTTTTTTTTTTAATGAAATACTAATAAAATATAGATAAATAAATTTTAATATATTTCTTTAAGAATGTAACTTTAGATAGATTTTTTTTTTCAAGTTTTTCTTTGTAGGCATATTAATTTATCTTTCAAATAAGCATCTGAAATATTTTGGGAGATGTACAGTTTACAAATTATTTGAAAAACTAATAAAATGTGAACGAGTTTCCTCTTCAAATAAAATAAATACTTTTTAAAATATAGAAACTAATTACAATGTGCCATAGCATTCCTAATAGTTCAATTGATTTTATTTTTTAGTGTTTTTTTTTTTTAATATTAAATTTACCAAAAAACTGTATACTTTTTATGTTATGCGGAAATAATATTTTATTTTATTTATAAGTTTTTCCTTGGATTTTCTGGAGAATTCATGTACTATATATGAATATTTAAGGGCTATTAAAAAGAAGGTTATTGGCATATTTCAACGAAATAGTTAAAGCCATTTCATTGTAACAGTTTAAAGAAAAATAAGTTTTTCAGCAATTCAAATGCCTAAATTATGCACAGGACTGAATATTTTCCAATTGGAATATTCCTCCCGTGACTCTTAACTCTGGAATTTCCAATACGAATAAGGTGATTTTATGTTCTGGTAGGAAATGAAATTTAAAGACAAATTTATAATCGGAGACATTTTTGATATGATGTAGGTTTTTCAGGAAATTCATTAATTATTCATGGACGCCATCAACAATAAAACCTAACTTTTTTGAGTATTCACAAATAAAGTTTCATTTACTTCATAACTTTTTTCTTAAAATTTCTGGTGGATGTTACTATTTTTCCTCCTTGAAGGAAAAGATTTAAAAAGAAAGGAAAGTCTTCAAAATGAAGGCTTAATCATTGGATTTGATGATGAATTAACAAAAATGTAATGTACAAACAAAAAAATACCTTAGAGAAATAATACATAAAGATAGGATATTTCAGTGATCATGAGGCAACAGGAAAAAAAAATCCATAGTTTAAAAAATTGTCATTGAACACTAAAATTTAATTAATAATTGATAATTTAAATCATTTAAAAAAAATTCATACCTTTCCCTGGTCAAAGTAATCAATAATGGCATGATATAATGCTTCCTTGAGCTGGCGATGAGTCTGACAGTTGGGATATTTGCTGCTCCTCAACATGGTCGATAAACTTACATCAGACCAACTCAAAAGTTTACTATGAAGTTTCAAAGTATAAGCAGCTTCGGTGTAATTGTCACTTTCCAAATGAAGATCACAGAGCTTGTTCAAATAACGTATATACATCTGCTTCCTATTGATCTCTGAATAAAAATCCTGCAAAGACAAATTTAAAAATTAGAATAGTTTGATGTATTACAAACTACATGATAGACCTTTTGAGCAGACTTAATGATAATTTGGATGAACAGTATTGTCTGTGCAAGTTTTCATCATTTACAGTTATTTTAGACTCACTTTAAGAGTGAACAAAAACAATTAATTCATATGGAGAAAATTCACAAAAGGGTTTTTTTCTTGATAATTCGAATTTTCTTGTAATTCCTTGGATTTCAAACTATCGACAGGTAAAGTATATAATAATCATTTTGGCGAGATGAGCTCTACACGGATTAGGCATAGCAGATCAGAGCTCTGATAACTGTTTTATAAACAGTGAGTTTGTTTTGAAGTCTTAACTTGGATTTTTGTTAAAATATGGAAACATGTTCAAAATAGATAGATAGATAGATAGAAAAATCTTTAATCTGGGACTAAGTCCCTTCAGAATAACAATAATGTACAAAATAATAGAATATTACTGGCCTAAACGTTTGAAACAATAAATAAACTAAAATAAAAAGTAAAGAAAACCTTAGGTGCACAAGCTATATACAATCCAGATAAAACTATGTATTAACTCATCATTGTTATTCTAAAGGGACTTAGTCCCAGAATAAAGTTTAATTTTCTAAAAAAAAAAAATAAATAAAAAAAAAATTAATAGTTAGCTGGTATCTGACTGTTTTTGGAACAGGAATTGGAATAGGAGGTTTTTGAATGTGTATAGAGAAGGGGCATGTCGAATTTTGATCGGGAGGGAATTCCAAAAGTTGACAGAGCGGGCTATAAAGGAATTTTGGAATGAGGCAGATCTATGAGAAGGGATGTATAGGTCAGAGGGTCGGGATCCATTGTAGTGAGGGAATGGATTGAGGACTTAAATTGGAGAAGATTGAAGGCATAAGAAGGACGATGATCGGTAATGATTTGATAAAGGAAAGTGCCTAGGAAATATTGTCTTCTTAAGGAGGGAAAAAATACATTGTTTAGCTTTATGTGTTTTTCTTTCGATGTAGTTCGTGAATGTTAATAACCAGCTTATCAATATTTTATATTTTTATTATATTTATTCTGAGGTAATTCACTGTTTTAGACAAGGGAAGGAATTTAATCTGAATTTAAGGAAATATAATAGTTTAAGAGGCCTGTGCTTTGTTACTTTTAGTTTAGTTGGGCCATTTCTTGTAACTGTTTTTTTTCCCTAAAATATTTAAGTGGCATATTGGAATGAATATTCAATATTGAGGTTGAATTATTTCTTAATTTTAATATTATATTTTTTGGATTGTTATGTATTTATAGCCAAGACTAAATTCTTATTATATATAATCAACTAGAAAAGAATGTAAAATTTATTTTAAATGCAATAATTTGACCATTAACATTGTAAAATGTTAGTATTTATAGTATTATAAGTCACTTACAAGAAGGTTTACAGTACAACTCATTCTGTTTTCCTTATTTTCATCATTAATTATACATCTGTATTCCAACAGCCTTTCCATCAGTCTAGTCACAGTTTTCACAAACTTAAGTCCCTAAAAAAAAAAAGAAGAAAAAATCATAACAAATAATAAATAATACAATTATGTCACCAATAAAACGAAAAACTTCTGTAATAAACTACCTGATCTTTCAGAACAGCGTGATTTTCACAAAGTGAACTGACAATGGTAAAAAATAGATCTTTATAGTCTTCATCACCTCTTCCACCTTCCACCAAGTTATCAAGTTTTGAGATCATTTCATTTTCAAACTGAAAAAAAAAAAAAAATCAAATTCAAATGCTAAGCAGACAGAAATATTATTTTTTACTGTTAGACCGTAGATACTAACAGTAAGAGAAGTCGGTTGGGAGTTGCAGTTAGTGAAATACAAAAACAAATTTATTTATTTTCTTTAAGATAAATTAATTGAAATAAATTATATTATTTATTAGAAAATAAATATTTTTTGTATACTCCATGATTGCAACTCCAAACAACTTCCCCACTATACACATGTTTACATATTTAGTCAACAAAGGAAATTCATATTACTTTCACTTACCTACCTATATACAAAATATGTAGTAAGGGAAAGTATTACAACCGTGACAATTTTTGAATCTGCGTTTTGAACGTAAATACACATTTTGAGGTCCTCTGAGTCCAAATAACCAAGTGTCGTAAAATTGTCTGTGTGTGAACAGTGTAGCTCAAAAAAGTGTTACAAAACTGAAATTGTGTATTTAAAGTTTAAATAAACTCGAGATGTAACAGCAACTTTTTGGCCGGAATCGGCTAACCAGAAATGCTACTTTAAATCATAAATTTTACATCTTCAAAATTTCTTCCTATAAAATGCCTTTGATCTGTTTTACTTGCAATAATTAACCATTTCACATTGTAATCTGCTATAAAAAATGGATAAATATAAAATGTGAAAGAATTTTATAATTAACTAAAGGAGAAATAAAGGATATAGTGAACAATAATAGAGAACCAAAGATACCAGAGCGCATAACTGAGCTTGGCAGGAAGGTTAGAAAAAGGCTTCATACGTAACATATGTTTAATAAAATACAAGCTCCGATAATATTAATATACGTGTACATGTGCGGTTTTTATAAAAGCTAATGTTAGATGTATAGATTACAGCAATATAAAGATTAAAATTTGTATATACGCCAATGTGTAAACAAATAAAAATACCTACAATGGAATATAGCGGCCTTCTTTATCAGGGGCACTCTTGTCAGACTAAAAATATTTAATAGCACTTAATTATTTCTTATAATCAAAATATACAGTCATAAAATGAAAACCCTTAGCGACAAAACAAGTATAAATATAATACATTAGATGACTGTGAAAAACATAAGTTAATTAATTGTTTTAAATAATATTTTGCACCGCCTGTAACTTTTACTTTTACTTCCCTAAGTCTCGAAATACATACTTTCGCTAAAAAAAAAGAAAAAAGAAGTGGTAATTGAAAGTTGTGTGATGTGTGCACCACACCAAATTTTTAAATTATATTATATGTATGAAATTCAGTGAATTTTTGGTTAGGAAATTGTTGCAGATATATGACCCAGAAATTCTATCTAATTAGATTTATTGTGAAGTTCTTAAATAGTTTATATTGTTGGTGGAGACATATTCAAGTGAACTTAATTTGTTTAACACTGCTATTGATAAAAGTTAAAATTATTACTTCTAAAAAATTTGCTTTGATCTGTGTCGAATCTCTTCTATTGTCAGAAGTGTCCCGAGGAGAATAGAATTCACACTGCATCATATCAAAGAATATTGGTAAAGTCGCTTTCCTCAAATCAGACTCAGGTATTAAAGTCATTTCAAGGAACGGTCCGACCAAACCAGGAATAAACTGTTTCTTATTCTGACCTGCAAGAGAATATTGGGAAATTTATTTATTTGTAATTCAACTTTAAAAGAGTGTAGAGGTTTTTAATTCACTTATTTAAGATTTCAGTTCATTTATTAAAAACAAAAGTATATAATCAACCTCTTTGTGAAAGTTATCTAAAATTAAGAAGAAAAAAAAAAGAAAACACTTACCCAAGTTAAACCACATACTTCGGATTTCAAAACCAGTTTCCATTCTCATATCTTTATACCTAGCAATTACCCTTCTCCTCTTGCCTTCAGAAAAAGTTTCTAATTGCAGTGCTGGTTGTGTCAGAAACGATATGGCACAATGGAAAAAATTATTCCAAGCTTGATGCTCAAATTTAGTAGAGAAATAATCTCGAATAGTATGTGAGAAAAACCTCAGAGCCTTAAGTATGATGCTAGAACAGAAACATGATATAATTGAATAATATATCCAACATGAAATAATATCAACAAGCCTGGAAATACTTAACAGAATTAATATTATAAAATTAAATACTAAGAAGAAGTAAAAATAAGAAAGAGTGAGCAGCGAATCTCTATCACTAAGACAGTTCTTTCTCTCATTTATATTTAGAAAATAAATGAAGTGATATCATCGGTTTATTGCCAAAAGTCACTAGAATATACTTTTGATAAAGCTGAAATTTTAAGAACGTTTTTGTTTATTTTTATCTTACTTATTGATAAAAAAACACAGTGCACTAAAATGAAACATACTCTTTTATATACCAAATAAACTTACAACAAGCGAACAATTTTATTCTTATAGTTCAAGAATTTAATTCCATTAGTGGAAAATTCAAAAAAGTTATTAGTACTTTATAGGATTATAAAATGTCAATTAATGACTTTTTGGAATAAAAAACGACAATTTAAAATAATCATTATAAGAGGCAAAGTTAAACAAGACTTTCAGGGAATCTTCAATATGGATTGTTGAAAACCCAAACGGACAGAAGAAGATAATCTGGTAGGATGATAAAAGTGAATAATGAAGCTGATGGTGAGAAACAACACAAAAATAAGTATCCTGAGGAAATACTGCCTCACATCGTATAACCGCTACTACACACAAAATGGACCCTCTCATACTATTAGGTTTCATGATTTCTCAAGCCACATGGGAGTTTTTGAGCCAAGCAGCATTGCCAGGAAATAGATCCCCAATGCCAAAAATAAAAGTTAGATACATCAAAAACTAACCAACAAAGGGATTGATTTGCAAACTTAATATATTTATTTATTAGTTACACATATTTCTGGCTCACAGTAAATTTGCCATCTACCTCGGTATTCAGCAAATATGATATCAAGGAGAAGAAATGATAGCATAAAGAAAAAAGAATAGTAATAACAAAACAAAAAGACAAAAAAAAAAAACAATAAAAAAATAACAGTAGTAAACAACACATAATAAAATACACACAAAAAAAAAAAATGCAGCAAGTAGCTCAATTCAATGTCTCTTGGCCAGTGCCTCAGCAGTCTTCTGGGCGGATTATATGGATTTGTGGCAGTAGATAGAGCCTGAGTAAGTGGATTTGAATTTAGAGTCAGTCTGTCATGAAAATTATTAAAGCGGTCAGTGGCAGTTGCCGTGATGAAAGAAGTGTTAAGGCCAGTGTGTAACGTGAGGTTTGAAACATAAAAAGGTGCGTCTACAATTTTCCGAAGGACTTTTGACTGGAATGACTGAATGATTTTTTTATTTGATTTCTTTGCTGTTCCCCATAGTTCGATCCTATATGTCAAAAGTGGTTTAATGAGGACTTTGTAAATAGTTAGTTTATTAGTCACAGATAATTTAGAACATCTGTCAAGTAGCCTAGAAAGAAGTCCGTATCGCTGATTAAGTTCCTTTCTTTTTTGTTTAATGTGGTATGTCCATGCCAGTCGTTTGTTCAAGTAGAGACCCAAATATCAAACAGTTTTTGAAGGTGGTAGAGAGATATTATTAAAGCACACTGGAGGACAAGAGTCATGTTTAAGTGTAAATGAAACAAATTGGCTCTTAGACTCGTTCATTTTTATTCTCCACCTTTTAGCCCAACAAGCTATTTCGTCTAGGTGTTCTTGAAGTACCTGAGAAACCTTAGCTGCATCCTTGTTAGACGTTAATATTGCCGAGTCATCAGCAAATGTAGCCAACAGTTAATATAACAATGTAGCCAAAACTTAATATAAAGCAAATAAAGGCTAAATAATTTACATTTGAGATGGTAATTTCCAAAAGGTAATAAGTTTATCACTTTTTTTAAATATTTCAGGAAAAAAACTAAAATCAATCTTTAATTTGTATTAGGGCCAATCTACAATTTTAAAGCATGATTTTAAAGTACTCCTCAAATTCTTAACGTGAAAATGTGTCGATGGATTTCGATAAAATCAAACCATCATAATGTGAATAGATCAGAATATTGCTTAAGAAAAAATAGTCTTTTAATAACTTTTGGAAATCAATGCTTCAATTATAAATGAAGGAGAAAAAAAAAGAAGATAAAAGTATGTGTTTTTAGCCGCCAATATAAAATATTTAAAAATTATGAAAATATACCTGTTCTGTATCATTATCATTTCACACCAATCTCTGGGAAATACGGGTCTTGAAACTAGATCTTTAAAAACGAGCAATATTTCCATTAAAAAATCCAGGAGATCAGTCCTAGTCGGAAAGCGCTTGATATAGTCTTCAAAATGATTTGCTCCCATTTGCCTTAGGATTGCAAGCATTATCGAAACAAGACTCCCCTACACCAAAAAAAAAAAAAAAAATAATAATATTTTTTGAAATCAACTGATAGAAGTTAATGTAGTGCTAAATTATAAATTTTTATTTTTATGTTATAATGTTAATTTAATTCACACCCTTAATTGAAAATTTTATATGAAAAAGCATGTTAAGGCTCATGCATACAGAATGATTCTGTCATCTTAATAGATGGATTGCGGAAATGATGAGACTGTGACAATGCAATAGTAATAAAACTGAATCGCCATCCAGTCGTGGATAGAGATTATAAACCACCATGATATACTGCATTCTGTATGCTTCAGCTTCTTAATCACGAAACTAAATTTAATTAGACCAGCAAAAATTATGCAACTCAAGTAATAAATATTCAACAAGCATATTAATAATACTATAAAAATGGAATAAAAAAAAAAATTAAAATCTCTTAATAAACTATCAAATATTGATTCCCAAAACTCATTAGTGTGCTTTATAAATGTATAACTTTATATAATTATTTTGAAAAGATGTTACCTATAATTAAGGTGAAATCTCTGTTGACAAACTTTATTAAGTAAACTTAAATTTATATTAAAATATTTTTTTCCTCTTAATTTTATGAGAAGTCTAAAATCATTTTTTCTTTGAAAAGAGCAAAAATAAAATCTTCCAATATAAGTACTACACATTTATAATGTTCTAGGGCTTTAATCTCATCCCTCTGGTAATTAAAACTTGTTTTATTATTACAATTTAATAACATCACAATTATATAATATTGCAAATTTATAAATAATAAAGTTATATCTAAATATATTTATTTGCCTTTAGCTGAAAACCTGTATTTTCCAAGTTTTGATTTTAACATTTTCAGTGGATTTATAATTTATAAATAACATAGAATTTACAATTATTAGATTATTCCATTGTTCTGTTTGAAGTGATTATCAGTACTCACCTTTAGTCATACAACACACATAAGACTGACAAAAAATAAATAAAATATAAGTGTAAAAATAAAATACTTTATATATTTTTGTAAATAATATAAATATCTACTTTAAAAATAAATAACCATCCATCAATTACACAAGGTGACTGATTACATTGCAATGGCACTAGAGCACAAATTGTATGCAACTGGAGTATTTCTGGATGTCGCTCAAGCATTTGATATTCTGGAATAAGAGACTTCTCTTCAAACTTAAGACGATACTCCCTCCCACCTACTATCTTATCCTTCAATCCTTTCTTTTTTAATAGATTTTTCTCTGTCTGCCAAGGCTTAGAACTTTCTTCAATAAGACCAGCCTATGCAGGAATTCCTCACAGGTCAGTACTCGCTCTGCTTTTAAATATCATATACACACACAACATTCCTAACAGCACCGGAACTGACATATGCAGATGATAAAGCAATTCTAACAAGACATAATAATCCTACACAGACTTTACAACATCATCTAACAAAATTAAATGATTGGTGCAGACTTGGGGAAATTCGACTCAATAAAGACAAATCATAACAAATCACTTTCACTCTTCGACATGAAACATGCCCTCCTATTACCTTGACAATGCCGAAATTTCTCAAACAGATAAAATACAATATCTTGGACTGACATTTGACAGAAGAATGACCTGGAGCCCGCGTATCAACAAAAAAACGGCTGTTATACTTACTTCTCTCAAAAAGCTCAAAATTAAACCTAAAACAAAAATTGAATTATATTTACCTACTTAAACCCATATGGAGCTACACTTCACAAATTTATCGGACAACAAAAAGGACCCACATACCAAAACTACAAACTTTTCCGTGAAAAACTTTCAGGACCATAACTAAAGCTCCATGGTAAGTCACAAACATTACTTTAAATAAAGATCTTCAAATGCCAACAGTCAACAACCAACCACATACAAAAGATTTCATGATAACATCCATGGACATAATAACATTTATACAAAGTATGGGTACATTTAACATAACCGAAAACACATTCAGGAAGCTCAAAAAAAGCTGGATGAGAGATTACCTCGCTTGAAAAATATGCTAAATTCAAGACAGAAAGGGATGCCACTGGGCAATCCTTCCCTCATAGTACTCTTACCGACAGCAGACCTGCTAATTGTCATTGCTTATGACAGATTCGGGTGAAGATTTTAAGCTAAAAAAATAAATAAAAAAGGTATATTTTAAATATAAACATAAGGCAAACTTACCACAAGAGGCTCTTCTCGATCCATTGTAATAGTAGTCTGAATAACGGTTCTTAATATGGAATGCATAATAACTTGTAAATCATGGACTGTTGGGCCTATGTCATCCCGGAACAAAAGCTCCATTATATCACATAAGATATTTACGCAAAGTTCCACCTGTCGACATTTAGTTTATCGTTAGAAGATCTTCATTACCATATTGAATTGCTAATATAATTTTGCTACTTCCAAATTAAAATAAATCCCTGTAATCTGAACTAACTGCTGTAGAGGGGAGGGGGGGAGGGGGACAACAGCATTGGATCTATACTTCCATCCAAATTTCATTTTTTTTTTTTTCAAATTCAGATTACTGGACGACACTATATACTAAACACAACTAAAAAAATAATAATAATAATCCTTATTTTTCAAATAAATTAAGTCCAGAAGCTAAGAATATAAACATCATTTACACAATGAAAATTATTTAAATGTTTACTAATCCTTTTATAACTTTTTTAATATAAATAATTCAATTGGAACTTCCTTCCTGCTTCTTCTCTTTGATGAATACAGTGATTGAAGTAAAGCCTTATCTGCATCTTCATGGTATACTGTTATGGGTTCCTCCACTTTAATATCTTCTTTTTCTTAATCATTTGATAAAAAATATCATATCTTTTAAAAGCACTGTTTACATGAGTATAAAAAATTAAAAACTGTATGAGCGTACTTACATATGTACTGAAGAAAATCCTAGAAAATCTATGGAAAATTTTTGTACCGAACCGGGCATTCTGGGATCGTCACCTCAAATTGGTCCTTCATAATGACCTCTAAGTAATATCTAGCTATGCCTAAAGGCTAGTACTGTATTGGTGGAGGAACTAGTCTGGCGAATAGCTCTTGTGATTAGGAAGTGGTGTGGCCGAGTTGGCTAAGGTGTGCTTAAAACAGGTGTTTCATGGCAACCTGATAAACTGAAGATTACGAGTTTCAATACCAGTGCTGGTCGAAGCACTTTCAACTATGGTATCAATTCCCTGCTTTAGCCCCTGATCCTGGAAAATCCAGGAGGAAGGGGGAAATAAAAGAGTGAGTCTTGTGGTATTTACTGTCAAGATTCATTTCTCTGGATCGCTGAGTAATAAACATCAACTGACTCTAGGTAAGAATTGAACTAGATTACCTACCCAGGCGTGAGATTTAAGAGGAAGTTTAATGTCTCTCCACTGATCGAACATCTGCGCAATGGGATGACCATGTCACTGAATGGCCTTACAAGGATGGGGGTGCTTTTAGGGGCCTCAGGTACCTGGCCAAGAGCGTCATCTACAAGGGAGTCGTGCCGGGTATACTGAGGTACGCATCCCCAGCGTGGAGCTGCCGTCTGGATAAGATCTAGAATAGAAAGATGGCCACCATCCAGAGACTCGCCCTGCCCTGCTGAGGGTAACAAAGGCCTACAGGACGGTGTCCCACGAAGCGGTGCAGGTGCTGACCGGAGCGATGCTCCTGGAACTAATCCTCAAGGAAGATACCATCAAATTCCACTTCAAGAGGCAGGGGCTGCACACGCTATCGGAGGGGCTCCATGAGAAAATTGTTGAGAACCCGAACCAATGGAAAGGGATTATCAGGGAGGATGCCATTAAAGAGTGGAACAGACGGTGGATGACAAGCCCGAAAGGGTTTACCCTCCGGAAGTTCTTCCCCACCGTCCAGACAAGATTAGATGTGGTATGGGTCCTCCTTCATTATTGGATCTCACAGGAGATGGAGAGTTCCGGGGAAAACTTGCTGCCCATGGAAAGAATATCAACCCCCAGTGCCCTCCCTGCTGGGTCCCTGATAGGATGGCCGAGCTCATCCTAATATCCTGCACCGAGTTGGAGGGATGCCGTGAGACATTGCCAAGAGGGATGGGAGTGTACAGCCTGACTGAAGAAGATTTTCCCCGCCTAGAGGAGAAGGAAAATTACCCGCTCTTTCGGGAGTTTGTGTATGGGTGGAGGGATATGATCGGTCCTGCACATTTCTCCCAGGGAGCGGTAAGAATACCACCTGAAGAGGCCGAAGACCACTATGGTAGGACCGTACGGATGTGGTGCGGACAAAATGCGGCTCCACCATAAAAGTACACAACCGTGTACCGGGCCGCACCACAGTTAACCCAGTTTTGTTCCTAAAATTATGTAAATAAAAATAATTAATCGTTATTAATAAAGTGTTGCTTATTGGCAGCAGTGGGCATACGAAAACCCAAACGCATTAACTCACTGCTGCCAAAACCCCGTGAGAAAAAAAAAAGGTAAGAATTGAACTCGCATCGCTCCAGTCAGGCTACTACTAGTTATTGAGTTAAAATTTATTTTGTTTTAGCTACTATCAATGGATTTTTAGTGTTTGTTTTAAATAACCTATAATTTATTTTACAAGGTATATATATTACAAATTAAAATATTTACATATTATTAAAGCTAAAGTAGTTAAAACTAACTTGGTTTAACAGGAGTTACGATGACAGATAATATTGATTAATTAAATAATTTAACTGATATTTCATTTGATACAAAATAAATTAATAAACACCAATTAAGGTAATATTAATTTCAAATTAGAAAAAGCAATCCAACAAATGAGTAATAAAAGCAGGTTATAAGCGAAACACACATTAAATAAAATCAAATCAAATACTTTTTGACATTATTTTTTTTTTTTTTATGAAGCCTGTTTCTCTTACCGGCGGTTCATGAGGAGTGTCCTGTATATCTTGCAGTTTCGCCTCTGACTCTCCCAACACTTTAGCAACCTTGGCAACTGACTTAGTTTTGATCCTAAATTCCTACATATAAAAAATCACATCCACCACTACAAAACACATCCACAAAAAAAAAAAAAAGATAAATATATATACTTATATACACCTAGCTTTGGCAAATGAATTTATTCTGTGAAAAAAAAAATTATAAATTAATTCAAGAAAAATAATTTTAAAAAACAATGAATGGGCAGCACTTGAATTCAGCTAGTATAGAACATATTTAAATTTAAGATTAAAGGTCAACAAAGTATATTTTATTAAGAACAGTAACAAATGCTATTTGGTATATATGAAACTATATTTTAAATTTTACTGAAACAAACAAATCTATACGCATTAAGAAGTCTAAATAATAGTTAAAATGTAAAGTAAAACCTTGATTACAGCAGTAAAAATGGGGGAGGAGATATTTGAAACATGGTTTAAATAGGAAGTGTAGTTTACTAATAATTAGTATTACAAAAATAATTAATATTTAGATTACAAAAAACATGATTTGTTCAGGACACATATTACTTGGTTAATGAAATATTGAAATAAATATCTAAATAAACAAAAACTTAATATTCTGTGTGACTATTGCTTCATAGAATTTTTAATGAATAAATGTTATACAATCCTTTCCTAAAAGAGAAATTCTAAAAAGAATTCACCGAGAGAGGTGTTGATAAAGGAGACATCAGCCGAAAACATTATTCTGAACTCTTTAGGTGTTATCCATCATCGCTTATATAAACCTTTCAGTTGATAGAATGTCTAACCCCAATTTCAACATCTATTTGGTAAATTTATGCTTTTTTTTTTTGGTCCTCCCCTTTAAGGCTATACAGGATTTTCTTTGGCCTGGGGGTGAAGGCAGGATTTTAAAAGACTCCCCCGGCACCAGGATGCGAACTCGTAACTATTTTTATCCAGTTATCACTTGTCAGGTTGCTTGCTGGGCAACGGCAGTGCTGTGCACAATCGTTAGCCCATTCAGCCACACTGCTCTTTAATAAACCTTATAATATCTGTACAAACAGTGAGTACGTTGATTCCACAGAAGGCGATTACAGTTTTGAAATATAGAACTGTGAACAAAGGTGGTGTACATTTTCTAACTAGAGATATCAATAAAATTAATAATAAAAAATATTGAAATTGGAGTTAGTCATTCTGTCAACTGAAAGACTTATGTGGTAACTAACTGATTCGACATTTATTATGGTTTATCTAATTTAATCCAATCATTAATTACCCCTATCTTTTTATTAATAGGGAACGGAGTAACTTAGTGAGAAAGGAATTGAGATTGTATATAAGGCATTGCTCTACTATGCTCGATGTCACAAGAGTCCAACTTTGAGAGGTGATTATTTATTATGTTACAATAGCCGAGAACAACATCCTGAGCATAAAGTAAGACTCATAATTAAATAATTAACTAAGGGAGAGCATCTGGTAATTAAGCGTGATCTCGGCCCAACCACCCCTCTTCACAACCGTTGGCATTGAAACAGTATTGAACCCAGGACCCTCCATTGCTTGCAGTGGTAAATTTTTTTTTTTCTTGTTAACCTATATTTATAAGTAAAGATGCATACTGGTATTTTTAATACTTAAATAGTTTTTCGTTTAGTATTTGAGTTTGTATAACTTTAATATTGAGTTCAACGGAAAAGAGAAATGTGAGATTCTATCATAGTAAGGTGAATGGTCCAAGTGGAAAAAAACAATTAGAAAAACAGATTATTTAGTAATGATAATAATGATGTATGTATAGTTAGATATGAAAAGGGAATACGCTGTGTACTTAGCAACCCTAAATAGTAGGCCAGTACTCCTTTTAAATAAAGTATTTCTCATTATAAAAAAGACTGATTTTCTTGCTCAGATAAGAGATCATTAATGAGCTCGTATTCATATGAATCAGTCAGTCAGTACATAGTCAATCTGCTTGTGATCAGTTTATCAGTCATGTCTGTTGTTCATATTCAATGCATTTTAGTTCGAAGTTAACTCTTTGCAACAAAGGTTCTTCATGAAGAAAATTAATGCCTTATCTATACAAAGGTAACATTGTTTTGTCAACAAATATTTAATTGAACCTGAATTTATTTGATGTATATCATGAAGAAATGCCAGAGCTCCAGTAAAGATTGTAATTTAAAATAATAATTTTAATCATTTATAACAATAATTAATAAATTGTTTCATTTATGGTTGGTTGTTTTATATAAAAAAAAAAAAAAAAAAAAATAAATAAATAAACATTAGGACAATGTGATATTTGATAGCTGAACAGGAAGGAATGAGAAATATAAGTTATCTAATACATGGTGAAGATCAGAAATAAAAATAAAACTTTTGGTTTTTAGAGAAATATGTTTGTCCCCTCCCCTTTCGACAAATGAATCAGTTCATTATATGCAAGATACAGTTAACTAAATGCCAGATAATCAAGGTTTTACAGTATACGTATAGAACTAACATAATTCTGTTATGCTATTACTCTTAAATAGATTGAGAACTTCTATATGTTAATGTTTTTTTAAGTTCATGCTGTGCCCTTAAGCAATAAAAGACAATTTTTAACGAAGCATAACACAAAGCTGATCATTTATTCCTTAGGGAAACAAGGCATATTTGAACAATTTGGAGATGGAAAATTACATGCAAGATAAAATGACATTAAGAAAGCATAAAACTCTGCTCATTGGATGGAATGTGCTTGTAGTGAATGTAAACAAAAAAAAAAAGTGCTTTGAGTATATTTGCCAAGGTTACGACAAAGTGAAGACAAAGTCAGGGGATTTTTTCCACAATTATATAAAAAACACTAGATCAAACGACTTCATTTATATCGAGACACAAAAGCAGCAAACAGGTAAATCGGTTAATGTCCCACACAAATAAATACAATTATTCAAGGAACATGCTTCACACACAGGATTGTAAATTATTGTTAATACACAAGGTACATTCACGAATACTTACCAATATTATTGGGTAAAAAAAAACAACAACAATCATTACTCACGTGTTTCATCATATTCTGTTTATCCAAGCATGCAAAACAGAATACACATGTTTTAATAAAAGTTATCAACAAATATTACTTCTTCAATTAGACATAAATAAAAAAAAAGTACTTCTTCATTTACACATGTGACATACATATAACATAGACAACTTATATTTAAACTTTAAATAAATTCAAACTAGAAATAAATACAATTAAAAAAAAAAGAGGAATTTCTAGCTACTTCATTTTTTTTTTTGTCAAGCTACCTCATCCTTAGTTTCAAGTAGATCTTTTATTTGAAGAAGTATAATTCGCAGCAAAACTTTCCTAGACTCGGCAGTTAAAAAAAGGGGAGAATGAACGATATCACTGAGGGTCATCATTTTTTGCTTGGTAAGCCTCGATGGTGGTACATTATCAATCAGCTCTGACAACAGCTGGCTAAAAAAAAATTAATTAAACAAGGTAAAGTTGAGTAATTTATAGAAAAATGAATAGTAGTTTCAACTGAAAGAAAAAAACTTATTTTTTAATAAAATTATAATATGCAAACGATGGTTGAACTATTTTAAAAACCAGATATGCTCTTCAGAGATTATTCAAGGTGAATGAATCACAAATTGATTTTATATAATTACTTTAAATTTAACAGTGTTTACAATAAAATAAAGATTATTTCTGGGCAAATGACTAAACTATTTTAAATAAATAAAAATAAAGAACAATTTTTGAAATATTAGTAATGTTAATTTAAAACATTAAATTTACAACAAGTGTAGATTGATAAAGACAAATAAAATATAATAAGTTTCATCAGATAGATTGTCGAACCCTCTTAATAATAACGAAGAAAAATAAATAATAAAATGAGAAGGATTTGTTCAGAGGGGAGTGCAGTCAAATAAATACTAAATTGTTAAAATAGTATTTTAATCGTTACGCCAACGTTTTAACCCACTTTGTAGGTCTTTATCATGACGTGTCCACTCTACAAACTGCTTCCTGCAGTGCCTGATACTACGCCCTAATGAAGATCAACAAAGTGAGTCGAAAGGTCAACATAACGATTAAAATACTATTTTAAGGTACTACACTTCACTAGCAGGCCGGGTCGAAACCTCACTTCTTATCTATGTTATCTAACGTCACATCACATAACCTCCCTCTTCTTATCCCGCCAAATCTTTCAGTTATTACATTGTTTATTTCTAAGTTATTCCCTTATTACGATCACTTATTAAATTCTTTATTTTTGGCCCGTATGTGTTTATTTTTCATTTTTTTAAAGTTTATTTTCGTCAAATTATGAATCTTATTACATTCTGGGATTTGCCGTCTTCTGAAGAACAGGCTATTGAATATTTTCAAAACGTTGGGATACTTGCAGACGTAAAATTGTGTGAAAGAGGTCATCAAATGAAGTTAACCGGGAATGCCAAATGGAGATGCTTTTGTGGCACTTGTGACATAAAACTTAAATAAACTTCATATTTATGCGAATTTTTGTGGCGGCGGGTTCACAAAGAAGAGGACTCGTTCCTCGCTATTTTAAATAGAATAAAACTAAGTGAAATGAATAAGACGATAAATAAGACAAAGTGAAAATAAATTGTACATATGTCGTTTATAGTGTTGATATTTTTTCTTTTATTTGTACATATGTTTTTAAGTGTTTTTTTATTATTTCATTTTGATCTTTTATATGTACATATTTTCTATAAGTGTTTTTTTATTATTTCATTAATATACATCTCGTAAAATAAATTTTTTTTTTTTGTTATTATATTTGTTTTTGTTTCTGTTTACACTTTCAATAATACAAATACAATACAATAATACAAAGATAATACAATATAATAATATGAATGTAATACAATAATACAAAGATAGGAATTACAAGAAGGCTTATCACTGCCTTATCAGAATTATCAGTGTTCAGGTTATAAACATTGGCAGACAGCAGTCAGTCACGTCTGCTAGTGACGAAGTACCTATTTTAACAATTTAGTATTTCTTTGACCCTCCCCTTCCCTCTCCCTCCCCGACCAACTCCTTCTCATATTATATCACGGTCAACCATCTCTACACCAACAATAATAAATGAAAAATGAAAATGAAAATTATATTATCAAAATATATTACTGAAGGTTAAGATATTAATGTTTTTACCTCAGTAATACAGGTCTAAATACTAGAAGAATATCGGGAATAGTACTTGGAAGGTATTTTAAACAGGCTCCTTGGATGAGGAGTATAGTATCAGAATTGGAACGCATCAAAAAGCCAAGACTTTGTAATACATCAGTCAGAGCTTCTGTAAATTCTTCTTCATCCTTACCACCATTCAACCTAAATTAAATAAAGTACACTCAAGAATAGAATAATGTTTAAATGGAATGTTATTATTTTATATTAAAACTTAAATTATATAAAACAAAATCAAATTACTAAGTATAAAAACATGCTGGCAAACGATGATGGTAAACAGACATATCTTCGATACAAATGCTAACTATCTAATATGAAAAATTGCCGTTTTTTCAATCCAGCATTCTAGTAATTGTAATTAAATATTTTTAAACAGCGAATATAAAATCTTCAAACATTCATAAAAGCAGATATTTGTGTGGAAATTAAAACATCCTCATTGTTTGGACTGAATTGATAATGATATTAGAGTGGTTATTTTGACATTCGATAGTTAGCATTTGGATCAATGATATATATTAAGATTGATACAAATATCATAGATATATATAAATAGATTGATAAATCAACGATATAATACTATTGGTTCATCACCCTGAGTATATTCCACAAAATGAGGAAAAATACATAAAAACAAACGAGAAAACAATATTGTGCTAAATTTTAGTAAAAGAAAAATTATAACAATGTGCCATAAGAAAAAATAATACATAATAGGTAGGGTTTAGAAGACTAAAGGTACTATTTCGCTGATACTGCCCACCACTGTGATTGCTGGCAGTAAAGCACTTCTTTAGTGAAATAGAAAACTGCATATTTCATTGACACTGCTCGGCAGCCAAGGTATGATGTTATATCGAGAATGCTTCTTTCAGACAACTCCAGAAGTAGAAAAGTGATTGGAAGTTCTTGGTTATATTGTCATAGATGAGAAGAGTTTTGGTGATGAAGGCCATGTTGCAATAGTTCATTTCTTTTTTTGTTTTCACTAAGCCACCCAAAATTGTTTAAAATATAGATAAAACTATAGCAAATCATTTAAGTAGGTTTGAAGAAAACAAAGTATTTTATAGAGACAATAAAATAAATCAAATCCAACTAATATTAAATAAATTAACTAATGGACAAAATTTAATCACAAGTAAAAGACTCAAATGCAAACAAAGAAAAATCAATTTATCTTTTTTAATTAAAGTGCTGATTTACTATGTAACTAATGATAAAACATTATCCATTGATTTCATTACAAATACATTATATTTATTAATGGAATGATCATACAAATAATAGATAATAAATTTAAAATCAGATATGTACCACAGTAAACAATGACCCAGCAATTGCATTCCAAATGCTTCAATCACACATCATAAATCTAGAAGAATGGTGTCAAAACTGGAGAATTAAAATAAACTCCAATAAATCCCACCAAATTACCTTTACCCTTCGTCGTAAACCAAGACTTCCTGTCCTACAGTTTCCTTTAACAATACTCCACTTATCCCTGTTGAGCAAATCCGATACCTAGGACTCCACCTGGACAAACGACTAACTTGGAATCCTCATAGTAGACTGAAACGACAAGAAACCGCTCGACGTTTCCGATTACTTCAGCACTTACTAGACAAACGCTCTAAACTTCCCATTAATTACAAAAGACTTATATACTTGACTATAATAAGACCTATTTGGACTTACGGAGTTGAGCTATGGGGCTCCACTAAACCATCGAATTCCTCTCGCATCCAATCCTTACAATCCAAAATCCTTCGTAAAATCCTCAATGCTCCTTACTTTGTCACTAATAAAATTATCCATAAAGATCTTAATGTTCCTTATGTTTCAGATCTGGCCCAATCCAGATACCCATCCTTCCATAATAAACTTCAGAATCATCCCAATGCTCTCGTTTCTAACCTTGCTTCCTCTTCAATTCCTGATAACCCTCCGAGGCGTCTGAAAAGAAGATGGCCCCGTGATCTCCTAATGTAGTCATATCATTAGAGTGCTACCATTGGGTAGTTACTCAGCAAGTGTATTCATGTCATTATATCAATTATGTCCAAATTTACTTGATGTATTTATGTAATACAGTTGTAAATGTCATAAAGAAATAAAAAAAAAAAAAAAAAAAAAAAGATATGTACCATCAATTCTTGAAATAATTTTTCTTTCTATCATGAGGCTGACATCTTTTAATAAAAATATTATAAGAAACCATCACCTCTGTAGAAGATGGAAAGGCTAATTAACATTTCAGTCTTTCAGTTGACAGAATGACTAACTCCAGTTTCAACATTTTTTATTATTAATTTTAATGATATTTATAGTGGGGAAATTTATATCTTTATTCACAGTTTTCTATTTCAACATTGCAATTGCCTACTCTGAAATCAACTTACTCAATGTCTGTAGAGATATTATAAATTTTCCAACTAGAAATATCACTAAAATGACTACTCAAAAATGTTGAAATTGGAGGAGTTAGTCATTCTGCCAACTGAGAGGCTCATTTAATAGTACAGACACAACCTAACCCCGTCTCATCATTTAACCGATATGGTGAATAGTTTCGTCAAAATACACAAGCATTAATGATTGGCGGTATGAGATCGCAGATGCTGCTGTGAGCAGCACTAACAGATCCAGAATTTAATTTTGGGGAGGGCTTCAGCCAGAAAGCCCCCCTCCTCCCATAGATCCGCCCATGGTACCAGCAAAATAGTACCTTAAGATAAATTATTTTTTATATAAGCCAACTTTACACCGATGTTTTCACTTCCAAATTATACTACAATGTTTCGGCTCGTCGAGCCAATTTCAAGTCTAAAAACAGTTTTTCAATTTACAGTCATATCTAATATTATTTTGTTAACTTTTCATGCATAATTATTTGCATAATCATTGACATATTTTAAAAAACTCAAATATTTTGAATTATAAAATTTTTTAATTACCTACCATGTACTTGTCCATTATATTTCTTATGTAAAATACATGCATCTTCTCCTAATAACCAGTATCATAATGGTCATATCTATTTTTAACTATTATATTATTGCATTATTATAATATTTATTCATATTAAAAGATTTATATAATGTTGAATTACCATATTACATGTCACCCCATATGTAGTCAGTTTCTTTGTGACTGAGCGACTAGTTGATATTATAGGAGTGGGGAAGATTGTTTATTAAATATATACATGATGTTTCTTTATATTTTACGCAGATCTATTTTAATCAATGATAGCAATTCATTTTAAGTGTTTATTTTCAATCGAACTCGCAAAAAATGTATTCAAATTATCTACGTCTGTATAATTATTTACAGAATTTTCTAAGTTTTTTGTAATATTTATAGCTTCATTTATTATACGTTTATAATAATAATAAAAGGCTTAGCGAACCCGAAGTTTCGATGCCGACACCACCAATCGCTTATTACACACCTCCCTCCACCGTTCGCCATCCAAACCTAGTCCCTTCAGATCGGCTTTAATGCAATCTTCCCACCTTCGCTTCGGTCTACCCCTCGGACGTTTACCATTTGGTACAGCAAATACTACGTTAATTAAGCCCAACAATTTTACAGGCCGATTTGATTCGCCCATTGAAATCACCTCAATTATATTACCCGGATATAGTTCACGCAATTTAGCGTTGTGAAACCGTCTGAACTCTCTGGTTAATTCATCCTTCTTTGATCCAAATATTCTACGCAATACTTTATTTTCAAAAACCTTAAGATGTTGCTCATCCCTTAATGTAAGCATCCATGTTTCGCAACCATAAAGAACTGTAGGTAAGACAATGGTTTTATAGATTCTAATTTTTAAGTAGCGGGACAAGAGGTGCAAGCTAAGTAGTTTTGTCACAGAGAAATAACAAGCATTTCCGCCTTCAGTCTAACCTTAATCTCTTCTTCAATTTCATTTTTTCTAGTTATCGTAGATCCTAGATACCTAAACTTCTCTATCTCAAACATATTACCATCAATATCGATATCACCAGTAGTATCGCCATTTTTGCAGCTAACCATATATTTTGTTTTATCCGCGTTTATTTCGAGTCCTAGTTCTTTACCGGCATTCATTAACGTTGTCGTATTTAGTTTTATAGTTTCCACGTATTCGCTTAACAGTACAAGATCATCAGCATAGCCCAGCACAGATGTTGTCCCACCCAGATCCAACCCTTTTTCGGTATGCATTACCTCCCTAATGGCATGTTCTAACGACAAATTGAAGGGAATCCTGTTTTAAACACAAACGAACCTCAAATTTTTACCGATTCTAACTTAATTGAGTGTTTCCGTCAAGCACATCCTGACTAGATTTACTAGTTTTTTTGGAATCCCCTGCTCGATTAGAACATTATACAGTTTCTGGCGGTCATTATTATACGTTTATTAGTATTATTTCCATTATGAAGGATTTTAGCATTTTTAAAATCAAATTCGTGTTTAGTTTGCATAGTATGCTGAAAAAGCTCAGTAGCTAATTTAGTTTTTGTGATTTTTTAATTACAGTTTTGTTTATGCTGTTTAAGTCTTTTTTTCAAAACATTGTGATGTCTGTCCAAAATATGATTTATTGTTACAATTTTTACAGTTTATTTTATAAATAATATTTGTTAATTTATCAGTAGGTACTTTATCTTTATTTTTGGAAATAAATTTTATTTATTTTATTAATTGGTTAGCTTGAAAATTTAATTTCACTTACATCATATTGCTTAAATATTCTTTCTATTTTACCAGTTAATTTTATAAAACATGTGACGCTAAAATATTTTTAAGGTTATAGTTGTTTGTTATCATTTTGCATCTTAATTTCATGTATATCATTCATGGAAGTTTTCTGTTTCATAGCATTTTTAATTTTAAAGTAATTTGTTATTAAATTCATTCTTTATTAAATTTATTATTTTGGTTCACTTTCTCATTTTTATTAATATGTCATTAATTGTTGTTGTTTTTTTACCTAACCTTTAATTTTATACCACAATTTTTTTATTAATCTAATGTACCCAATATCCCATTAAGCACCCCCTATACAGCAGGTACCACCATCAAGTACACTTCAGTTCTTACTTAGTAAGTAAGAGCAGGAAGGTTCACTGCCATTAAACTGTGTA